ATTCACCCGTTTTCATACCCGTCTTCATACCCGTCGAAACTACTTAGCGGATCCCAGATATCCTTGGCAATATGCCCCTCGCCGTGCTTCCATGTGTGAAAATTCTGACCCTTTCGGCGCCCACCTAGTAGACCCTGAAATTTACGGTGGAGTGGTGTACGGGCTCAACCTTTCACTCAGGAGATCATCTGGAGCACCCACGACTTTCCCTCCATCATTTTTTTGTCTTCACCGCCCGACAATTTCGCTTGCGCCGTTCACCCGGTGTCCGTTTTTGTCGGATGAGGTATAACTCCGTGTTGCCCGCGATTTTTCTTACACTCGGTGAAGGCGCAAACGCTATCGTATTCGGAGATCGTTTATCATATCAAACGTTCAGGCCGGCCGCTTCGCTGCCCACCTCGTCTATCGCGTTTAAAACTCCACAGCTTCCGGAACTCCATCATCGCCGCTACACCGCCGTCGGGTAGACCGTTGAATTAGGATAAACTCCGACAGCTGCACCAATTTCTTCAGCTCCGACTTTTTCGGCATGGTAATTGTTGCCGATGGTCCGGTTTTGTCGGGGTTGAAACCGTGTCGTGTCCTTGAAATTTTATTGTACGCCCAATACCCGCGCTTTTTAGCAAGCACAGGGCTAAACACAGGGCCCCACCGTTTTATTCCAGTGGCCAATTGGACTTACATTTTGCCTTCGAAGCCTGCTGGTGTGAGGTATGTGAAACATTCGGAAACCTCGGCCGGTAGTGGTACCCATCCGGCTACCGCCGCTTAGCCACAAACGTTTAGGCATAAGCTTGAGCGTTTCCCCGTGGGTCGTAATTCTCACCTCCTGAAGCCCGGAACCCGTTTCTCTCGCTGGACCCGAACTCGGCGCAACTTCGTGTATTGTAGCCGGTAGAACCCCCGAAATTCGCGGGTCTAAACGCTACGCCAAATCGTTGTCCCGCCGGTGTACTACCCTGTCTGCGGTGCAACTACCCTTGATCAGGGGTTGCTGTGCCGCCTGAAGTACAAATGTCGGCCGTTGCTGTTGCTCTGAAAAAATCGCTGATCTTGTTGCAGGTACAGCAGTGACCCTAGCGATAGACAGTCTAGTCGTAGGCGGATTTTTCCGATCTTTTCGGTGGTTTGGAAAACAAATTCCGTCCCACACTGTGCTGCTCCTGCCGAACACGCCAACGACGCACCCTCCTGCAGCCAGACCAGCCGCACCCGGGTGGGATGACGGTAGACCCTCGCTTTCTTCGGGCAGTCGCCACGCCGTCTCTCCTCGCCGTTGAATTTCAGACGCAAGTCACTATGCGCCTGGCCTGCCCAACCAACTGTCGTTTGCCATGTGAAGTCACCCGAAATCTTCGCGCACAGTGATGTCGATCACCACGCGCCGAAGACCTTTGAGATTCTCGTACGCAGTTGACGACCATGTGAGAATGCCAACTCGCACAACAGTTGCTCCGAAAATCTCGCGCATGCAGTGACGAAAATTTGCCTGACGCCAACTGCCGCATAAAAACAGTGCCGAGATTAACGGAATTGACGAAAAAAAACTAACGTAATTAATGTGCGACAGCCACAGCTGCCCACCACCCAGGGGGAGGGAGGTCACGGTCGATCTCGACCATCAAGAGCAAGGATCCGGCGGTGCCGAAGGAGTGCATGTAAACACTTGGCCACGAGGAGCAACTACCCGTTCTCCTGGCCGGCTGTCGTGCAACTCCTGGTCCCCACGGTATCCCTCCCTGTCCCCCCCCCCCCTCCCCCCTCCTCCTTCCGAGGGGTATTACACTCTAAAAAGCGGGGTGAGCTAGGAAAGTAGCTCTGATACCAAGTGTTATGAGTTGTACTAAACAGAGTGCGCGGAAGACTTTATAAAAAGGATGAATTACAGAATGACGATTGAATGAACAAGGCGAGCATTTATAGGGCGAATTCGTGCTAGGCGCGGACCTCGGGACGTGGATGGGTTGGAAGTGTCGCGATTGGTGCGGAGCGACTCGGCAGTGGTTCGGGCCGAAGTATTGGCCGAACCTTGAAACTGACGCGAAGTGATCGGGGCTGTCCTCGCTAGGAGCAGCCTCTATAGTAATGAATTCAAATTCATTACACCCCCAACCCTTCCGCCTAGATTGTTGGTTCCCCTGCAGGGGGTCACGCAGCCACAAAGTTACCCTGTTTTCAAGTGATAATCTTTCCCTCCCCGCTCCAAGTATGTAGACCGCAGCTTAAAATCAGGAATACATTACGGAAACAATTGTAGTCAATCAGGGCGGATTCCTGACTTCGTGTCATCCGGTCTTCATGTCATCCGAAATTCTGAGATCCAATCGGAATTTGAGATTCTGGGTTTCGGATCCCTAAATTTCGGATGACATGAACACCGGATGACACGAAGTGAGGAATCGCCCTCAGACACCGCTGGCTGGGGTCAACCTCATTCGCCGAGATTCAGACGAGGAAAATCAGTGGCCACGGCAACCGACGAACACGATTACTCGAGGTGAATTTTCAGTTTCTTTCCGCCGCTGATTCGAGGTCCGCAAAGCGGCCCCCAGGAAGCTCCACCCACCCGAACGAACAGCTCGGGGTTTACAGGTCAGCTTCGCCGATTGCTACAGGTCAGCAGATTCTACTCCAGCACGAAGGTGGAACAGCGCAAGGCATGGCGCAGAACAAGGCCCGTCTGGTGAAGAAACAGCCAATCGTAGCAGGAGGGGAAGCGGCAGACATTGCGGGGCGCGCAACACACCGAACCCGCCTCGTCTCGTCTCGTTTCGATGAGAGCTGACCGATATCGTTTTTGGGCTGCGATGTGCTTGTTGACGGAGTTCAGTTTATAGCGGTGGGATTTGATGTGCTGGGTTTGAGAGTGTTTCGTATATTCTCTAGAACGATCACAGGCCTGTCTCTACTTTCCTTTTTCACCCGTACAATTAAGGGCTGGTTTCTGCTCATATTGGACACATCCAGGGTTTGTTTCGAGGTCAAGCCGTCGTCCTAAAGTGCTGTTTCAGCTACTTGGTATATCATTTCCGCCAAGTGAATAGGTGACTTAGCGATCTCTCAGCAAAAGTGTCAAGGCAATTTGTAGCTCTGATACTAAGTGTTGAATTCTTCCTTAACCTTCCTCCCAAGCCTATCGACAGCCTTGCTCCACACTCAACCTCCCACTCGGGTGCACTCCCCTCCCCGGATCTTTCCCTATCTGCTCCACTCCCCCACCCGACCCCCCCTTCCCTCACACCCACTTTCCTCCCACCCCCTAATCAAAGCAGCCGACTAATTTTTGTCTCCTTCCTTCACGGTTACGATTCTCTCGCATTCCTAACTCGGTAGTTTTTAAAGACGGCAACCAAACTGTGAGACGCTCATGAATGGCAGCTGCTGTGTGGATGAGACGATAGCGTTCGATTCTGGACGTGGAACGTGCTAGAGTAGGCTTAGAGAAGAAGCGATAGCGGGATGGTTTGAGACTCAGAGAACGTGTTGGAGTGGACTTATTTTTTTTTCATTGGTCAGTTGTTGAGGCCCGTTGGAACAAGTGTGCGTGTCTTGTTAACCGCCGAACACCGCAGTCCGCACCTTTATTGACAAAATTGTTGTATTTATTAGTTGTTTCGCGACGATATGTGTGTACACGTTCGTAACGTTTAGTATTTTTCGGATCCTCATTTTCCTTTTAGGTCAAAGCATTCACTGCTTCTCTTTGTTAGTGGTTCGTAGCGTGACGAAAGGCAATACTTGATACTCGCACCAAGAAACCGACAATTGTTTCATGTATTGACTTTTAGTGAAAAGTCCTTCGAGACGTTTAGAAAACGAAGTTGTGAGAGATGGAAGCTCTGCTAAACGACATGCACGGCACGCACTTAATCGACTCCCATCCTCCGCGACACTCGCTCGACGACGCGCTCCGGCGAGCCTGCCTCGCCGCTGAAACATCCTCGCCGTCTCCCAATTCTGTCAACGTTAACGCTAACGTTTGCGTCAACGGCGGCGCTAACGGAAGGAGAATCTTGCAGGGCCCTGGAACGACCAATCCTGGAGGCAAGTTCAACGGACGAGTTTATCCTGGTTTGGATTGTAACGAGGGTGCTAATAACGAGGTCCATCCTGCAGATCTTGTGAAGCCTGAAGGTTGCGGGAACGACTTAGTAGGTCCTATACCCCGGTCTAAGGCAAGTAAAGACCGTGTACTAGGCGACAGTATGATTATAGGCGCTCCGGGTGGCGCTCCTTATCGCGGACAAGCAGCCGATTCCGTTTCTGGGCTTCCTGGCCTGAAACGCGGCGAACCGTCGGATCTAAGCAGCGGGACCAACGGCGGTATTTATGGAGGAACGGAGACCCGTGGGGCCGGGATTGCCGCCGGTTTTGGCAGCGGAGGAGGCGGCGGAGGATGTGGCGGAGGAAGCGGCGGTGGAGGGAGAGTGGGCGAGGAGGAGGAGCAGAGTTCGATCACGCGAGAGTTTGCGAAAATCGCGGCGAGAAAACGAGCGGAGCGGTTGAGGAACAAGCGGGGCGACTTGATATGCGGAAGGAGTGGAAGTGAGTCGGAAACCTTAGAACGAGCCTTGGAGACTGCCGAAGCTGCGGTAGTGTCTAACGGGGTGGCTACTAACGGGGTGGCCACTAACTGTGCGGTTACTAACGGGGCGGCTACTAACAAGGGCGAGTTAGTAGCGGGGGAAAGAATCGGGGAGAAGGCCAGATCTTGCCGCGTGAGAGTTATTCCTCCGTTATCTGCGGCAAGCGGATTCGATTCAGTTTACCGTCATGAGCCGACCGTCGGTCAAGACAGGTTCGCTGCGGCAGCCTCGGAGTGCGGAAGAGGTTCGAGATCAGGTCCGGGAGCAGGTTCTGGAGCAGGTTCGGGGACGCTGATCTCGGTTCGGCGATGCCAATCGGAATCGGAATCCGAATCGGAATCGGAAGGGTACACAGCGGTGTTCTCTCGCCTCAAGGCGCAGAAGCTCAGGGAGCGAACCGAACACGACTTAATGCATAATGACCACGGTGTGGCAGCAGCAGGATCAACATCAACAGCAGCAGCAGCTGTAGCAACAGCAGCAGCACCAGCAGCGCCAGCAGCAGCAGGCGCTGCGCCGATTGCGGCGCCGATAGCTGCGCCGACAGCTGTGCCGATTGTGGCGCCGATTGTGGCGCCGATTGTGGGGCCGATTCCGGAGTTCATCCCGTATCAAGCGGGGGACGAGGCGGCTGTTGAGCTAACCTTGGCCTCCGGGCTGGGCGCAGGGAGGCGGGCGCGCGCGGGGGGAGAGATGGGCGGAGGCGGGTTGCCCCGGAGCCCTGTGCGCAAGTTTCGTGAGGGCACGGGGAGGAGGGAAGCGGCGGCGCTGCAGGCGCAAGGGCAGGCGGGAGAAGAGGCGCAAGGGGCGCGCGGGGCGCAGGCAGCGGGGGGAGCGCGGGGAGAGGGTGGGGCGCGGGGAGCGGAGGGGCGGGCGGAGGGGCTCGCAAGCCTAACGTTTCAGCAGTGGGACAAAATCAAGGAGCGGGTTATGGCAGGAGGGGAGGAGGCGGGGGAGGGGGAAGACTCGGGGGAAATGAGGAAGGGGGGGGGGGATGAGGCAGGGGCGATGGGGGAGGTTTGGGAGGAGGAGGAGGAGGATCGGGTGGCGGATGCCGAAGCTGCAGCCGCGGACCAGGCCGCGGAAATCGCTGCCAGGGCTGAGCGGCAGGCTCGGATACAGAGGCTGCTGCTGGAGGTGAACCTTCCGCGCCTGGCGCAGTGGGGGGGGATGGGGGCAGCGGAACTCAGCAGTGGTGCGGGGAAGGCGCTTGCTAGCAGCGCCCCTGGGGGGTTTTTCATGGGGGAAAGGGGGACGGGAGGAGGCAGCGGAGGGAATGGGGGGGGGTATAGCTCTGGAAGCGGGTCGTCTGGTGTGAGTAGCAGTAGCAGCATTGAGGGGAGCGGGGGTAGTGGAGGGAGGGGGGGCAGTGGGGGAGGTGGGGCAATAGGTGAGAGCTCATCTGTGCCTGTCACGCCAGCAGGAGGGCGAATGGATGGCGGATACTTGGGAGGAGGCATGCCGGTGCATGGGGGAGGGGCGTATGGGGGAGGGCCGTATGGGAGAGGGGGATATGGTACAGGGGGATATGGGGGAGGTGGGGCAATGGGGGAGAGCTCATCTTTGCCTGTCACTCCTGCAGCAGGAGGGCGAATGGATGGGGGGTACCCGGGAGGAGGCATGATGGTGCATGGGGGAGGGGGGTATGGGGGAGGGGCGTATGGGGGAGGGGGGTATGTTGCAGGGGGATATGGGGGAGGTGCATATGGTGGGGGGCAGACGGTTAACGCACAGGCACAGGCACAGGCACAGGCACAGGCACAGGCACAGGCACAGGCACAGGCACAGGCACAGGCACAGGCACAGGCACAGGCACAGGCACAGGCACAGGCACAGGCGCATGGGCAGGGCAAGAAGGGGTTTTTCTCGCTGCTCAAGGTGGGGCGAGGGGGGAAGAAGCTGGCAAAATCGGAATCAGCAGACGGCCGCCTGTGATGTGCTCAAGTGTTGACATACGTTCTTGTCTGTATTAAGGACGGAGTTTCTGGGTTAGCGAGGGAGGTGTTTGTCGTGTGCTTACTGGTAAGAGTGTAAAGTTTTATCCGAAATTAGGAGATTACGTATGTACCGTGTATGCTGTAGTTATTAATACCATATGGATGTACTGTACAGTATGCATGCACCACATGCTGTGGTGTACATCTGTGGCACACTAAATGCTAGTTCCATGACAAGAATCAGTATTTCACCCCAAAGCCTTTTGTTTCGTCTCAGCACCATCTATCCAACATTGCGTGGTTGAGTCATGTAAAGAATCCTTAACACTTAGACTCTCCCCCCCTCCCCCCACCTCTAGCCCTTAGTTCTTCCACTGCCTCTAGAGCTCGTCCCAACGCCGCTACACCCAACGCTGCTTTGACTCGACTCTGGAATTGCCTTTTAAAAATAATTTTGACTCCCCTTCCTCCACCTGTAGGCCTAAGCTATGCCACAACCTCTAAAGATCGTTTTAACGCCGCTACATCCGAACTGGGATTCGAGTCGACTCAAGAATGCTCTTTCAGAAACCACTTAGACTCTCCCCTCCCTGTGCCTGTAGCCCTTAGTTCTGCTATAGCCTCTAGAGCTCGTCTCAACGCTGCTACATCTGACACTGAACCTGCCCCGAACCTCGTCGCACACTGCCGGACGATTTCTGAAGCTGTCAAACCAGCCTCGCCCGAAGCTTGCACAGTACTGGGTGCTGTCGAGCCTGTGGCTAGGCCTGGTGCCGAGCCTGATTCCTGAAACAGTAACACAAGCTTCTGCTGTAAACTCATACTGGAAGCAGCACCCTGCATTCCCGCTGCTGCCAAGCCTGTTTCCGGGCCTGAATCCGAACCTCTTCCTGCCAAACCTATACCAAGACCATTTGACCGAGCGGCCAGCCCCATACCTCTCCCAACTATTGTCATCACACCACCACCATCACCACCACCACCACTACCACCACCACTACCACCACCAGCAGCAAAACTGCCTCTACTACCATCCCCTCCTCCTCCACTTGCTATAGATTGCACCATACCTTGCCTCTGCCGCAGCCTTTGGACCAGCTCACTAGAAGACAAAGCAGTGCCGCCCGTGATCCCTGCGCTCACCCCTCCCCCATCCCCTCGTCCACTCCCGAACCTGCTGCTAGCATTGGTGCTCGCCGAACCAAACCTCCTCCGCCCCCCCCTGGCTGGAACACCAGCCTGGCCAGACCTGCCGGTCCAAGTAGGTTCGGAAACGTCGCTGGAGGCTCGGTCGCGCTGTGATTGGCGGAGAGCTGCTTCTGCTCGTGCCGCCACTGCCACTGCCTCACAATCCATCCGGATCCGATCGGCCGACGCCAGCCGTTCGATCGTATCCTGGTCCAAAGCAGCCTGTACACCGTTGGATTCAAAAAGAGATCTGAGAATCTTAGCCTCATCTCGTTCCCCGTTACTATTAGTACCAATCTGCCTTGAATTCCTGCTCCCTGTATTCCCCTTATTCCTGCTCCCTGAACTCCTCAGCATGCCTTGATGGTTGCTAATGCCTAGCTGGGTCCCATTGCCTTGCCTCACTTCCCCCACCCCTTCTTCCTCCTTCACACTCACTGGCCCGTCAAATCCTCCCACACCTCCTCCTCTCATTGCCTCCTGCGTCGCCCCCCCTCCCCCTCCCCCCATCAACATTTTCACCCCAGGCAGACTTGCCAGCACATCCGCATTATCCAATCGCAAGCTGACATCTGTCGCCACCCCCGCTCCCCTCCCACTCCCTCCACCACCGTCCCTCTCCCTTCTCCTCCCCTTCCGCTTTCCCCTACCCTCCTCTGCCTCCTGTCCTCCTCCCTCCTCCCCCTCCTCCTCTTCTTCTAAAGTAAACAAGTCTGTTAAATCCTTGGACTTAAAAAGCCGCTTCTGCTTTGGACCCCTAAGCACCCGATTGGAAAGAAGCTGCTTGGACAGCTGGCGGTGAAACACCTTCTCCTCTATAGTCCCCCTCGTTACAAGCCTGTAGATAGTCACTTCCCTCTTCTGCCCTATGCGCCATGCCCGTTCCCGAGCCTGCAAGGAGAAAAGAATGAATAAATAATAATTATATATATATAAAGGATCGTGCACCTGTTCTAAAATTCCCCAAAAAATTGCTTACAACACATGAGGAGGACAAGAGAAGTGCGACCATACTGCACCGCACAACACCGCAACCAAGTGCAGCTCACCTGCAGGTCCGTCGAGGGGTTCCAGTCAGGATCAAATATCACGACCCGATTGGCCCCTGTGAGATTCGTTCCCAATCCGCCCACCCTAGTGGTTAGCAAGAAGACAAACACGCCGCCCTCCCCGCTGTTGAACTCGTCGATCAGCGCCGCCCGCAGGCCGGGCGGCGTGCTGCCGTCCATTCGTCTGTATCCCAAGTTACGATTGAGCACGAGGGATTCGACTATATCCAGCATCTGCTGCGTCTGGCAGAAGACTAGAGCTCTGTGCCCCTCAGCTTTCCACACATGGAGAATCTGTGGTGTTAAGAGGGAGATGGCAGGACGAAGAGTAAGGGGAAGGCAGGGGCAAGAACGGAAGAAAATATGCTGTGGTTCAGAACGAGGGATTCGACTATATCCAGCATTTGCTGCGTCTGGCAGAAAACTAAAGCTCTGTGCCCCTCGGTTCTCCACACTCGGAGAATCTGTGGTGTTTGGGGGGTGCCAGGAAAGTGGGGAAGGAGGGGGAGACAGGGGAAAGGACGGAAGAAGAGAAGCTGTGGTTGAGCATGAAGGATTTTGAGACGTCTTAAAGGTGGGGAAGGGGAGGGAGACAGGGGAAAGGACAGAAGAAAAGAAGCTGTGATTGAGCATGAGGGATTCGACAATATCCAACTGTCTAGCGCCCTGTGCCCTCCTTTTTCAACCTTTGTAAGATCTGCCAGTTTGGGGGGTTGGCTGGACGGGGGGCAGGAGGGGGGCCAGTAAGGAGGGGCAGGCAAAGAGGCAGAGGGGCAGGACTTACCTTACCCAGCAGAATGCAGAAATAGCCTTATCCAGCACAATCCAGAAATGGCATGTCTTGCCTTATCCAGCACAACCCAGAAATGGCATGTCTTGCCTTATCCAGCACAATCCAGAAATGGCATGTCTTGCCTTATCCAGCACAACCCAGAAATGGCATGTCTTGCCTTATCCAGCACAATCCAGAAATGGCATGTCTTGCCTTATCCAGCACAACCCAGAAATGGCATGTCTTACCTTATCCAGCACTTGCAGCTTGGAGCTTCGGTCGGGGTTCCCAAAATCAGGGTCACCCTTTCTCGTGTTCCCACCTCTGCTTCCCTCCCCTCCCTCCTCCTCCACCACTGCCGCCCGCCACTTGGCCCACTGGCCCCCCTCTCTAGGATCCACCACCAGATCCCTCACTCCCTTCCTCCCCCCTCCTCCCTCACTACCGATCACACCTTCGCAATCTCCCTCCCCCCTCCTACCTCGCTCTCTCTCACCCCATCTCCTCTCCCTTCTCCTCCTCCCCCCCTCCACTTCTCCCTCCTCCTTCACCCCCTCTCGATCCTCCTCTTCCTTACTCGCACCTCCCCTTTCCCCTCCCCCTGCCCCCCCCCCTGCCCCTCCCAGCACTTCCCTTTCATCCACATCTAACCCCAATAAATCCGGGTGATTGCAGATTTTCCTCAGAACATCGATCCCATATAAGCTGTTTCGATACCGGTCCAGAATCTGCCGCATCTCCTCACTCTGCAGAAACGCGCGGTACAGCGTCCGTTGGAATCTAGTGATAGGCACAAGCAGAACGCGTTCCGTCTTTTCTGGCAGCTGAATGTCAACATCGGCTTTAACTCTCCTAAGGAGGTACGGCAAGATCACATCTCGAAGCACAACGGCACATTTGTATGCTGTGGCGACCTGTAGTTGAGGGGATTGCAAAGGGAGAGGGGGCAACAGGCCTCAGCACCAGCACCTGGCAGGGCAGGATGATGTTTCAAATCACAACGGTACATTTGTATGCTGTGGCGACCTGTAGTTGTGCAGAGGGGTTGAAAGGGGTGAGTGGGGAGTGAGGAGGTATGGTAAGATCACGTCTCAAAGCACAACGGCACATTTGTATGCTGTGGCGACCTGTAGTTGAGGGGATTGCAAAGGGAGAGGGGGCAACAGGCCTCAGCACCAGCACCTGGCAGAGCAGGATGATGTTTCAAATCACAACGGTACATTTGTATGCTGTGGCGACCTGTAGTTGTGCAGAGGGGTTGAAAGGGGTGAGTGGGGAGTGAGGAGGTATGGTAAGATCACGTCTCAAAGCACAACGGTACATTTGTATGCTGTGGCGACCTGTAGTTGGGGAAGGTGAGGAGAAGAGGCATTAAGCCACGGCACCAGAAGCACTCTCTCCGTCTTTTCTGGCAGCTGAATGTCAACATCGGCTTTAACTCTCCGGAGTAGGTACGGCAATATCACGTCTTGAAGCACAGCCGCGCACTTGTATGCCGTGGCGACCTGTGGTGGTGCAGAGGGGTTGAAAGGGATGAGTGGGTAGTGAGGAGGTATGCTAGGATCACATCTCGAAGCACAACGGCACACTTGTATGTCGTGGCAACCCGCAGTTGAGGGGAATGCGGAAGATGGGAGAGAGTGGAGAGGGGAGAGGAGAGGGAAATAGTCCTTGAGTATTTGATAGTTTCTTGATGATACACCATCCTCTCTCACCACCCACTCGCCATCCTCTCCTCTCTCACCACCCACTCGCCATCCTCTCTCACCACCCACTCGCCATCCTCTCTCACCACCCACTCGCCATCCTCTCTCACCACCCACTCGCCATCCTCTCACTATCCTCTCACCACCCCACTGACCACCCATTCACCTAGTAGCAATCTCCATTCAGCATCACTACTCGTTCCACTCACCAACCACATCCAACCACCAACCCTACCTGGAGGGGAGTGGCGTTGAGGTATCCACCAATGGCAATGGGAAGGGCAAACTCGGTTGAGAACACGGGTAGTGTGCCCAGCCTGATCCCCGTGAATGGGGGTTGGGGTGGGTAATGGGGGGAAGGGGAAAGAGGAGGAGTGTTGGGCGTTGAGGTATCCTCCAATGGCGATGGGAAAAGCATACTCCGTTGGAAAAACTGGTGGGGTACTCAGCCTAATCTCCAGAAATACAGTGCGTAACCCTACCTGCAAGGGTAAGCGTAAGCCCCCACGTACCTGCCAGGGTAGACAAAGTCCATGAGCGACCAGAGCTCGTCCAGCCGATTTTGAATCGGCGATCCACTCAGCAGCAGGCGGTGGGGCGTGCGAAGCTGCTTGCATGCAATCGTGGTGTCCGCATCTGGGTTCCTGATCCGATGGCCCTCGTCGAGTATCGCATACCCCCAATCAACGGCCAGGAATAGCTCTCGCCGCAACCGGACCTGCTCATATGTGGTGATGACGAGGCTGTTGCCTCGGGCCGAACCTGATGCTGCTGGTATGGGGACTAAAGCGAGGGCGGTTAGCGGCGAGTCTGGGTGAGATTCTAACAAGGGTTTCTTCGGTAGGGTCACCCCAACAGCGGATTCAAGAGCCTTTCTCCATTTCTCGTACACTAGATGTTGCCGGTTGGTGCTGCTCTTGCTTCCACTCTCTTTCATTCCACTGCTGTTGCCCCCACTGCCCTTGGCCCCACTACCTTTTCTCCCATCGCCTTTGGCCCGACTGCCTTTGCTCTGCCCTCTTCCCTTACTTCCTGTTCTATCTCCTTCCTCCTCCTCCTCGTCTTCTTCATTCAAAGATTCCCTCCCTCGTCCCCCTCTTCCCCCTCTTCCTCCTCCTCCTCCTCCTCCTCTTCCTCCTCCTCCTCCTCCTCCTCCTCCTCCTCCTCCTCCTCCTCCTCCTCCTCCTCCTCCTCCTCCTCCTCCTCCTCCTCCCCTCCTCGCTCTTGCAGCTCTCATTCTCGAACCGGCCTGCATTCTCTGTAACAAAGCATCCACTCTTTCTCCCTCCTCCTCACCGCCCTCCTCTCTCCCCTCATCCTCTCCCTCACACTCCACCTCATCCTCCTCCTCATCCTCTTCCTCATCCTCCTTCCCCTCATCCCACTCGGACTCTTCTGTTTCCTCTCCAGAGTCCCATTCCTCCTCTTCCCTCCCCCTTTCCCTCTTCCCCCCCTTCGCCTTCTTACCCTTCTTCTTCTTCTTCTTCCTTCCTTTCCTCCCACCTCCACCTCCCCCCTCTTCCTCTCCCCTCTCCTCCTCCTCCGCCTCCTCCCCATCCGCCTCTCCAATCCCCCCAGAGTCATGCAAAATCACCGGATTCAGTTCAGGACACCAGATCCGAACCTCCCTCTGCCACTGCCGAAGCAGCGTGACGGGGCAGACCAGCAGGCTCGGGCGGTACAGCCCCGAACGTAGCAGGGAGGATAGGAACGCAGCTACCTGCACAGTCTTTCCCAGACCCATCTCATCCCCTAGAATCCCCCCTACCTCCTGACAATGCAACTCCCACAACCACTTCACGCCCGTCCTTTGATACTCAAACAGTTTATTATACACTGAACCTGGTATACGTAGACCCCCCTCTAGTATCACAACATCACTATCAACATCAATATCATCATTATCATCTACAACATCACCACCATCATCGTCATCATCACCGAACGCACCATCAGCATCATCAGCATCCACGCCAGCATCATCAGCATCCGCGTCAGCATCATCAGTATCCACATCAGCATCCACATCAGCATCAGCATCCCAGCTCTCCATCTTCCCTTCACCTCCCCCACCCTCCACCCCACCCACACCTACCTCCACCATCTTATCCCCCTTCCCTTCTCTCCACGCCTTACCAGGAAGCGGCCTCCTCACAACCCTCCTCCGCTTCCTCCTCTCCCCGCCACCTCCTACCCCCCCTCCCCTCCTCCTCCCTCCTAATATCTTTGCAAACGCTTTCAAAGGCTCTGGGGACTTAGGGACCTCATCCACCCCTAGAAGCTTAGTCTGCCTCTTCCCCTGCCTCTCCCCATCCCCTTGCCCTAACCCCACCCCTTCTCCCTCTCCCCTACCTCCTCCTCTGCTCCCTATACCCCAATGTTCGTTCTCCTCTCCTTCCCTCTCTCCCTCCCTCTCGTCCCTGCCCTCCATCCCCCCACCCCTGCTGCCTTCTTCCCCAAGCTGTGTCTTACGGGTGGGCCCTGACTGAACGGCCTTGTCAAAGCCCTTGAGCTGTGCGAAGGGCGTTATAATACCCAGGCGAATGAGCCTATCCCTCTCCTGAAGTAAGGTATCGGGATGTCCGGGGGGGAAGGGGGGATGGGGAGAGGGAGGGGGTGTTGGGAAGGAAAAGCAGGAGATTGAACGGACTTGTCAAAGCCCTTGAGCTGTGCCAAGGGTGTAACGAGACACAGGCGAATAAGCTGTCCCGCTCCTGAAGCACGGATTGAGATGCAAAGCAGGGGTTGGGAGGGAAGAGATCCACTTGAACATACCGTTTCCACAAACCCGGTCGCAGCAGCACCATCCAGCGCCGAATCAAAATCATCCACGTCATCCATCAGCATTGTCGCCTCCACCTTCCACTTCCCTTTCCCCTTCCCCTCATCCTCCTTTGCACCCTCCCCTTCTCCCCTTCCACTCCCCCCACTTCTCCCTCCACCATTCAACGGAACGATACTCCCACCCACCGCTGTGAAACCGTTGCTCTTACTTTTCCCTTTCCCCACAACCCTTCCACCTTCCCATCCCCCATCCAGATCTCGACCCCTTCCTCCTCTACCTCCTCTGGATTCTCCCTCTCCGCCACCAGCCAGCCTTCCCCCAGGCCCAGCCTCCCCCAGTCGAGCCTCCCCCATCTGAGCCTCCCCCAGCTGAGCCTGCAGCTGCCGGCGCAGCTTCAGGAGGCTCTTCACGCGCTCCTCTGTCAGCGCCAGCTGGAGGTTCCTAGCGGTACTGTCTGCCTGTGAGACCTTGGCACTGCAGGTCGCCTGTAGGCTCCTCACTGTGCCGTCCGCCTCGCTGCCATATATTTTGAGCGCGACGCGGTCGCGATCCCCTTCCACAATAGTAGCGATATCAGCACCCTTCTCCTCCTCACCCACACCATCACCTTCACCCTTGCCCGTGTCCTTGCTCTTCTTCTTCTCCTTCATTTCATCTTCATCCCTTGCAGCCTGTCCGCTGCTGCTGTCATCAATTCCAAAACCAGTAACATTCGAGCCCTTCCCCTTCGCCGCTCCTCCTGCTCCAGACCCTCTCCCAAGCCCTCTCCCACGCGCTCTCCCAATTCCTCGCCCGCTCTCGCCTTTACCCGTGTCCGTTCCTCCACTTTCCCCACCTTTCAGCGCCATGAGCGCATCCCCTAGAGCGTTCAACTCCCTCTCCACTGCCCGTATCTGCTGCTGCACCCTACCCGCCTGCACGGGTGGCATAATTTCGTTTTGAGACGTCTCAAAACTCTCCACTGCCCGCAGCTGCTGCCGCACCCTACCCCCCTGCACAGCTGGCATGATTTTCCTACCGTGTGACGCTTCACTGGTGAATAAGGATGCTACAACGGCCGAATCTGACGGCTGTACGGTCAAATTTGACGCCTGAGCAGTCAAACCTGACGGCTGAATGGTTGGATCAGACGTCTGAACGGCCAATTTTGCCGCCTGAACAGACGAATCTGACGGCTGAATGGCTGAATTTGATGGCTGAACGGGTGATTCTGCCGCCTTAACAGTCAAATCTGACGGCTGAGCAAGCGGTTCTGATGTCTGAACAACGGATTGGACGGAGAAAACGGAATGATCAAGAGCAGCATCCATCCTTCGCGCACTATCATCTCCCTCTTGATCTACGATTGGTTCCACCTTCAACGTCTGCTGCTGCTGCTGCTCCTCCTGCTGTTGCTCATGGTGATGCTCCTGCGCCTGCTCCTGCTCCTGCTGCTCCTCATCCTCCGTCTCCTCCTTCTGATCCTCCATCTTCTCCTCCTCCTCAGCCTTGATAGCTGATTCTCTCCACGGTGAAACTTCCAACGTCTCGTCGCCTTCCTTCTCTTCGCTGTCATCCACTCCTGCCATTTCCTCGGCCGCACTTTCAACGGGTTGATCCAGCTTTAATTTCGAGGGTTGTGCACCGTCATTCATGCGGGATGGGCGTACTTGAGCAGATAGAAGAGCAGTTTTTTCGTTCAGCACACACCCGTGCGCGAGAGTCCTTTAGTTTTACCCCACAGACGACGATTGCTAGTTCCTTGTGCCTGTAAATGCGTTGAAGCGTCGACGTCACGCTTTTCTGATTTCTGATATGCTCACACACTGAAGTATTTTGAAACGTGGCTTTTTGGTTTCCTCTTCCTTCCCCTGACTCTTCTCTTGGGACTTCATGCCGCCTCTCCATACCATTCGCCTCGTGTCCAACTGAATTTTGACTTCCACACCTGATTGTCAGAGCGAAAAAATGCCCGCTCTTTTTTGTGTCTAACCTGAATTCTGTTTGCCGAGGCTCTCACTCCCGTATGTGATGGTCTGGTCCGTCCTGGGCTTGCCTAGCTGCGGTTGGCGGAGTAATCGAGAAGCCTAGGTTGCTTCGGCAGCGGCCTAGTTTGCCAGGTCTAAGACTGCCGAGCCTGCTTGTTATTGGTTTGGTCGAGCTTGTTTCCGTGCGAGAATGTTCGGACGGACCAGAAGGTCAACTCCGGAAATTTTGGTTGGGCAGGGCAACAAGCGAACACCATTTCCAAGGGTATGTCAACTCACCCTAGATGAATAACTTTTACCATAAGGAACTCCGTTGTACCACGAAGAAACAGCAGATACCATAAGGAAACGTTCTAAACCGCAAAATAAGCTAAAACTTCTGAGAGACAGAAGAGGGATGACTTTGTTACAGCATCATCCCTTGTCTCTGAGAGCTTGCGTGACTCAGAATCAACCCTCGCATTGCAGGATCTCCGGCAATGGCTGGTCATGGTAGTAGCAGCCTTCAAGCAAGACTTAGACGACTTCAGACTCTTCCAGGAAACAAGGAGTGTGCGGATTGTGGGTGTAAAAATCCTCAATGGAGCTCCGTTACCTACGGAATCTTTCTTTGCCTGGAGTGCTCTGGAGTTCATCGTAGCTTGGGCGTGCACATCAGTTTTGTAAGGTCTGTTGACATGGATTCTTGGAGTTCTGATCAAGTGATGCGAATGGAGGTAAGAACATGCGTTGATTGTGTATTTCCGATGTATTTCAGCATGCTAGCTTCATGAACCTTGCGTTTGCAGAATGGTGGAAATTCAGCGTGGAAAAGGTTTCTGGACCTATACCAGGGCGAACAGAGAGTAACCGATCAAGCTAATCTTTATCAATCACAAGCAGCTTCTTTGTATCGAGAGAAGGTGGATGCACTAACTGCTGGACGCCAGTGGGTTTCGCCTCCACCACCTCTACGCCAGCGGAGTGTAAGTGGTTACATAAGACGTTGACTGAAATTGTTTTCCTATGGACAACGTTTGTTTCAACGGCCTCTTCATGAACCTCACTGGTCCGCAGGTTCCATCACCCAGGAGCACGAGTACGCTGCGGGAGAAAACTAAGGCGAATAGCATTTCCATTTCCGCAATGGACCATTGGGATGACTGGGGAGATGGCTGGACGATAGCGCAGGCCTGATGTATATTTTTTCACTGACCAGGTTGCATGTTGAAAGATAAAAGAATAATCACTTGATACAGCAAAAGATGCGGGAGAAACTCCAAATGCAGATAATTCCTTCTGACCATGCCTACCGTACATGCCTCAGCTTGCGAGCATTACTGCTCCGCAAGGGTCATCTCGGAGCATCGTAGGCCGAGTGGAGTCAAATTCTTCCAGATCGACTGGTTGTACATAGGTAATATTCACAGCTCGGTCGAGGCGATATTTTCAAGAGTTAGCGCCAACGGTACCCCAGCCCTCGCCCCAGTCATCCCAACTTTGCGAGGCGACGGCTCGTGCGGGAGGAGCGGTGCATCTTCTGCTGGTTCTCGACACGGCGGACGAGGCTCGGGATGCAGCTGGTAGGGTAGAGCGCGCCTGTAGAAGCAAACACCAAGTGAAGAAGAACAGCATTATTAGAGTACTGATCGGCTGAAGTCCAGTAGAGGGACTGAGACTAGGAATAAGAGCAGAACAAAGGATGAGGGCAAATGCGGAGGGGAAATCGGATGTTATTATTGGAAGGAAGGGGAAATTTGATTCAGGGTGGAATGCTCACCACTGTCTTTTGCTTAGGCGTCAGACCAGGAGGAGGGGTCCACACTCGACCAGCCACAAGCACGTCCAGCTTTTCCCGGTAGTACTGCGCAGCAGGCGACGCGTATCTCTTCGCTATCGTCGCCGTCTCAGTCGCATCGGCATATCGGTCAAGGAAATCGTTCCAGGCGGAATTTCCTCCAACCTCCATCCGCTTCAGCTGGGAATCGCTCCACGAGTCCATGATGACGGAACGGACGAAGCTGAGGTGGACGCCGAGGCTGCGGTGCGTGCCGGAGCACTCGAGGCAGAAGAAGATGCCGTACGTCACCGAGGCCCATTGCGGGTTCTTGCAACCGCAGTCCGCGCAGGCTTGGTTGCTGGCAATCGACTGCACCTTTCGTAGCCGGGCTTGCATCATGGGTGTCGCCATTGTGGACGAACAAGGAAACGTGCTAGGGTTGGTGAAAGGTTACGGTTTAGAAGTGAGTTACAGTTACAACTGCGTGTTCGGTCCTCGACCTAGGAAAAGGCGGTTGATTAATCTCTACTGACTGGAATAGTGCAGGTCTTAGGATTGATTGACAAAAGTGCGGAGACCATTCGTCGGTGTGTTGCGTGATAAAAGAGGTCACCCCTGTCACCAAGACGTCAGTTCGTTTGTGAAAGCCTGGATAGAGACGATACTACTGGCCAGCACTCAACGTCTCAGCAAGGAGCTCCGAACACAGGGAATAGAAGATCAAAAGACGAGCAATGCAATCAAAACTACGGCTAGGATGGTACGAATGACCAGACACGCTGTCACAAATAATTGAGGGCGATGGGCCGAACACAGGGAAGAGCGGAGCGGATGACCCGAGAAAAGGGGGACGGGCAACCGACTGAAGGCGGGAGAGGAGTGCGCGCCGCTCCAATAATTTCGTGCTGGGAGATGGATGGGGGAATGAAAGCGAGCGTGCTCTTGCCAAAAACAGGCGGGGTAGATTTTGGGGGGAAGAGGGGAGCTGGGATGGAGAGGATTCTGAACTTCGCTGGTTGACCTTTCGGTGGCTGGCGGCGATCCCTAGCCCCCACGACCGAACGGAGGGGAAGCGCACTTAGTGGCGGTGGCTGTGGTTTTGCTCTGCGGGGTTGTTCGTGGCCTCGTCGGCTTGACTGATGCGCAATAAGCACTTTGGGGAAGAAAGGGTATGCTATGCGCAAAGTTGAGAAACACGGAGAATTCAAACGTCGGTTGGGGGGCAAGTGAAGGGGCGGGGGTGTGCGGAGGGCGGAAAACAGGCGGGGCGCGTGAGAAGTGGAGGGAGGGAGTCGCAGGGGGGTAGCCTGCGCTGGACGGGAAACGTCCATTCCAAGATGGTAGGTGAGTGGAACCGCATGCGACACGGCATGACCTTGGGAGATTCGACGTAGAAGACACGTGAGCCAACAATGTACAGGTGGTGGCGATGCTTTTCGCGACAAGTGCTCCCGGTTGTCGTTGCGAGTGTCGCAACAGTTGAACGATTCAGATTGGGTAAGAGTAATAATCAATGGCTCGATGCAGTCGTTCGAGCACGTCCACGACCCGCTGGTAAATCTGCAAGACGTCGTCTTTCAGGTTCGAAGCGCGTAATTTCCGAACCATCAACCTCAGCACGTCGGATGAAGGTGGAGAAGACGCGGTGCGAAAGCCTAGAAATAGGCCCGTTTGCCTTTCGCGACACTGTAGCGGGGATTTGGTGAGGCTCAAACCCTGCTGTGGCTTGGTTGGTGAATATTTGCTGTCAGCCGTGCCAGCAGAGCCTCACCTGATGACACCTGAAAACAGTTACAGCATTGCACAGTGCATGCCAGCACATCATCGCACTGTGTGGAATTAATCCGTTCGCTATTGTCACACAGCACAAAGCCGCTTCGTTGTGAGATGTGACTGGTTTGAATGAATCTCACGCCGTGAGGTGACCATCCACGACGTCCACGCCGAGCCCAGACCTTGACGGTCACCGTCACCGACTACACCGAGCTGTCTTTCGCGACATATGTTCATCCACGCTGGAAACTGTAGTAATTTGGCTTGCTGTTCCTGGCTCACCATTCACTTCGAATCCCGCGAGTACAATATGACCGCCCTTCAGGCAAAAAGAAAAGCATGTGATTTCAGGCAAGGGGAACGTGGTGTATTTACATTCCGCCTGGACATAACTTTCAATCACTAGTCCCCGCAAGAATCCAAAAACTTCCCTCGATCGCAATCCGCATCTCTCTTTCCCCATCCCCACCCCAACCACAGACAGGTGAACGTGGTGTGATGCTATACAGTTGGTGAAAGACATCGTGTTACACTGCAGGTACCGGATCAAAATAAGATGGCATACATTGACTAATCAAGCAGCTTATGCGGCAACTGGGGCAGCATTGAGGGCCTTGAGGGGGTTGGTGATAACCGCATCAATCAAGCCATACTCCTTGGCCTCAGTTGCACTCATGAAGAAATCGCGATCCGTATCCTGGCAGAGCAAGGCCAAAGAGGGCATGAGAGAAAAAGCAGGGGCAAGGGAGCATGGGAGGAAATTGAGATTTATTGAAACATTGAAGTAAAGGGATTAATCAAGATGCCTGGATGACAAATCAACTACAGTATGCAATCATTAGAGACAACAATCTCAGCCGAAGTCTTCCAAAATGGTCGTAAAATTACCACTCAGTAACCGTTCAGGTTGGTCTCAGCAGGGCACTCAGTTTGAGAGCACCTTGACGTCTCAACCCGAAAGCCTCACAGCTCACCTTCATGCTCTGACTGCTAATCTGCTCCTACACCACCTCTCGCTCACCTGCATCACCTGTACGATCCGCTCACCTGAAAGATCTGGTCGCAGGATTGCCCGGTGTGGTACGCCAGGTTGCCGTTCAGGTTCGCCTTGTGGTGCAGAATCCCGTTCGCCTGAATCTCAATGTCCGTCTGCTGCACCTGTGCTGTGCCCCACTGCCCACCCTCCAACTGCTACCCTCTGCCTCCACACCACCTCCTCTCACCTGCATGGTCTGCTCAAAGCTGCACTGCCCACTACCCTTCCAAACAACCTCAAGCAATTCTTTCTCACCCGCACAACCCTCTCACCTGAACGATCTGGTCGTAGGATTGACCGGTGTGGTACGCCAGGTAACCATTCAGGTTTGCCTTGTGGTGCAGGGTCTCGTTCGCCTGAATCTCAATGATCGTATGCTGCCTCTGTGCCCCACCGCCCACCCCCCAACTGCTATCCTCTGCTTCCACACCACCCTCCCTTTCATGTGAATAATCCGCTCACCTGTAAATTACTGCTCCCTCTCACCTGAACGATCTGGTCGTAGGGTTGGCCGGTGTGGTATGCCAGGTAGCCATTGAGGTTGGCCTTGGGGTGCAGACTCTCATTTGCCTGAATCTCTCGGTGTCCCTTCTTCCACTGCTACTCTGCTTCCACACCACCTCACCTGAATACTCAGCCCCCTCTTACCTGGACGATCTGGTCATAGGATTGACCGGTGTGGTACGCCAGGTAGCCGTTGAGGTTTGCCTTGTGGTGCAGAATCTCGTTAGCCTGAATCTCAATGTCTGTCTGCTGTCCCTGCGCTCCTCCCAGCGGCTGATGGATCATAATACGGCTGTTGGGCAGGCTGTAGCGCTTGCCTGATGCCCAGAAAGGAGGGGGGAGGGTAGTGGGAGGGGAGGGGGAGTGGAGCGGAAGAATGAGAAGGAAATGCAGAAAGGGGTTGAGGGGATTACATGCGACTGAAAGACCCCCTGCGCTCCTCCCAGTGGCTGATGGATCATAATACGACTGTTGGGCAGGCTGTAGCGCTTGCCTGAGGGAAAGGAGGGGCAGAGAAGGGGGCCGGAGTGCACAAGGAAGCACGCATAGGAGCTAAATCGACTGTATGCGGCTGGGAGTGCCCCTCTGCTCTTCGCATCCCAACAGCTGATGGATCACAATGCGACCGTTGGGCAGGCTGTAGCGCTTGCCTGGGAAAGAAGAGGAGGGATCGAAGGGATTTGGGTGGGGGGGGGGATGGGGGGAAAAGAGCAACAACAAGAGGCAACGGGTGGAGTGCTGCCATGCAGCTCCTTAGTCGAAACAGGCCACAGGTGGCCGTTCCAAGAAGGCATAAGAGATCAGCTCAGAATAGACGAACACACCTTTTGTTCCAGCTGACAGGAGGAAGGCTCCCATACTGCACAAGAAGGACGGTAAGCAAGGCGCCCAGACAACAAAACACAGAGTGGAAGGGAAAGGGTGAGGAAACGAAAGGAGGCAAGGGAACGAGCAGGCAAGCATGCTTCGCTGGAACAACGCTGACCTGGCAGCAAGACCGACAGACGCAGAACGGACACACATGCACCCAACTCACACGCCACTTCCCCTCCCTCCCATCCTCCCCCCTCCCCCCCCCACAGTGCGCCTTATTCACACACCATATTCACAAAAATGCATCCAGCTCTTTAGAAGGGCATGAGTGGAGGGAGCTGGCAAATATGCCACTCTCTGACACAACGCTGACCTGGCAGCAAGGCCGACACACACGGTGCTGACGTCAGGCCGGATGTGGCGCATGGTGTCAAAGATTGCCATGCCTGAAAGAGGGGGAGAACCGAGGAAGGGGGGAGAGGACGGGGGGAGAGGGGAAGATGGGAGGGTTATGGGAAGGAGGCACTGGCATCAGTGGCGCATGGTGTCAAAGATTGCCAGGCTCTGAGTGATGAGGATGGGGGATTGGAGGGGGAAAGGGAGTGGGGGAGAAGCACGAGGGAGGGGGATTGGGGTGACTGAATGGTGCTGTTTTCACGCCAGATGTGGCCGATAGTGTCAATGGCCATGCCTGAAGGGGGAAGGAGGACGGGGCAGGGAAGGGGAGTCTCCAATTCGTTTCGTCTCCCAGCATCAGTCATCCCTCGTCCCTCCCTCGTTTCGGTCCAGCCCTCGCTCCCACTCTCCCCACTCGCCATTCCCCAACCTCCACCCGCCGTTTCCCACCCCCCACCCGCCGCTTCCCACTCCCCACTTCCCCCTCCCCATTCCATTCCCCACTCATCCTATTCCTCGCACTCACCAGCAGTCACGGAGCCACCAGGCGAGTTGACGTACATGATGATGTCCTGTGGTGGGGGGGAGGTTGGTGGGACGGAGGAGGGAATGGGAGGGAGTGGGAGGGAGTGGGAGAGAGTGGGAGGAGTTAGGCGAGTTGACGTACATGATGACGTCCTGTGTTGGGGGGCAGGGGAGGGGAGAGAAGAGGGGTGGATGAGGGGGTTGAAATACAGGCGTACATGATAATTTCCTGTATTTAAGGGAGGCGGAGAGACGGCGTGAGAGGGGTCGGGGGGACAGATGAGGAGGGGCAGGGGAGGGAGGGGAGTGGGGGGGCTGGGGCGGACAGGAGGTTTGCTGCGAGAGAGTGGTGAAGCGGAAAAACAACGTATGAAAACGGACGAGGTGTCCATGCCTCGAGGGAGGATGGAGAGGGGCGGGGACGGTGTGGGGGGAGGGGGGGGAAGTGGAGGAGGGGGAGTGAGGAGAGAGGGGGCGAGAGGAATTTTGAGACTTTAGGTTTTCGGAGGAGGTAAGAGCTATGAAGTGGATGTATGGGTGGGATCAACGGCTGTGATGCACTCACCTTGGTGGGATCAACGGCATCGAGGTAGAGCAGCTGCGCCACGATGAGGTTCGCCATGTCATCGTCCACCGCGCCGCCGCACCGGATGATGCGCTGATGAGGGCGGGGAGGGGGATGGGGAGTGAAGAAGCGGAGAGTACGTGAGGAGGACAGTAGGCTCAAGGGGAAAGGGGGACATGCGAGGCGAGAAGGCGGGGGTCACGATGAGGTTCGCCGTGTCGCCGTCCATCGCGCCGCCGCACCGTTGATGCTCTGGAAAGAGGCGGGTGGGGGGATTGTGGGTGTGTGTGGGAGAGAGGGGGGGGGGAAGGGGGAGCTGGGGGAAACAGGCGAGTAGCCGGGTTACGGCGGAGGGGTTATGTGTGAGGAAGTAATTGGGAGGTATCGATATTGGATTTTGTTGCTATCCATTAACCACCCTGAAACGCACGAACCCTCGGGACGGGCTAATCCACGTGCCCGACCGCACCGTACGTACGTACGTACGTACGTACGTACGTTTTGAAAGAGCTGGGAGATGACCGACTGGAAGCGCTCCTGCAGCATGGGGGACGGCGCTCCCTGCCCCGCCATCACCTCCGGTGCGCCCATGAACAGACTCTGCGGCACTTCCAAGTCATTCCTGGGGTGGTTGGGGGAGGGAGGGAGGGGAGGGCAATGCGCGGTGCGCGGAACGTTTTTTTTTAGGGGGAGGGGGTAGGGAAGAAGGAAGGGGAGGAGAGGATGAGGGGCAAGCGGAAGACAGGAAAAATCCAGACTCCGTTTTCCTCGCGGGAACTCACTTGATGGACCAGATATCGCCGCTGTTTGCGGCGGAATTCGGGGTCCAAAGGCGCTCCGAGCGGACGGCGCTGCAGCGCACGACGGCAGCGGATGCGCGGCTGAGGCAGGGGGAGAACACGCGGATGAAGGAAACACATCGGGGAAAATTTAGGAGGCGGGGGGGAAAGGGGAGAAGGGGGAACGGAAGGGAAGGGGAAGGGGACGGGATTGTGGGAGGGCAGGGAGTGGCAAGAGGCGAGATGGGAAGGGAATAAGTGGGGAACGACGGAAAATATAGAAGATTGAAGGGAGGCAGAAGAACGATCGGCAAGCCAGCTGAAAGCAATCTGCAATCGGCAATCGATCGCTGACCGTCGATTCTCGATACATAATCTGGTCGTTTAACAGGCAATGCACAAGATTGATCAGCATCGATTGCCTTCCGCGAGCTTAGTTCAAACCCGCAGATACTGAAAGTGTCGAAAACCTTGAAAGTAATCGCCAGATCGGACGTGAGATGTCGAAGGTCTACTGAATCCCTACTCCACTACGTACTACGCAGGCCGCATAGACTAGAGGAAGGAGGCTTCTGGCAACGCACAGACTAGCCGTAATTGCTACGCATTGCGCATCAAGAATGAATCACGAAGTATGCACTGTAAGCTAGCATATCTAAGCTAGCGGGTCCTGTATACTATACCGGAAACTACTAAAACAACGCCTGCTTACGCTAGCGAGACTCTACAACACCTCATCTAGAAACAACGGAATCTAAGCCTCTCTGAACTAGCACCTTCATCACACGACCTCGTAATTCTACATCGGTACTACCTCGTTAGTACTTCGGTAACACTACCTGGGCGCGGCCATCTGTAGTCTCTTGTGCTGGCTCGCCTTCAGGCTCGTGCTACCCACGAAGGCTGACGGCTTCACAGCCGCTGCCGTCTGCATCGTAACGGCTGACATGGTCTTTGCCGGTTGATCGGTTATAAGACGACGGCTGATCTTCCCTGCAACGACGAATTCTGGGACGATCACAGCACTAAGAGACCAAGCAACTCCCAGAAGCAATAACTACAGGCTAGGAGGAAAGCTAGCCCCAAGGAAACTATTTCTAGGAACATCCGAGCACTAGGGTTCCAGGGAGGAACTTCCAGAAAGTGCAGATAAATCAATATTTTCGTACACCTCCGTACAAGAGCAAATGCTGGCCGTTGGATAAATGAATATCCGAATCGACCCTGGAGAACTTCGTGTTCTTGAAGCGGGGCGCATAGAAGGCTGTGTGCGACAATGGCGCAGGAGAATCTAGACGGTGGAGGCGGGAAGGGAAACATGATAGGTGATTAGGCGACGTGGCGAGTTGAGACTGAACACGCAGCGAATAACGCTACGCCACGCTGGCGCGGATGTGACGGCTGTCGTGTTCAGCTCCACCAGCAAAAGCATAAATAGTTGGAGAATATACACTAACGAGATGGATGTTCAACTAAACAGAACACTTTTATATCCATCATTTACAGGTATTGAATTATCTCATCACACTTCATTCCACATCCTTGGAGCTCCTCTTTTCATAAACACCATCCTTCCCTCTCACCCAGACCTCTCCTCTATGCTCCATCACATCCAAAATCGCGCTCTTTCGCACATAACCTCTCTCCCTACCTCTAAAATAATGTTCACGCAGAGCTTGTTCCTTCCCACTGAGCCAACCACGCCTCCTCGTCGGAGGACCTTCCTCCTGCACGCCCTTCTTTTTCGAACGTGCAATCCTCTTTGAGCCAGCAACATCTGACCCATGAAAATCTCCTCCACTCCTTTTTTCTTCCGCCACTTTCCCCTCCCAATCTCTCAAATCGCCCCGCTCTCCTCGTCTTCCTTTCTCCCTCCACCCATCTTCAACCTCCCAATTTGTCAAGTCACCCTCTCTCACCTCCCTCATCTCTCCCCCCACCTTCCATCGAGCCTCCCTGCCTCTCCTCCCCCTCTCCCATCCATACCCCTCCACTTCCTCCCGAGGTTTCGCCTCTCCCACATCCTCCCCTGCATCCAACCATCCAGTTCTACCTCCCCCAGAAGGCTCCACCTCCCACCGCCCGTTTCTTCTGAATACTCGGTCCATACTAGTGTCCATTGCTGAATCCGGCACCTCCCTTCCTGTTGCTGCCCTTCCTCCTGCTACAGCCCTCTCTCCTGCTATAGCCCTACCTTCCGCTACAGTCCTCTCCCCTGCTTCAACCCTATCTTTTACCACTGCCATCTCCCCTACTACAGCCCGGCCTTCTGCTGCTGTCCTTTCTCCTGAAACTGCCCTGCTTTCTGCCACTACCTCCTCTCTTGATACAGCCCTGTTTCCTACCACAGCCCTCTCTCCTGCTACTACCCTATCTTTCGCTACAGCCTTCTCCCTTACTGCAGCCCTGCCTTCTGCTGCTGTCTTTTCTCCTGATACTGCCCTGCTTTCGGCCACAGCCTCCTCTCTTGATACAGCCCTGTTTCCTACCACAGCCCTCTCTCCTGCTTCTATGGGTTGTGGCGATTCTCTTACTGACAGAGGAGTATGAGCAGCAGGGGCGGCAGAGGCTGTAGGGGCAGCAGCGGCAGCATGGGAAGCATGAGCAGCAGGGGCGATTGAGGTGTGTGTCACGCGCTCTCCCTTGTCCCCTTTGAAATTGGCAGCAGGTGGAGGAGGCGCATCAGCAGCAGGGGCGATTGAGCGGCTTGCCATTTTCTCTCTCTCAGCCCCAGTTGGAATGGTAGCAGGCGACGGGGTAGCAGATGAATCACCAGCAAGTGTTTTCGATAGAAAGGCAGCGGCAGCTGTAGCAGGGGCAGCTGTAGAAGCACCAGAGCCAGAACCAGCAGTAGCAGCAGCGGCGGCAGAGAGAGCAGAGGCAATTCGAGCCAAGGCCACTGCAGCAAAGAGAGCAGTTGCTGCTGCTGCTACCTCTTTCCCTGCAAATACTGCTGTCTCCTTGCTCGATCCTCCTGCTGCTGCCTCCTCTGCTGCTTCCTGGCTACCGATTGCAGTAGCCACTGAAGCCACAGCACCTGGAGCGCCAGCATAAACACCACTATCATACCCAGCAGCAGCATCACCATCATCATCAGCAGCAGCAGCAGCAGCATCACCATCATCATCAGCAGCAGCAGCAGCATCACCAGGACCACCAACAGCAACACCACCACCACTTGGCACACCTACGAAACCCTCCACTTCTTCCAACACCCCATACGTAGAAATCTCCCCTTGTGATGTTCCCAGTGTCCCCTTCAAATGCATTCCATCACTTGCTGCTGCTGCTGCTTCTGCTGCGTCTGCTTCTGCTTCTGCTGCTGCTTCTATTTCTGCCTCTGTTGCTGCTTCTGCTCCTGCTGCTGCTGCGTGTTGTGTTGCAGCTGTGTTATCCTCCCTCCCAAGGTCTCTCCTTTCTCCTGATTTTTCATCCTCTTCCCTTCCTGCCTGTGTTATCCTACCAGCATGGCGCCCTTCCACACTGCCCCCTTCATTCAACCCTCTCCCATCATCTGACACACCTTTCCCCCCTGATTCTTCTCCCTTAACCAATCCCTTACCATCTCCCTCACCCTCTACCCTCCCTTCTCCCTCACCCACTCCACTCCCTTCACCGTCACCCTCTCCTCTCCCTTCTCCCTCACCCTCTCCCCTCCCTTCACCCTCACCGTCTCCCTTTCTTTCCCCCTCTCCCTCGCCCTTCCCTCCATCCTCCTGCACACGAGCAGATGTAGACCCCTCGCCCTCGCCCTTCCCCTTGTGTGTCGTTTCCAGCACCACCAAATCAGTCCAAGGACCAGCAACCGCACTGGATGACTCAGAACCACTGGGCGGAAGAGCTAGGGTAGTGTCAGAATCACTAGATGGAAGAGCCAGGGCACTAGGTGCTGCTTCTTGAGGCGCCTTAGAAGTCACACTGTCCGGTTCAGAGCCACTGGGCGGAAGAGTGAGGGCATCATATGCTGCTGCAGAGTCTGTTCCCGTTGCTTTGGCTGCTGCATCCTCTGCCGTATTCTTCCCTGCAACGCCTCCTGCTGTTTTGAGACGTCTCAAAACCGAGTCTGTTCCCGTTGCTCTGGCTGCTGAGTCCTCCGCCGTACTTTTCCCTGCAACGTCTCCTGCTGCTGCAATGCCTGCTGCATTGACAGCAGCAGCAGCAGTGCCACCACCACGAGCAGGACCAGCCACGGCAGCAGCACCAGAAGCAACATCACTGGGAGCACCATTGGCAGCGTTGGCAGCATTAACAGCACTACCAGCGCTATCAGCAGTAACCCCACTTACACCACTGGTAGCACTTGCAGTCTTAACAGCTTTTCCAGAAATGGGGGTTTGTCTACCCGAGCCCTCCTCCTCTCCCTCGGATAAGTGATCATCATACCCCCTTGCCACCCCTCTCCCCTCCCGTCCTCCCTCCTCGTCCTCCTCATCCCCACCCAACAACCCCACCCACCTCCTCCTCCGCACCCCTCTCCACCGCTCACCAGCCCCTTCACTCCCTTCCAACTCCCCTCTTGCGCCCTTCCTCCTGCCCCCTGTAACACTACTCTCCTCTGTGTACACAATAACCCCCACCTCTGCTCCCCTAACTGCTGCCCCTCTCTCACTCCCACCTTCCCCTCTCCGCTCCTGCTCCTGCCCCTTATCCTGCTCCTCCTGCTCCTTCTCCTTCTCCTTTCGCTGCTCCTGCCTTTGCTCTTCCTCTTGCTTCTGCTGCAGCAACAGCTTCTCGTCCTTATCCTCCTTCTTTTCTTCTCTTCCATCCCCCCCCTCCCTCCCCTCCCTCCCCTCCCTCCCCACCTCATCACCCTTCCCTGCACTCCCACTCCCAACCATCCAACTCCCCCCTTTCTCAACAACTTCTTTCTCCCTCTTCCAACTCCCGTCCCCCATCTCCTCCTCCCACCCATCAGGAACCCTTAAAGCCACCACCCCAGCTGCTGCTGTAAACCCCACAGCCGCCGCTGCTGCAACCACCTTCCCTGCTTTTATCCCAAGCGGGGTGTCCTGCTGCTGAAACCGCTCTATCTGCTGCTGCAACCGCTCTATTTGAACCTGGAACCGTTCCATCTGACCCTGAACCGCAGAGAAAAACTGCACACCTTGGTTCTCAATCCCGTTCAACATCCCATCGTCTCCCCTCCCATCCCTGTCTTCCCCTATCCCAATCTGACCCTCCATGCGTGCTTGAACAGTAGCATCCCCTTGTGGCCTCTCCCCCTCTTGGCTTGAGCCCACTCCGCCACTTCCTAACCCTTCCTCTGTGCTCTCATTCCCCTCCGCTACCATCTCAGCCCCTTCCTCCCCCCTCCCATTCCGTCCCCCCATAAGCGCCTGGACAGTGGGATCCCCCTGTAGCCTCTCCACTGCTGCTGCCGCCCATGCATCCAGAGAAAGCCTTTCCCCTGAAATTTCTCCTGAAGTTTCTCCTGGCGTTTCTTTTGATATTTCCCCTGAGATTTCTCCTGCGCTTGCTCCTGAGCTACCATTCCTCTGCTTCTCAAATTGCCCGTCTGCCTCCTTAACCGGTACGGCTGTAGCAGATGCAGAGACAGCTGCTGCTGGCGCCGCTTCTGCTGGCGCTTCTGCTGCAGGTGGCGGTGCTATTGCTTCTGCTGCTGGCGCTTCTGATGCTGTTGCCGCTGCTATTGACGGTGCCTCTGCTGGTGCTGGCACTGACAGTGGAGCTACAGGTACAGCTGGTGCTGGTACTGGTACTGGTGCTGGTGGTGGGAGGGGCAGTGGTTGCCATGCGGGAGGGGGTGGTGGAAGGAATTGAGACGGTGGTTCGAAGGGGGGAGGGGGAGGAGGAGGAGGAGGAGGAGGAGGAGGAGGAGGAGGAGGAGGAGGAGGAGGAGGAGGAGGAGGAGGAGGAGGAGGAGGAGGAGGAGGAGGAGGTATGTTTGAGACACCAAAGGCAGGCTGTCGGGACAAGGGCAGTGCATCCAAAGTGGCTGGCTCTTGCTGCTCCCCTTGGGAAAACGCTTCGACACGTTCTGCCTCCTGCTGCCCGCTTTGCTGCTGCCCGCCCTGCTGCCCGATTTGCTGCCCGCTTTGCTGCTGCCCGCCCTCCACCCCTGTGTGGCGTGCGGCAGAGAGGAGCTGCTGGAAGAACCCCACCAGCTCACCGTCTGACATCGCACGAAACCTGCACAGGCGTAAGTGAGAAGGGAGAAGGAGGAATGGGTGTGGTTCAGATTGTTGCCCGCCCTCCATCCCTGTGTGGCGTGCGGCAGTGAGCAGCTGTTGGAAGAACCCCACCAGCTCACCATCCGACATCACACAAAACCTGTTCAAACCACATGCAACCGTATTACAATCAAGCGGGGGGTGGGATGGGAAGGTTGGAGGGAAGGGGGTGGATTAGCCTTTTGAATTCATCGTGCGGCAGAGAGCAGCTGTTGGAAGAACCCCACCAGATCACCATCAGAGGGGGGGGGAAGGGGGGGGAAGGGGGGTGGGGGGGGGGGAGGGGATTCGCATTGAAGCAATTAGCAGCTGCTGGAAGAACCCCACCAGCTCACCGTCTGACATCACACGGAACCTGCCCAAACCATGTTCCATTTACGGGGGAATGGGGGAGGAAAGGGGGGGGGGGGAAGGGGAGGGGGGGGGACTCGTCTTGAAGCAGAGAGCAGCTGTTGGAAGAACCCCACCAGCTCACCGACTGACATCACACGAAACCTGCAGATGTTAGATCCAAAGGGGAGGCAGGGAGGATGGAATGGGGAGGGGGGAGAGAGGGGTGTTTGTTTTCATTTCATTACATTTTTTAGTCGACTCTTGAGTCGACTCAAAATGACTTTTGAGTCGACTCAAAAGGGGGGAGGGAAGAGAGGGGTGTTATTTTCATTTCATTACATTCGCCTTGAAGCAGTAAGCAGCTGTTGGGTTCCGTAGGAACCTACAGATGGGAGGGATGGGAGGTTAAAGGCAGGGCAGAGAGCCGATGTTTGATCAGAACAAAATGAGACTCATCATGGCTCATCAGCCACACCACTAACTCGTCGCCAGCCATGACTCAAGCATGTGTTTTTTGAGAATTCTCAAAAAACACACCACCAACTCTTCATCAGCCACACCACCAACTCGTCATCAGCCACACCACTAACTCGTCGCCAGCCATGACTCGACGTCCCTCGTTGCCGAGGGAGGGGGTAAATAGCTCGCCGTCTCGCGTTGCTAACGGAAGGGGTAAAGTAAACAGCTCCCAACGGGGGTAATGCTGACCCACCACTCCACCACGAATCAGCTGCTCCGGTATGCCAACTGCAATGCTCACGTACCTCTGCGTCTAGAGTATCTATTCAATGTGTTTGTGTGTGTGTGTGTGTGTGTGTGTGTGTGTGTGTGTGTGTGTGTGTGTGTGTGTGTGTGTGTGTGTGTGTGTGTGTGAGTGTGTTTGTGTGTGTGTGTGTGTAACATACCTCTGTGCCAGCTGCTCTGCTAGTAGCTGCTCCAGTGAAGGAAACGCTGGGGCTGCTCCCCCCCCTGGCACAGAAAGAGCTGTATACGCGACCGGGGGCGACCGTGGGAGAAGCAAGGAAGCTGAATCCCCGCTTTCCTGGTAACTAAGGGAGGGTGAATAATAGGCGACTGAAGGAGCGATACTGGTGGAGAGAGGGAGACTGATGGAGGGAGGGATGCTCCCAGAGGTGATCGTTGTGTCGGTTAGAGACGGTATGCTGTCATCCTGGCCGTTGAACGCGTATGTGTATCCCCCGCTGCGGCTGGAGGCCATGCTGCGTGTGCTCCCCTCCATGCTGCCGTGATACATGGTGTTGTCAAACAGATAGTCAAAATTGCCAGTAGCGGGTGTAGCAGCTGTAGCAGCGACTGTATCAGCGGCTGTAGCAGCAGTAGCAAAAGCAGACGGGTCGGAGAGACCAGGGAGAGGACTCAAAACCAGCGAACCGCTCAGCACCGCACTGCACACAGCCTGCAGCACGGACTTGCCAGTCCAGGCATTCTCACGCGTCAATTCCTCGCGTGCTGCGTTTCCCACGCATGCTCCACCTTCAGGCATTCTCCGCACTCCCCCATCACGTGGCAGGGAATTCTCAGCAGCTCCGGCTTCGCGTGCTGTGCTTCTCACGTGCACTCCTCCCTCGCGTGCTGTGTTTCTCACGTGCACTCCACCTTCAGGCATTCTCCGCACTCCCCCATCACGTGGCAGGGAAAGGTCAGCAGCTTCGGCGGGTCTATCTTCCCCGCTTGGTGACCGCCATTCCTCTCCCTGTTGCTCCCCTTCCGCTCTCTGTATCCCCGGCTCAATCTCCCCTGGTCCGCCTTCCCCCGATCCATGCGCGGCGGAACAGCGGTTGGGAGCGTGGGAGGGAGGCGCGGAAGCAGGCGCGGGGAAGGAGAACGACCGGCAGCGGCGGAGAGCGGCGATCTTGTCGAACGGATGCGGGGAACGCGCGGGTAAGCGGGGAAGCGGAGCGGGATTCTGCGGAACGGATGCGGGGGTGCGCGTGAAGGGGGAGGAAGTGGCGGAGGAGGGAGGTGGTGCCAGCGCTACTGCTGACGTGGAAAGATGGACGGCCATGATGGCACGCTTGATTTCGCATCTACGTCTATCTTTGCCTTGAACTTCCCTGAGGCGGATCGACCTCGATCGAACTTGATCGAACTTGGACGAACTTGAACAAACTACAAGCCTACACTGAGGCCTCCAATTCTTTTGTGAGAAATGTGAGCACTGCACACTGCTGGGTGGCTGCGGAGCGGTATATCACTTGCTTGCCATGTGTTAGCATAGGAGTTGCCGCCTACTAGCTCCCATGAGAATACGCGACACCAATTTCTGCGATATCTGAAACCTCTGTATACAAAAAAACCGAAGGATGATATGATAACTTTTTCTCTGTGACATATGAGAGCCAGGTTGTATGTTTCTACATACTTTGGAATCCACGGAACGTAAATAGATGCATGCAAACCCGACCGTTTCCTGTTTTAAAGACAAATTTCCTATAGCTCCTAACACAGAAAAGAAATACGGATAGGGCATTATAAGTAAGGGATAACATGTTTGATGATGTTAAAAAAACGGCTATTTTCATGCGACATGAAACATTCAGGAACTAACTGAGGAAACTAGTGACCAAGCAATGACATTGAATTCTGGTCGAGGTTTTATCCCTCACTCAAGAATGAAAGCTGCTGAACACCGACTGAACCCTCTATTGCGTCCGCTAATAACGCACGACGCTGGAGTGGCTTACCACCAGTGAATCCCAAACCATCCAATCTCGCGCATCGTCAATTTTCGTTACTCTTCGTGAGGGCTTAGCTTTCGCCACGCCTTTCTTTCATCTCCCCCTCCTGCCTGTGCTCTCCTCTCCTGTTCGGCGAATAACTCGCCTTACCTCCTCTTACTTCCCTCTCTTACGTCGCAGACCCTAAGGACCTGCGCGCTCGGCGTCACACACGCTGCATCATCCCGACTTAGTCGCAGGGTCTCACATACCCTCTCGCAGGTTAGAACACGCTTCCCTACCTTGCTAGTCAGTCATACTATACTGTGCATCAATGGGTGTTATAGAATTCAGGCTCATGGCTCGTGTGCGTGGGGTTCCCAGTCTCCTGCCATTCCGTGATCATCGCGTCTCGTGTCGTGTTTCGCCCCGCCTCACGTCGTGCCACGTGTCGTGTGTCCATTCGTGCAGCCATGTTTACAGCGCGCAGAAAGATTCAGAAGGAGAAGGGTCAGGAGCCCGATGAGTTCGAAGAAACCGTCGCTCAGGTGCGTCACGTCGCAATTAGCTGCGTTCTCTGATACGCTCATCCCCACGGTCCGTGCGGTCATTTTTCATCACGCAGCATTGACGTAGCGTTTCATAGATGCAGCACCTACTTGACGGCCGTCTGGGGATTAACGGCCATAACTGAGGGTCAGATGTCAGGAGAGTTCAGTACACGGGAGATAAACGTTCACGGAGGCGTTAGGTTAATAACGACGGCCGTCAGTGGAGCAGACAGTATTCAACGGCATCGGCCTTAAGAGGAGCAGATCGTCTTGAAGATATAGTCGCACACCTTAGACAAGCTGATTGCTCGAGGCAAATTTCCAGCCTCGCCGAAGCTGCTTTTCTAGTCAATTCTCGAGTTTCGCGTGACAGCATTTACCGTGTCTCTGACCGTAGGCTCGACTCGGAAGCTGTTTCAGGGACGTTAGACTTAAGGAGCTGTTTCAGGGACCAGTCGTGCCAAAGTTAGGGCCAAGACGCGTATGAACCAGGCACAGCAGGATAGAGTGGCTAGCGAACGGGTACGGATGGCTGGTGATAGGGTGACCGGGGTATTGAAGCAGTATAGACGTTTCAGAGTGTCGAAACCAATGGCTGGTGAACGAGCGGGCTGTGATTAGGTGATTAGTACGGTCACACGCTTTGTGTGCTGGGGCAGTTGAGACGTCCCGAGTCGGACGAATAAGTGGTTAGTGAACGAATGATCGGGTGGATCCAGTTTTCGGGCAATGCTGCGTCAGAGCAGGGTTCGGGTTTCGAGCACTTAGAGTCTAACCGGTGCCTAGCTGCTAAATAGGTTGTAGTCGGTTTGTCGTAGAGCCTGTCGCACCCAGGAGTCATTGATCAACCCTAAGTTTGATGCTGTTCTGATATGCCTAGTACGCATATGAAGTCGGTTTGAAAATAGCGCCGTTGCAGTCACTTGCTCTAATCGAATCCTCGTGTATTGGCGTGTTTGTTCGCGGTGGTCTAATTCGATTGGACTGCAGGCCCTCTTCGATTTGGAGGCGACCAACCAGGAGCTGAAGAGCGACCTGCGCGATCTCTTCATCAACAGCGCCAAGTACGCTTCATTCCCTTTTTCGCTTCGTTTCCCCCTCTGCCTCGTTCGCTCCCGCTTCCGCGCTCACCCCTCCCCTTCCCGCCCCCCCTTCCCTTACAAATGTGGTTTTCCTTCTTCAACGTGGTCATGCACGTTCCTTACCGCCTGCGGAAGAATACCCGTCCTAACCCCCTAGACAATCCATTTCCCAACCCCCGTCCCCATTCTGTCGTCTACTCTCGCCACATGGAGATGAGATCGACTTGTCAAGGAGCCGCAAGGCCGTGATCGTGCACGTACCGTACCGCACAGGGATGAATTTAAACCAGTTACCAATTTTCCGTGCCCCCTTTCCCCCCTTTCCTTGTGTCCTCCGCAGGGAGATCGACGTGTCGAGCAGCCGCAAGGCTGTGATCGTGCACGTGCCGTACCGCTACGGAAGGATTACTCGTCTCCAATCCTCATCCCCCTATCCCCATTCCCCATCCCCCTATCCCCATTCCCCATCCCCCTATCCCCATTCCCCATCCCCCTGTCCCCATTCTCCATCCGTGCCATTACCAGGGAGATCGACGTGTCGAGCAGCCGCAAGGCCGTCATCGTGCACGTGCCGTACCGTCTGCGCAAGGCATTCCAGAAGATCCACGCGCGCCTCGTGCGGGAGCTCGAGAAGAAGTTCAGCGGCAAGGTGCGGTGGATAGGGGTGGTGAGCGGTGTGGTGCGGTCGAGAGGGGCGACGTGCGGTTGAGGGGTGAGATTGGGTGGGGGGTCAGTACCGTCTGCGGAAGGCGTTCCAGAAGATCCACGCGCGCCTCGTTCGGGAGCGAAGAAGTTAAGCGGCAAGGTGCAGTGGATAGGGGGCGAGATGTGGTGGGATACAGTGGAGAGGGGCGAGGTGTGAGCGAGAGGGGCGAGGTTAGGTGAGAGGTTTAGGAGAGCGGCAGTACGTGAGCGGCAGGGTGCCTCGTGCGCGAGCTCGAGAAGTTCAGCTGCTAGTTGCGGTGGAGGGCGGCAAGTTGCGGTTGAGAGGGGCGAGGTGCGGACGAGAGGGGTCTAGGTAGAAGAATGATAGCAACTGGAAGAGGGTGCGCGGGGTGTGGGAAGGGGTGCTTTTTGAGGGGCGACGTGCATTGCGGGAGAGGCGCTGGAAGGATGAAGCCCCGCATTTTTTCTGGGAAGAATTGGCGGGAGAGGCAGAGGAGAGCTGGAGGGATGGGAGCACATGGGAGAGTGGAGAGGGTTGGGTTGGGTGTGAGCAGGAAGAGGCTTGATGGGAGCAGGGGAGGCTGGGTGTGAGCTGATAGAGGCTTGGTGGGGGCAGGGGAGGATCGGGTGTGAAGAGGAGAGGTTACAGTGTGTGAAAAAGGATTGGAGGCGCAGGTTTGGGAAGTCAATGGGAGATGAACGGACGTTTTGCAGCTCCCCAAGCCGCGCAAGGGCTGCAAGATGGTGCGGCCGCACATGCGCACGCTGACGGTGGTGGACTCATGCCCTGTGACCTATCTACCCCCTTTGCCCTGTCCGTCGTCTCCCTTTCACGCCCACAGGATGTAGTGCTGGTGGCCACCCGTCGCATCCTGCCCAAGCCCTGCAAGGGCTCCAAGGTGGTGTGGCGGCGCACGCACACGCTGACAGCAGTGCACTCATGCGTTGTTATCCTTTTTCCCCTCTGTCCCACTTCACCCTTCCCCTCTCTCAGGATGTAGTGCTGGTTGCCACCCGCCGTATTCTCCCCAAGCCCCGCAAGGGCTCCAAGGTGGTGCGGCCGCGCACGCGCACGCTGACGGCGGTGCACGAGGCGATCCTGGAGGACCTCGTCTTCCCCACGGAGATCGTCGGCAAGCGCGTTCGCTTCCGGTTGGACGGCTCGCGCATCATGAAGGTACGGTGTTGTTTATGCAGTGTACATATAGCCTCTTCAACTTTTCAAAACATGCCCGCTTCTGGTTGGACGGCTCTCGCATCATGAATGCACGGTGACAGCAGGATGAAGGTGAGAGTTGCTTTGAGAAGTGAAGGTAAAGCTCGTCTGTGTTGTCTCAATGTATCATGAAGGTATGGAATGGTGGCAGTTTGCTGTGTGATCGTGAAGCCTTGGCGTGGCGGCCGCATCATAAAGATGGGATATCTTAAGGTGTGATTACCAGAGTATTCGTTGCAGGATCTTGTTTGCAAGGCGCCTTATCAACACGCACTGTCTGCTGCCTTGATCTCTCGTTGTCCCCCCCCTACACAGGTGTACCTGGACCCCAAGGAGCGCAACAGCACCGAGTACAAGGTGGAGACGTTTTCTGCTGCTTACAAGAAGCTCACAGGCAAGGATGTCGTCTTTGAATTCCCCATCACCGAGGCTGCTGCCTAAGTGACACGAAAACGCCAGCTCACTCTTCACTTACCTCCCGACGGTGGCTAGCAGCAGGAAGCGGAAATTTGCGCATCTCTAGGGAGAAATTGTGTTGCAAGCTGCTGCTGTCCTTGGAAGTATGTAATGTTCTATCTTTTGAAAGCTCTGATGATTTTTGCAGTGCTGTGGAAGTGTACATTCTCTGTGAACGTTAAAGCGACGGTGCACATTTGCCACCCAAAACCCAGAACCCTGGCGAACTGTTACTGCGGAAGCGACGGGCAACTTTTGGCAGTGTTGGGTTCAGAAGTTTTTTTTTTGAACCAGGCTTGCCAGCGCGAAAGTGCTGGCTGGCGAAAACCAGGATTTCGTGCGGACACTTTCCATCCGCAGTAACAGTTCGCCAGGGTTTTGGGTTTTGGGTGGCAAATGTGCACCGTCGCTTTAAGAGTACTTTTATCATAACACGGATTTGGGCTCCCAGGTGCAGGAGGGTACTCCGAACGTTGGGTGCTGCTACTGAACGACGCGAAAACACGACCTCGAGATGCACACAGAGATTAAAAAAGATTTCAGAAATCCACTTCTGTGCAATGCCGAGTCTGTTGCATCTCCAGATAAGCGACCATGTCCTCGCGAACATCAGCACAGCGAACCTTGAACCATGGCGGCTCGGATCGAGTTGACGCACACCTCCTTGATTCCCGCGTGCTTCCGCAATGCCTCGACGCGGTGGAATTCTGCCCGTCTCGCGATTTCCGCAGCACCTTCGCCGTGGCATCCTATCAACTAGTAGAGCCGCAGTCGTCTGGCGATGCTAACGTGGCTGCTACGATCATCGCCGAAGGTTCTTCTGAATCTCACGGCGAGGCGCCAAACGGAAAACGTCAGTCGCGTCTCGGCGGAGTGCATCTGTTCAACCTTGACGCCGTCGATGCTGACGTGTCAGACGATAATGGACGGCTCCCTGACAGAAAAGAACCGCCGTTTCCAGCCGCAGCACGCATGGTCCACCTACAGTCAGTCAGCGGTTGCGGCATTCTGGACATCAAGTGGCGAAGCGAGGGATTTCTTGGCCGGCGAGCAGAAGCAGACGAGCAGGAAGAAGAAATAGCAGATCTGAGGGAGCGAAGAGAGAATGTTGCTGAGCGAGGGAATTCGACTGTGCAGATGCTGCTGGCAGCAGCAACTGCTGATGGGACCGTAGATCTGCACGAGATGCATGGAGGACCGATCGCCGCTGCACCACCAAGCCTGTCACTGTACACCCGAATTCCTTTTCCTCCCTCCGATCCTGCCGAGCCTGACGCCAAACCTGCGATGTGCCTTGCGTTGGATTGATGGACGGCTGGGGAATCCGAGGCAGGAAGCGGGAACCGGGAGGAGCAGGAGGCAGATGCAGGGGAGAGCGGGAGCGGGGAGACTGATGAGGAGGGAGCGGGAGAGAGAAGGAGAGCATGGGGTGTGAGGAGGGATCGGATCGCTGTGAGTCGGTCGGATGGATCGCTGGCGGTGGCACGGCAGGGAGAGGGTGGTGCGTGGGTGGCGGAGCACGCGTGGCCAGCACACGAGTTTGAAGCATGGACATGCTGCTTTAACATCTGGAACCCTGAGGTGGGTGTGTGTATTCACCCCTTGAATGTGACATTTTGCTTGCTGCACTCCATGGTGATAGTGATTATACGCAAAATTGTTTTGTGTCATTTTCCTTGTAACCAGATCCTCTTGCATTCTCCTTTGACTCATTCTCCATAGTATCATTTTCCCTTTTCCTTTCAGGTGCTATACTCAGGTGGCGATGATTGTGCGATGTGTGCCTGGGACCTCCGTACACAAATCCCCTCCCCCTCTTCATCCCCGCTCTCTACATCCTCCTCGCGGCCAGCATGGCGCAACATCAAGGCACACCGAGCCGGGGTCACCTCTCTCCGCTGCTCTCCCCACTCTCCGCATCTCCTCGCGTCCGGGAGTTATGATGAGGCGGTGAGATTCTGGGATGTCCGCATGCCGCAAATGCCTGTAGCTGTTTGTCAAGTTGCAACAGGCGGAGGGGTGTGGAGGATCAAGTGGCATCCGGAGGAAGCTCACCTTGTTCTGGCTGCTTGTATGCATGGAGGAGCTACAATACTCTCTCTTTTCCAAGATCATCCCAGTGCTGTGGATACTCATATTTCACTTGCAGAGGATATAAAGGGTTTATTGTGCTGGCATGAGGCTGGGAGGGAGTCATTCCAGGGTCTATGTGGAGAAGTGGTGGAACGATATGAGCAGCACAAGTCCATGGTCTATGGCATCGACTGGGGTTCATGCAAGAAGTCATCAGGAGGTGCAAATGCAGAAGCTGATAGTGCATGGATTGTTGGCTCGTGCTCTTTTTACGACAAGTTGTTGCAGGTTTGGAGGCCTTGTGCTGTTTAGTGAATCTGTGATGACCCAGCTTTGTTGTGTCAGCACTGCACTGGATAGTTGTTGAAGAGAGGAAAATTTGTGTGAGTTGTGTGAGAAACGATTATCTGATGGAGTAGTGTTGAGTTCACCATGGGAGAGTTCTTTTGACAAAGAAAAATTACTCTATTTGTTGTGCATTCGTACGGTAACAGGCACTACAGTTGAACTAGGCGAAAAGAATGTGCCGCTTGAGCGAACCTTCAGCATTCGTCAGCTGATCCCGTTTCCGTCGACTTTTGGCGCGGTCGTGAAACACGTTCGTTCCTCTTGAAAATGGGCGCTTCCGTTGTACTGGTAAAAACAAACCGAGCTGAACCGATTACGTTTTCCTTTCCTGCTATGCTTCCCTGATTTCCATTCCCCCTGCACCTTGCCTTGCATTGCCTGCCAATGCAAGCCACAACGCTTAGTCAGCTACCGATACTACTATCATATCAGTGAAGCCATGATCTGACGATTAGTGCACGTGTCGTGGTAAATAGTCCAATCACGCTGTTCTCGAGTGACCGCTTTGTATATCATATTCGGGAGGCTCGATAAGTTTTACATTTAGGTCAACTGCTGCTCCAGAGACATCACTGATCGTTGTGACAACACGATGTGGGGAAGGTAGCACTAGATGGCTTAAACGTACAGTAAGTTTTGCATCTCCGCAGAATACCTTGTACTTATCGTTGAAACTTATTCGTCTCCTTTCAGGTTTGGAGGTGGAAAATCCGTACCTGGGAGAATAAAGCTCACCAGGGGTGAGCCTCAGCAAGCCATAAGCCCGACGAGTGCTGTGAGAGCACGGGAGGGTCCTGAAATTGATGCCGCTGAAATTCTTAGACCTTCAAACGAGGAGAGACAGGTACGGTGGTATGCTGATCGTTTTAGCTCCTAGCTTTTCACGTTATGCGTTCTTCTTATTGTGATTTTACTGTGCTTGACCAGCTAGCTTCGAAATCTAGAATACAAGAGGCGTCTCCACCAGTTGCGGAAACGGCTCCAGCCGTAGTAGAGCCGATGCCCGAGTCAAGATCCCTGGATACTGCTAGGGTTGCCAAATTCAGAAAGGAATTATCGGCTCCTGCAGTGGACCTAGGTAAATCTCGATTCAGATCAACCACACGTATGCTCTCGTTAAAGCTCTGGTCTTATCAAGCGTCGTGGCGATTACATTCAGATGCTCTTCGGGAGCTTTCATGGAGTGGCATACCTCCCAACTTAAGACCAACTGTCTGGCGTCTTTTACTGGTGAGAAGAAGAATGTTCACATGTGGTCAATAGTGCCAGCGGAATGCTGGTCATATTGATCCTTTCAATTTTGTATGCTTTCAGGGATACGCACCGCCAAACGCGGATAGAAGAGAGACAGTTTTAGCCAGGAAACGTCAAGAGTACAGGGAGTGGGTTCCCCAGTATTATGACATTCCAAATGAAGACCGCAGTGATGATGAAATTCACACTCTTCGCCAGGTAGGCGTCTTTCAGGTTTCGAATCCATAATCAACCCCACAATCCCGCCCTTTGACACCCAGTCCTCCTCTGTACAGATATCTGTAGATTGCCCGAGAACTGTTCCAGATGTCCCCTTCTTCCAGCAAACCTTGATGCAGACAGCAATTGAGCGCGTACTCTACATTTGGTAAGTTCCTGCATGGTTCGCTGTCGTCTCGCTATTGTGAAATAGTCATTGATGTGATTAAAGTGCTCGTTTTGCAGGGCTATACGCCACCCAGCCAGTGGATATGTTCAAGGAATTAACGACCTGCTGACTCCATTCCTCACAGTGTTTCTTTCGGAGATATTTGAAGGAGACATTGATACCTGGGTGGTTTCAAAGCTTTCTGAAGATACTCTCTTGCAAGTCGAGGCAGATAGTTACTGGTGTCTGTCCAAGTTGCTTGACGGCATCCAAGACCACTATACTTTTGCACAGCCAGGCATCCAGCGCCTTGTTTTCCGCCTCAAGGAGCTTGTGAGAAGGATTGATGGTGAGGTTGTTTTCTGTTGTGGCTTGGCCAACAGGCTGTATATAAACCTTTGACTCACTTCGTCGGATGCAATTTGCAGAGCCTGTCTCTCGACACATGGAAGAGCACCACTTGGAATTTCTTCAGTTCGCGTTCCGGTGGTTCAACTGCCTTCTAATCCGTGAGGTATGCCCATTTCGCTTCTCGCCACTGATAATGTGTTTGGACTTCATGTTGGTCTTGATAGGCTGATCTACCTATGTAAGGCACCAATCGTGTCCCTTTTTCCCCCGCATGTTTGCAGATTCCGTTCTCTATTGTGGGAAGATTGTGGGACACATATCTTTCAGAGGGTGATGGTTTTGCAGAGTTTTTGGTTTACCTATGTGCAAGTTTCCTGCTCACCGTAAGTTTGCAATGCAATGTGCTTTGCTTTCTCTCGTGTTGATTTGTTGGTGTGTTACCATTGCTGAAGTAGTCTGGCTTCTTGTTGCAGTGGTCAGAACAACTTCAACAGATGGACTTCCAGGAAATGGTATTGTTCTTGCAACATGTGCCAACAAAGAGGTGGAGTGAAAAGGAGCTTGACATGGTGCTGTCACGAGCCTTCATGTGGAGAGTCATGTTCAACCGTTCACCTAGACACTTAAATTCGTCATGATGGATTCTGTTACTGGAGTTGTCAATATTTCTTTGAATACTTAGATATACTGCTGTAGGTTTTGTAGTTAGATACTCGTCATAAAATCGAATTTAGTCATAGGCGTAGCAGCTAATAATTGGTGTATTGCAACAGCCCAGTTCAGCACTGCAACCCTCAGATCTGAGTGCGAGGCAATAGATCGCGGGACAGACTGCCGAGCTTGAACATTTGAATGAAAACCAGACCAGATCTCTCATCGCGCACTAGTACTGGGGGTTTGTATCTCACAACTCTCCGCTAGGTTTCCTTACGGCTTTTCCGTACCTGCAAGGGTTTGTTCTGTTTTTGCGTTCTCGCCGTCCACACGCTGACACCTGATCTTTACGGTGCTATCTTCACAGTACTCCGTGATGGCTGAGACCAAAGAAACCTATCAGGAGGAAGAGCTCGTAGACTTCGAAGAGGAAGAAGAAGCCGCTCCCGATGCCGGAGCTGCCAAAACGACAGAAGCAGCTAGGAAGTAAGCTGGGCGTTGTTGGTCTCTTCGAAAGCTGGTCCTGGAATCGATTTAGAAATCTGAGTTTATCCGTTACGACGTACTTTGCGCAGGGGATATGTGGGGATTCATAGCTCAGGTTTCCGTGACTTCCTTCTCAAGCCCGAGCTGCTTCGCGCTATTGTGGACTGTGGTTTTGAACACCCATCAGAAGGTGCATACATTCGCTGAAGCATGTCGAGGGTGTGTTAAATTTTCACATGCCGGAGGTAGTTTCTGAGTTATTTTGCTGTTTTTTTTGCAGTGCAACATGAGTGTATTCCCCAAGCCATTCTTGGCATGGATGTGATCTGCCAAGCCAAGTCTGGTATGGGGAAGACAGCTGTGTTTGTGCTGGCAACGCTTCAGCAGATCGAACCAGTAGCTGGGGAGGTGTCGGCGCTGGTCCTCTGCCACACCCGTGAACTCGCATATCAGGTGCGCTTGTGGTCTTCATAACAGCTTTAATGTAGCCCCCCATAAGATCTAGGTAGGATTCTGACCAATTCCATGTTGCTGCAGATCTGTAACGAGGTTCAGAGGTTTACCACATACCTTCCGGATGTCAAAGTCGCAGTCTTCTACGGTGGCGTGGCGATCAAGACACACAAGGATATGCTCAAGAACGAATGCCCGCACATTGTCGTCGGAACGCCCGGTCGTATTCTCGATCTTGCTCGGCAGAAGGATCTGAACTTAAAGCATGTTCGCCACTTCATTCTCGATGAATGCGACAAGATGCTGGAGTCGCTTGGTAAGTCTTGCTCTGGCGTGCGTTACTTTTGTTCGCATTTTATTTTTGCGAGTGTACTGATTGGTCGTTTCTTTGATGTAACAGATATGCGGAGGGATGTTCAGGAGATCTTCAAGCTTACTCCTCACGACAAGCAGGTCATGATGTTTTCCGCGACGCTCAGCAAGGAGATTCGCCCCGTCTGCAAGAAGTTCATGACCGATGTAAATATCCCCGATGCACTCGACCTCTGTAGCCCAGGACATCATCTCCAATCGCTGTGTCAGCAGCTGTGCTCATCAGCTCCAGCCTAGCGGGATCAGCTTAGAACCATGGGTTATTCGATATTAGGTTGGGAACTGGAGCGGGTCAGAAGTTTCTGAGGAGTGGGTCAGAAGTATCTGAGGAGTGGGTTATCGCGTGAGAGATGTGCTAGAGGGCGTGGAGGCTTATGGCTGGAGAGTCTTTAGTACGGGAGAGGATTTTGGGGTGGTGAAGGGAGGAGGCCGTTGAGGGACTGATTGGTTTGCGGATTCGAGGTGGAACTGCTTCTGGTTGAGGTCGGACCCAGCTTCCAGCCGTTGGTGCGGATAATTGAGTGCTGGGCCGCGTCGGAGTCGCGTGCTCTGAAGGCATCAATTACTCACGCGGAAAGCCATCTGAGCCCCTCGATTGACAATGGGTACCGCAACCCTGGTTCCGATTCTTCGTATCTCGCTGTTTTACTCTAAAATTGCGGGAACGACTGTGTAGTATCTTTAATGCGTGCATGTTTTCCATTTTTTTAGGTTGATCCAGTGCGGTTCCTTCACATGCTCTGGTGCAGAGCAGGAGCAGTATCAGCAACCATGGCATTTCCGTATCATTCTTTTTCCTCCCTTTGTGCTGTGTACAGCCGATGGAGATCTACGTTGATGACGAAACGAAGCTGACACTTCATGGACTTGTTCAGGTTGGTACAGCCGTTTCCTTCCTCCGCTTCTCATATTTGGATGCGTCTCTTTTACTTACGGCCTGTTCATTTTACATCCTGCAGCACTATATTCAACTGAAGGAGAACGAGAAAAACAGAAAGCTGAACGACCTTCTTGATGCTCTTGACTTCAATCAAGTCGTCATCTTTGTCAAATCAGTGAACCGCGCTGCTCAGCTGAACAAGCTCTTGGTGGAATGCAATTTTCCCGCTATTAGCATTCATTCTCAGATGACACAGGAGGAGAGGTAAGCTTGTTGGTCAAGTCTATTGCAATCGTCTTTCTGCAGCTTGTTGCTTAGTCAGTTGGTTTGTTTTGCAGGCTGACCCGCTACAAGGCATTCAAGGAGGGACACAAGCGCATTCTGGTGGCAACAGATCTTGTGGGTCGTGGCATTGACATCGAGCGAGTCAATATCGTCATCAACTACGACATGCCTGAAAATGCAGACACGTATCTTCATCGGGTATGTTGAAACCTAAAATGGATGTTGCAGTATGCATGAAAGCAGTTGGATGTGTTTCCTGATGTGTTTGGGACCTGCATTGTTTCAGGTTGGCCGTGCTGGTCGTTTTGGTACAAAGGGTCTAGCTATCACTTTTGTGAGCTCAGAGGAGGATTCGAAGAAGCTGGATCAGGTTTGTGTTTGCAGTTCTTGATGGCATCAGCTTTTTGTGCTATGTTGCTTGGTTGCCACGTGACAATTCTAACTCTACTGGTTGGCACTGTATTTGCAGGTTCAGTCACGGTTTGAAGTTGACATTAAGGCCTTGCCAGAGCAGATTGACACGTCTACGTACAGTAAGTTCCCCTGTGCCAGGATGGCATTCAAATTTATATTGCTTTGTGAGGGTGAAAGATACTGAAGTCTGTCCTTGTCTGCCGTTTTGCAGTGCCTTCTTAGATACATCATGTGGGCATCTTTACAGAAAAGGACTAGCGGCCATCTCATGTGTTTTTACATGCCACTTGGGATGTAGCCAGTCAATGTGAAATTGATTTATTTGATACCGTATGTTTTGTTAGGGGTTCAATGTTACACCTAATTTTTGAAGCATTTTGCTAGGGGTTACGGTATGTTTACGTTAAAACCCGCAGCCTGAATTACAAGAAAAGTTGGGAGGTGTTAACACTTTCCCTCCCGAACCAGTGTGGCTACCAGGTTTTCACCTGCAAAACGTGAAAGAAGTCGCAGGCAGCGCAGGGAAGGGTCGCTCGGTTCCTGGGCTGAGGTGTGCACACCAAACTGGAAATATGTAATTCAGGTCGTTCGAAACTGCCTAGTCTGAGCAGCTAGAGCGACAGCCATAGCATAGAACATCTAGCATTCTACCCCATTCCAGCGCATGGCGGAAAATTCCTCCTTAGGACGTTAGGACCATGCCTTCATTCTTCCAATCCGTCTCTAAAGCGCCCCGCGGTTCTAGGTCACGTTTCCACTCGACATAGCTAGCCGGGGCCATGGTTGCACATATGCCCGTCGTCGCCCTGGTTTCACTTCCACACCGCCCACCGCACCAATGTCGCCTATCTTCATAGCCGCGACGTCCTCTCTATCCGCCGCGTAGGTTTCATCCACCTGCTTCGCCGCATCGCTTCTTCTCCCCGACGTCCACACTCGGACCCCTTCCGGAACACACACGCGATCCCCTCCATCCCTCACGCTTCTTCCCTCGAACGAGCACGCTCCCTTCCCTCCCATCTCCTTCACGCAAAACCCTCTGTTGCGCACGCGAACATCCCTCCGTCGCGGATGATAACGCCTTCCCGTCGCACACAGGCACTCCCCTCGAACGGTCACGCACACTCCCTTTCGTCGCCGGCGCGCACTCCCTTCCGTCGCCCACGCTCAAGCCCTTCCCGTCGCCCACGCTCACTCCCTTCCCATCGCGATCGCGGGGGGAAATCGTACCGTCGCCCACGATCATTCACTTCCGTCGCCCACGCTCACCCCCATTCCATCGCCTTCGCGCAATCCTTCGGTCGCACACGCTCACCCCCGCTCGTCGCCACGGCCTATTCCTTCCCGCATCTCCGCCTCACCCCGTCTCCTCCTCACCCCAGCTCCGTCCGCGCGCACTCCCTCCCGTTGCGCGCGACAACTCCCCTTCCGCCGCCCACGCTCTCTCCCTCCCGCCACGTTCTCTCGCTTCCCTCCTGTCGCGACAGTCCCCTCCGTCGCCCACGCTCACTCCTCCCCACCACGCACGCTCTCCCCCCATCCATCGCCCACGCTCACTGCCCGTACTCCGCACACGCTCACTTCCCTCCGTCGCCCAGGCTCACCCCCTGCCCCTCGCCTTCTCTCATTCCCCTCCGTCGCCTATGCTCCATCCCCATCCCTTCCCTCCCCATCCCTCATCTCCCCATCCCTTCCCTCCCTATCCCTCATCTCCCCATCCCTTCCCTCCCCATCCCTCATCTCCCCATCCCGTCCCTCCCCATCCCTCACCTCCCCATCCCCGCCTCCCCATCCCTTCCCTCTCCATCCCTTCCCTCCCCATCCCTCACCTCCCAGTCTCTCAACTTACCGTCCCTCTTCTCCCCATCCCTCTTCTCCCCATCCCTCTTCTCCCCATCCCTCTTCTCCCCATCCCTTCCCTCTCCATCCCTCACCTCACCATTCCGTTTCAACCCATTCCGCCCCACCCCATTCCGCCCCACTCCATTCCGCCCCACCCCATTCCGCCCCACCCCATTCCGCCCCATCCCATTCCGCCTCACCCCATTCCGCCCCACCCCAATCCGCCCCACCCCAATCCGCCCCACCCCATTCCGCCCCACCCCATTCCGCCCCACCCCCATCTCCTCCTCACCCCATCTCCTCCTCACCCCTCATCCGTTGTGCTTTTCAGCACTAAGAAGCTTTTTGGGGAGGGGAGATGCGGTTCCGCCCCACCCCACTCCGCTCTCCCCCATCTCCGCCCCACCCCACTACGCTCTCCCCCATCTCCGCCCCACCCCACTACGCTCTCCCCCATCTCCGCCCCACCCCACTACGCTCTCCCCCATCTCCGCCCCACCCCACTACGCTCTCCCCCATCTCCGCCCCACCCCACTCCGCTCTCCCCCATCTCCGCCCCACCCCACTCCGCTCTCCCCCATCTTCGCCCCACCCCACTCCGCCCTGGCCCACTCCGCCCCACCCCATCTCAAGGTCACCCCATTCCGCCCCACCCTTCAAAATCACCCCATTCCGCCCCACCCATCTCTGCCCCACCCATCTCCACCCCAACCCATCTCTGCCTCTCGTTTGTCTCCTACCATAATAATAATCCGTGAGTGTCTCTTTATTTCTTCCTCTTCGCAGGTGCCGGTTTGTCAGTGTCAGTGCCCACCCTTTTGTATGCGTTCTGCTTCAGCCACGAGCATCTGATTTTCACAACTGGGTTTGTACAGGTCCCCCCCCCCCCCCCCCCCCCTATGCATTTGGTTCAGGAATGTTGGTTGTTGGTAGTACTACTACTAGGTATGACAAATAGACATGCCAATGTTGGAGTATTATATACTAAATTTTGATCCACAGAGGTATGAGACTGTAGACCACTTACAATGTGCATCAATCTAGTAAAAAAGAACAAGCTAGTCCATGTGATGTCTTGTCCAACTCTTGTCTGCACATACAGCAGCAAAAAACCAGGACTTGTGGTTCCCTCCCAACAGCTGGTGCTGGGCACCGACACACTGCATGGGTAAAGGGTTGAATAGGGGAGTGAGCAGGAAAGAACAGAATGAGCAGGGAAAAACAGAGTGCAGGGGAGACAGTGAGCAGAGGTAAAATAATTGAGCAGGGGGAAAGAGAGAGAACATGTTGAAAGGGAGTGAGCAGGTGGGAAGATAGTGAGCAGGGAGAAACATAGTGAGCAAGGGGAAGAGAGCGAGCAGGGGAAAACAGAACGAGCAGCAAGGGGAAGAGAATGAGCAGTGGAGGAAGAGAGTGAGCAGGGGGGAATAGAAAAAACAGGGGGGAAGAGAGGAAACAGAGCGAGCAAGGGGGAAACAGAGTGAGGAGCGGGAACGGAGCGAGCAGGGAGAAACATAGTGAGAGCAGCCCTGTCCGTGCTGCACTCGCCGAACAGCGCCACCACGCTGGCCGCTGCCTGGCGTGCGCTGATGGCATGCGCCTTGCGCACGTCGAGGGTGTGAGAGAGGCGAGGAGTGTGAGAGAGGCGAGGAGTGTGAGAGAGGCGGGGAGTGTGAGAGAGGCGAGGAGGAGTGTGAGAGAGGCGAGGAGTGTGAGAGAGGCGGGGAGTGTGAGAGAGGCGAGGAGTGTGAGAGTGGCGAGGAGTGTGAGAGAGGCGAGGAGTGTGAGAGAGGCGAGGAGTGTGAGAGAGGCGAGGAGTGGCGGAGGAGGATTGGGTTAGAAGGGGAGGAATTGCAGGGAAGGCGTGAGAAAAAATACCATGGAAGTTCAAAGGTAGGGAAAGGGAAATGAAGTTGTTCGAGGGGAAAAGAGGCGATGAGGGTTGAGAGTGGGAATGGAAAGCAGGGGCTTATGAGGAAGGGTGCGTGGGGAGGCGTGGCGAGTGTGAGAGGGCGGGCGGACGTCGTGATGAGGCCCGCAGGCGAGCGCGGAGTGAGCAAGGGGATGAGGGTGGGCATGGGGAAAGGGAGTGAACAGGGGGGAACACCACGAACTGGGGGGAAGAGGGTGAGCAGGGGGAAACAGAATGAGCAAGGGGGAAACAGAATGAGCAAGGGGGAAACAGAATGAGCAAGGGGGAAGAGAGTGATCAGGGGGGGGGAGGGAGTGAACAGGGGGGAACAGAGTGAAGGGAGGAAGGGGAGTAATTGTTTCGCATGAGTGTACGTGGGTGAGAGTGAAGCTTTGGGTGGGGAAAAAAAGAGGTGGTAAACCAGGGCACTGGGAAGGGTAGAGAAGGCGGCGGGGCGGGAAACCAGGGCGTCGGCGCGAGGGAGGGGAATGGGCATGGGCGACGGAGGAAGGAAGCGAGGGCGAAGAAGAGGGGACGCTCGACGAAGACGTCAGCGGCGGGAATGAGAACAATGTTGACGCAGCGACAGGTGGGAGAGGAGAGGTCGACTCGGCGAGCGATGGGGAGGGAAAACGAGGGCGACGGGAGGGGGAAAGCGAGGGCGACGGGAGGGGGAAAGCGAGGTCGACGGAAGGGGGAAAGCGAGGTCGACGGGAGGGGGAAAGCGAGGTGGACGGGAGGGGGAAAGCGAGGTCGACGGGAGGGGGAAAGCGAGGTCGACGGGAGGGGGAGGCGGCGATGGCGACCCGCGAGGCGAGGGTGGTAGGCGGGGAAGATGCGGTACGCGACGGGCGGGGGAAGCGAGGGCGGCGGGTATGGGAAGCGAGGGCAACGGGAGGGGAGAAGCGAGGGCGGGCGGAGGAAGCAAAGGCGACGGGCAGGGAGGAGGCGAGGCGACGGGCGGGGAGGAGGTGGTGCGCGGGAAGAGCGAGGGCGACGGGCGGGGGAAGCGAGGTGGGCAAATCGCTAATATCTCCCGTGCCATCTCGTTTCTACGTGCGTCACACTCGCAGCCAGCGCCTACGATTCACTTCGATTGCATGACCGCGCTTCATCTTCTATTCGATCGTCCCTAAATTGTGTTCACTTGATATGCCTGGCTGGTGAGCGCGATGCTTGGATCCTAAAAAGCTTGTCTGAGTTGTTCGCTTGTTCTGTCGCACAGGTTTTTACCCTGCTCTAGCTCTCTGGGGTTGTAAGCAGAATGTATGCGAACTGTTGGGTTGCGTTGGCTGATAACGCCTCGTTGACTCACGGGAGAGTCGCATCATGTTTCGCGAACTTTTTTGCTTTCGCAATTCTGCCGCACCTCATATTGCCCGAACCCCAAACCTACCAAACCAAGCGTTGACTCAGTTTTTGTAATTCAGGCTTCGGGTTTTAAAGCCCGAGTCTAGAATGGCAATGTTTCATAAATACTGAAGTTGAAAGTGGTTTACGAAGGGTGGCGAGAGTTCAATTCGCTAAACCAGGATGGCGAAAGGTGACGAGCGGCGAATACGACCCTGTGTATTGTTGGCCACTTTCGAGTTCAAGAAACTTGAAGGCTGCACAAAGGACAAAAGTGCCACAAGGCGAGAACATCGAGGGTCCGAGAGATCACCTGAAAGTCGAATGTGTGATTGACAAAATTATTTCCGCATATAAGGCTGGTGCGATAAGAATATAAGACTGACGTGATAGCAATCCTAAAGTGGAGAAAATTTTCACACACCGTAATTTGTGTGGTTGAATGAGCATCAGTAATGCTAATTACAGAGGATTTCCACATTTCAATACGATTTGACACCAGGGACATTAAAAAAAAAAGGAGATAGTGTCAAGTCAATTATTCCTACAAATCCTTGCCTCATCCATCTTGTGCCCATTACCGGCATCTCTCTTCCGGTTCATATCTGCGAAAGGGCGTGGTGGTGCTTGCATATGCATTTTGTGAGTCGCAATTCGGGAAGCGACTTGAGAAGACCTTGGAGTGAGAAGGGAGGACATTTGAAGGGAGGGAAGGGGAGTGGTGGTGTGGGAATAAGGGTGGAGCAGAGGCGAGGAGGAGAGGAGTGAGGCGAGCGAGGGCAGCGGGCCCGGGGAAATGGGCATGTGAGAAGCGAAAGGACAGGGGAGTGGGAGGGAATGTGGGGAAGCAGCGTGGGGCGCAGTGGGAGCAGCGCGTGGGCGACGAGGTGTCGAGCGGCAAATGAATTTAGCGAGTGAGTGAGTGATGGGAGGACGTAGGCGGAGAAAGGAGGGATGGGAATCGAGAGAAGACGGAGCTGTGAGGTGGAGACGGGCGGGGAGGCACGGGAGGAGGGAGGGAGGGAGGGAGGGAAGGGGTGGAGGGCAGAGGGAAGGACAAGGGGGGAGGGAGGGAGGGACAAGGGGGGAAACGGAGGGAAGGACAAGGGGAAACAGAGGGAGAAACAGGGCATACGAATGTTTGACAGAATAAGTATGTGATGGAATGAGTGTTTGACGGCATGAGAGGAGGGAGGGAAATGGAGAGGGATTGGAGGAGGGAGGGAAGTGGTGAGGGATGGGATGAGGGAGGCGAAGAGGAATGTGAGGATAGACGTCGGACATTGGGCGGAATGTGGGGATTCCTGGAAAGCATGGGGATGGGCGATATGCGTCGGAGAGAGACGGAAGGAGAGAGGGAGAGGGATGGGAGGAGAAAAGCAGTGAGGAGAGGGAGGACAGAGGAGGAAAGGGTGTAGGGTGTAAAATTGAAGAGGGTAGGGATGCAGCAGAAGCAAGGACAACAGAGAGGGAGGATGGGAGGGTAAGCATGGTGACGGGAAGGGAAGAATCGGGCACGGATGAAACAGTGAGTAAGACAATGGGGTAAATGGAGGGAAATGGGCATGGGGGAAACGGAAGGAATGACAAGGGGAGTGGGGGACGAAGCGGGGAAGCAGCGTGAGAAGAGGGAAAAGTGGAGAGGAGCTGAGAGGGAAAGGAGGAGAGGGGCTGAGAGGGAAAGGGAAGAGGGGCTGAGAGGGAAAGGAGGAGAGGGGCTGAGAGGGAAAGGAGGAGAGGGGCTGAGAGGGAAAGGAGGATAGGAGCTGAGAGGGAAAGGAGGAGAGGGACTGAGAGGGAAAGGAGGAGAGGGGCTGAGAGGGAAAGGAGGAGAGGGGCTGAGAGGGAAAGGGAAGAGGGGCTGAGAGGGAAAGGAGGAGAGGGGCTGAGATGGAAAGGAGGAGAGGGGGCTGAGAGGGAAAGGGAAGAGGGGCTGAGAGGGAAAGGAGGAGAGGGGCTGAGATGGAAAGGAGGAGAGGGGGCTGAGAGGGGGGCTGAGAGGGAAAGGAGGAGAGGGGCTGAGAGGGAAAGGAGGAGAGGGGCTGAGAGGGAAAGGAGGAGAGGGGCTGAGAGGGAAAGGGAAGAGGGGCTGAGAGAGAAAGGAGGAGAGGGACTGAGAGGGAAAGGAGGAGAGGGACTGAGAGGGAAAGGAGGAGAGGGAATGAGAGGGAAAGGAGGATTGGAGGCGGAAGACGCGGAGAAGCGCGACGACGAACAGATGGCAGAGCCATTGATGTGACTGCATGCGGAAATGAAAGGATGCGGTCCAGGCAGGAGAACTGAAACCGTGGTGTGGAGACAGGCGGGAGTGCCGCGCGCTACAAGGTGAGCGAGCGACGGAGTGAGTGAGCACGGGAAGAGAGTGTGTGAGCGACAGGACGCATTGAGGGACGGGAGTACGTGAGCGGCGAGAGTGAGTGTGCGGAACGGGAGTGTGTGAGCGACTGGACCTAGGTCATCAGCTGACGCAAGACGATTGCCCTGTTTGGGCAGTGGGTTCGTTCGAGCGACGGGGGGAGTGCGCGACGGATCGAGTGAGGGACGGATGACGAGCGGCGGAGAGGTAAGCGATGGACGGGAGGGAGGAGAACGACAGGAGCGAATGCGGGACGGAAGCGAAGCGCGGGACGGAAGGGACGGAGGGTGTTGGGCGACGGGAGGGACGGGACTTACGTCCGCAACGGGAAGGACGGGAGGGACGGAGGAGGGACAGAAGGCATGACTGGGACGGGAGTGACGGGAGCGGCGCCCAGGACAGATGCAATAAGGGCGACGGGAAGAGCGGGAGCGATGAGAGACGGGAGGGACGAGTGCGACTGGAGGAGGAGGAGCGGCGGATACAAGAAGAAGAGATGGATTATGAGATTTCACTTGCGCCTACCGCGAGCGATCGGATGAATTGGGAGTGTCGTGAGGGACGGTGGCGACCTATGCCATGCAACCCGACGGAAGTCCCCACCTAAAGTCCTGGGTGCTGGGCGTAGTTATCGATAGCTGGCGATGTTGTGGGCTACGGAGCCTACTACTGAACGAGTCTAGAAAGGTAGCTTCAAGATTCAAGTTTCTGGAAGTGTGAACAGTGGTGTCAGTTTTTGTTTGTTCTGGCGAGGGTCGTCAGTGGTTTTGCTGTTGTGCTTTTATCCAATCACATTCCTGCGCTTCAAACACCTTCACAGTGGATCGCGAGAGAGCCCCACAGAAAAGCAGGTTACCTTGTTCACCTGCGAAATCATGTTCAAGAATCTTGAACTTGAACCCTCGCCATTCTAGACTCGGGCTTTAAAACATTTTCAATTTACCTACTCGCGATGGGCACTAGTCTCGAAATTGGCCGAGCCAAGACACTTCTCCTCGACTCGCGCAAAAAATCAAAACCGCATTACACTACACCTGATTTATGCACTAACGCGCCGGAAAACTGCAATTCTGTGGGAAGACCAATCGGTATAACTAGAAGAGCACAGCAGTGCCTAAGAATTCAGGCCGTAGTCCCTAGCATCCCTTCTCAAATATCGCCTCCCCTTGTGCAAAACCGCCATCTTCTGCCAGGATTCGAAATCTGCAGTTGTAACCAACGCTGCACCCAGCTTTCTCTCGCGCTCCGGTGCTTTTCAACAGCAACTCGACCATGTCGGCCGTCACCATTCGAGTGGCGCTAGGAGAATACACACTATTAAAGCTTCAGATTCCTCCCTAATACGATCATGATCCAACATTACCCAACTTGTGAGAGTTGAACGACAAGATCTGAACTCCGAGACCATGTCTTCCGGGAAAGCGTCTCCCCTTGTTCTTGTGTTGCTGCTATTCGCAGCGAGCACTTACTTTAACGTAGCGCGAGCGCAGTCTAACGGCGATGGCTCCTTATCTCCGGGACTGAACGCAAACGCCAGTCTTATCGACTGCGGATGCAGCCCATACGCGCCACCCGTCTGTGGCTCCGACTTTGTCACTTATTCTTCCTACTGCGACGCGCAGTGCAACAACGTCAGGATCTTGTCCCGAGGAGCCTGCACCCGCTCCATAATTTGCAACCGCGCGTGCCTTAACCGAGCTGGAATGGCTCCTGATTCAACTCTCGGGATCAACAACCTGGACTCCACGTGCGGGGCCGTTTGCCCGTTTCCCGAGCTTCCTGGGAGTGTTTCGTTCAATTGCCCTGATAGGTACCGATCCGCGTGCAACCAGGCGTGCATGCAGACTGCAACGACTGTTTTGAGAAACGGAGGGAAGTACCTGACTGCGTATAATACGTGCAGGTCCGGATGTTTGTATTCACGCTGCGGCATCTGGAATTAGGTAGCGATTGCAGAACCAGGCAGGCTCTGCTTACCGTATCTATCAGCTTGTGCAGCTTCTTCATCTTCACTTCCTAGCCATTGTTGTGTGGACGAATAAGAACCGTCTGGGTCCTGGCAGGTGTGCATAAGGATCCCATGCTCCTGTTCTTCCTGCTATGGAGATGTTCTCACACACGGTATTCGTGGTTGGTAGCAGCTCGTTGTAACATCCTATGCTGGTTCCTTCTTCTAGTTGCCACTTTCCTGCAATGAGGCATTTAAAGCCCGTCGGCAAAATAGTGACCCCCCCCCCTTCTAATTGGGTCCATGTTGACAGTTCCAGTGTCACTTGCTGTACCACGCACTCCAGGGAAGCAAAGATTACCTGGAGGAAACTGGTTTTCACAAACTAGGGTAACAACGGGTGGGTAGTCTAAACTGGGCATTTGGTGGCAAGTTGCCCCATCAACCCAACCTATGGCAGGTTACATTATACCGTACATGCTGAAACGGTGTGGTGCGGTACCTTAATTACTTACCGTAAGTTACCTTCTTATCACAGTTGATGCTGACTATCTACAGTATCTAAGGGATCCCTGGTATCGTGCCACAGGAAGTTTCTGTCTGCTCTGTCCAGAAACAGTGACAACTACACCAATTGCCTCCCCTTCCCTCTCCCTCCAACCCTCCCTCTCCCATCACTTCCCCGTCCCTGTCCTCCGCTCCCTCTCCCCCTTGCGTTTCCCTCCTTTCCTCCTCCCTTTCCACCTCTTCCCTTCCCTCCTCTTCTCCTCTTTCCCTCGCCAAGCTCCTCTGCTCCTCTCATTTCCTCTCCTCCTGCATTTCCCCCCTCCCCAGCATCACCATCCATGCAAACCCCCACACTCTCTCCCAATATCCCTCCCCTCCTACCCCCTCTCCCTCTCCCCCTCCCCCTCCCCCTCCCTCTCTTTCCACCTATCTCAGACTCACCCAGCCTCCTCTCCAACCCTCCATTCTCTTCAGGTGCCCGTTCTGCTGCCCCTCTCTTCAGGTGCCCGTTCTCTTTTGAAACATTCTCATCTCGGGCTGCCCGTCTCTTTCTCGACCCCATGGAGTTATTTTCTTCCTGGTCTGCCCGCCTCTTTCTCGCCCGTTTCGATATAAGTGATGCATCCGCTACTGCAGAAGAATCAGCAACAGCACCAGCACCAGCATCGCCGCTGCTAGCACCATCTGCACCGCACCCAACCGCGCAGTTGGCTTTATCAGAGCCATCCAAACCACTTGCATGCAACCCCCTCCTGTCCCCAGCCACTTCCAAGCCTCCTCTACCGAACCTGGATCGGCGCACCGGTTTACTGCTCCGAGCCTTCCTCACGCAAGCCTGAACTCCACTTAGCATTGCATCCCTAGCCTCTGGCCCATTCCCAATCCAAACCTCTGGCCCGTTCCCAAACCTAGTCTTTGCCCCGTTCCCATTCCTGTCCTCCGGTTCATTCCCATCCCTCCTTCCATTTACAGCCTCACGAGAAACAGCCTCTGGGGTAGAGCTTTGAAAAGTCCCATTTCTTGCCTCAGTCGACCCGGTTCCAGCCCTAGCCTCGGGGTCAGACATTTGAGACGTCTCATAACCAGGAATAAGAGAATCTCGTTCGGAGCCTTGGACCTGTATTTCCCCAAGAAAGTTTTCATCTGCCCGGCCTCCTCTTCCAGCCTCCTCCACGCTCACTTCAATTCTTTGCTCCCCTTGCTCTTCCCCCTCCTCGCTTCGCTCCATTCCTCCTCCTCCTCCCGTGAATCCCCCATTGGGATCTCCTAGCCCACCCCTGTCCTCTTGCTCCTCTCCTCGCTCCTCTTGCCCCTCTCCTCCTTCCTGTTCCCCGCTCTCCTCTTGCCCCTCCCCTCCTTCCTGTCCCCCTCTATCCTCTTGATCCGCTCCTCCTTCCTGTCCCTCCCTCTCCTCTTGCTCTCCTCTTCCCACCTGATTCATTAAACCCTGTGAAACATCTATTTCCTCCTCTCCCACACCACCTGCCCCTGATCCCTCTTCCTGCCCGACCATATCACGTCCTCTTCCCTTTCTCCTCCTTTTGACAGCTCTTAAAAGCGACTCCTGCCCCTCCACATCCTCTCCTCGTTTCTTTCTTCCCCGTTTTAGGCTCCTCACAGGTGACTCTTGCCCTTCCCTGTCAATTTTTCTTCCCACTCCTCCCCTTCTCGCTTTCCTGCCTCCCTTTCTTTCCCCCCCTTTCACGCCTCCTCCCCCCCTCACTCCTTCTCTCCTAGTCACGTCCTCTCCCTCACCTCTCACGCCCTCTTCCCCATTCACACCTTCATTCTCCATCACACCTCCCTCCCTCTCACCTTCTCCCTCCCTCACATCTCCTCCCTCCCTCACACCTTCTCCATCTCCCATTCCTCTACTCCTTCTTGTCCCTCCCTCACTCCCTCCCTCTCCCCCACTCGCTCCCCCATACCCAACTGGCAACCCCCCTCCTCGAATCCAATGCAGCAGCACCATTTGCTGCAGATTCCGAGCCTGAGCCTCGGTCCGAGCCTGTTTGGTCCGGCGCACGAGCCTCCTTCGTGCTGCTGCCCGAACCTGATCGGTCCAGGGCCGGTCTACGATGCTCCAGCCAATGGGAAGAAAAGGAGGTGGTAACCGTTGTGGTGGATGTAACAGCGAGGGATGTAACACGGACGGGTGTAACAAGGGAGGTCGTACGAAGTGGGGTTGGTGTGGAAAAGAGGGGGGGAAGAGGAACGGCGGCGGGGGAAAAGGAGGAGGGAGAGAGGGGTTGAAGAGAAGGGGATGGGATGAAGGGGGATGGAGGGACGAGGGGGTAGCTGAAGGTGCAGCAGCAGGAACAGTGGTAGGAGGAGCAGAAGAGGGGGAGCTTGGGAGCATCCCTGCAGTTGCTCCTTCTTCTTCTCCTCCTCCATTTCCCCTGTCTCCTCCTCCTTCTATTCCTCTTGCCCCTCCCTCTTCTCCTCCCCCTTCCTCTCCCCCATCCCCTGTCTTTTCACCACCCTCCCCCTCCCCCTTCCTGCCACTTCTCTGACCCCTTCCACCCTCTCTTTCCTCCTCTTGCTCCCCCATCTCTTCCCCATTACCCCCCTCTGCCCCGGCCTTGCTCCCCTTGGCCTTCCCCCCTTCCGCCTTCCCCCCTTTGCTCTTCTTCCCCCTCCCTCTGGAGTCCCCTGGTGCTCTCAGGAGTCGACGGCGAGGGGGAGGGGGAGGGGGAGGGGGAGGGGGAATAGCAGGGGAAGGGATAGGCGCAGCACGGGCAGGAGGAGCAAGAGCGGGGGGGGTTGAAGTAGCAGGGGGAGCAGGAGCTGCAGGGGGAGCAGGAGCAGGGGCAGTGGGGATAAGGCTAGCAGGAGCAGGAGGAGCAGGAGTAGGAGCAGAAGCAGAACAGGTAGGAAGAGGAACAGGGTGGGGGTGAGTAAGGGTAGTAGGGACAAGGGTAGCAGGAGCAGGAGGAGGAGCAGTAGCAGGGGCAGTAGGGACAAGGGTAGCAGGAGCAGGAGGAGCAGGAAGATTAGGAACAGGGGGGGGATGAGTAAGGGTAGTAAGGAGGGACGGAGCAGCAGGAGCAGGAGCAGGGGCAGTGGGAGCAGCAGGAGCAAGGGCAGGGGCAGTAGGAGCAGCAGGAGGGCGGGCAGGTGAATGGGCAGGAACTGGGGCAGCAAAATCTGCAGGAGAAGCAGCTGATGCAATCGGTGCTGTAGTTGCTACTAGTACTGCTGGTGCCGACGGTAGTGTTCTAAGTGCTGATGGTGGTGGCGCTGACACGGTTGCTCCAAGTTGCATTGAAGTTGGTAACAACGATTCGTTTGTTCCTGCTGCACCTGCACTGCCACCAGCAGCAGCAGCAGCACCACCACCACTACCACTAGCACCACTTGTTGCTGCGACAATATTTGGCAGTGGTGTGACTATATTTTGTGGTGGAGTGACTATACTTGGTGGTGGTACGACTATGTCCCGTGGTGCCGTTCCGACAATTGATGCTGTGACTGAATGTGGAGATGCTATCGCATGTGCTGGTGTGACTGCCCCTGCTGCCACCACAGCACCCAGCGATCCATCTGCCTCCTGTGCTGCATTTGGTGGTGGCGTGGGGACTAAATGTGGCGGTGCCGTTGTTGCACTTGTTGGTGTGACTCCCCCTGTTGCCGCCACACCACTCAGTGCTCCATCTGCCTCCTCTGCTGCATCTCCTAGCCTCCGTCTCTTCTGCCTCTCTCCTTTTCGATGCATCTTGAGCCACTGCCTGCAGCGTAGGAGCATGCATCAAGTCAGCAATGCCACGGGAAAACAATGATGTAACATCTACCGTACTGTAAAAAGTGATCGTGAAAAAGTGATCGTGAAAAAGGCAGGTGTGAACAAAATGCACCTCGCCTCGCACGATCTTCCAATTCGATTTTCTTAAGGCGCAGCATATGAATTGGAAAAGAAATAAAAAGCAGACAGCAGATAATCACATTGCACTTCTTTGATCTCTAGTTAGTTTCCCTACCTCTTGCACTGGCAGTCCGTTCTAGGCTAGCAAGCAACAGTCACACTGTGAGGTGCTCCAGTCTTTACCCTTTTCAAGATGCCTCAGTACAAAAAGAACCACTTTTGTTTCTTACCTCTTGCACTGGCAGTCCGTTCTGGGCCAGCAAGCAACAGCCACGTTTGTCCAATTCCCCACGCCGAACCTCCCCACAGCCTCCTCCAGCCGCCGAACCTCCTCGACGGACCACGGCCCGAACCTGAGGTTCGGGTCGAGCACGTTGCACCAGCGCTCCCGAACCTGCACCTCGGTGCGGTTCGGCACCAGGGCCGCGATTCTCCTCCAATGGGGAGTGCCGAAGACGCCCACGGCCAATCGCAGCCTGTCGTTCTCCTCGGGGGTCCACGCCGCTCTGCTGACGTGGCGCAGATGATGCTGCCAGCTGGACAAAGAGGATAAGGATAATGATACCAGAGAAAGGAGGCAAGGTGTGGAGTCACATCAAATAAGGGAATTGGACGTGGGAGAGGGACTCGTGTTTCAACCGCTCACCTCCTTACAGCCACTCACCTCCTTACAGCCACTCACCTCCTTACAATCACTCACTGCTGCAAGCACTCTCTGCAGGGTACTTTCTGACCAGTCAGATCAGAAAGCACTCACCGCTGCAAGCACTCCCTGCCGCTCCGCCCTTCCACCGCCAGCGCCATTGCCGCCCAGTTCACCTCCCGGCGCCGCTAAAGTCTGTCCTCTCCCTCCCTCTCAGCCTGTTCACCTGAAGTTTGATACTACTTCAGTTCTGAGACGTCTTAACCCTAGCTTGCTAGAACATTACAGTCACTCACCTCCTTACAGCCGCTCACCATAACAACTCCCCTCCTTACAATCACCAGCCACTCACCGTTGCAAGCACTCCCTGCCGCTCCGCCCTTCCACCGCCAGCGCCACAGCCGCCCAGTTCACCTCCCCGTGCCGCCTCACAGCCGCTGTCAGCTGTCTGTCCTCTTCTGCCGACCAATGGCGTCGCGCCACGTGGGGGTTCCACCACTTCTGGTACCCCATCAGACACTGTAGCGCCGTCCTCCTCCTCCTCTTCCCCCCCTTCTCACTCGCCTTCCCTTCCCCTCCTCCTTTCCCTCCTCTTCCCCCTCCTCTCTGCCTTCCTACCCCTTGTCCACCCGCCCTTCTCTCCCCATCATTCTCCCTTCCCACACCCTCTCCCCCCTCCTCCCACTCCACGTCCTCTCCCTCCTCCTCCTCCCTCACTCTCCGGTTTACCTCCTCTGCAATCCCCTCCCACCCACACAGCCCTCTACTCTCCGCCACCTCCTTCAGAATCTCCTCCTCCCTCTCACTTTATTCGCCCCACGTGATGCTCGGATCGTCCACGTTCAACCACCTAAAACGCAAGGGAAACACTCAAACCGTTTTGAACTGCTCTGAACCGCTCATTTCACCCTCCCAGCCACTCAGTACCCTACTCTCCACCACCTCCTTCAAAATCTCAGCCTCCCTCTCGCTCCACTCACCCCACGTTATGCTCGGGTTGTCCACGTTCAACCACCTGAAACGTTAAGAAAAGACTGAAACCGTTTTGAACCGCACTGAACCACTCCGTTCACCCTTCCACCCACACAAACCGCTACCCTCCCGCACCTCCTTGACGTATTCTTCATCGATGTCCTGGTGCTGCATTGAACTCACCTGACTGTTCTTCACCGCACTCAACACCCCAAAAGTACCTCACCTTCAATCTAAACCTACCACTCTCTTAGACCAATTCCAATCTTAACCTACCGAACCGCAATTCACCGCACTCAGCCCCCCTTGTTACCTCAATTTGCACTCGAGTGCAGTACGCCTGAGGTGCAGCCCCCTTCCGAGGCTCCTATTGGCCGGATTCACAAATGCAGCTGCAACTGTCGACCAATCAACTCGCGCCACGGCAGCACGCATGGCCTCTGGTGTGAGTTGGCGAGATTTGATCTCTGCAATGGTCCGCTGGAGCATAGACCTGAGGTGTGGCCAAAGGGGGTCAAGACATATAAGAAAGCGGAGGAGAAAACGGAGAGCGGGAACTTAGGGAACGTGTGGGCAGCGGCAGCACACATGGCCTCTGGTGTGAACTGGCGCGATCTGATCTCTGCTATGGTGCGCGGGAAGAGAGACCTGGGGGGAGGGGAGCAGAGTGAGAAAGAGGAAAGATGAGGAGGCGGAGGGGGGAAGAGTGGGGAATGGGTGGTGGAAGCATTGGAAGGGGCAGCATGCATGGCCACGGGAATGAGTGTATGAAATGGGGGGGAGTGTTTGAAGAATCTGATCCTGGCTATGGTGCGGTGGAGGAGATACCTGGGGTTGAAAGCGGGGGAGAAAAGGGGGGGAGCGTTTGCAATAGAGGAGTAAAAGGAGAGGAAGGAAGGGGTGTGAACGGCCTCTCTTGTGAGCTAGCGCCCCACTCACTCGCACGCTCACTCCTCTATAAACCCCTGCACCACCTGTTGCTCCACGCCCTCCCTACTGCCTCACCCAACCCCTCACTCACATCTCAATCTCTGGAGTTGCTCTCAATTTTTTCTGAAGAGAAGGCCGCTCGCTCACCTATCAAAAGTGATCTCCGGTCGTTCCCTCACCGCCTCTTGAAGCATCCCCTGCACCACCTGCTGCTCCACCCCCTCCCGCAACGCTCCCACCTCGCCCTTCCCCCACTTCCTCCCCCGAAACACCAGCGGCATCACCCCTCTCAACCGCTCAAACACCCCCTGGTCCTCATTCACAGGCATGTCGCGCGAGGAAGCTTCCAGGTTGCTGCGATCGTGAGGATCTGGGTCGAAACCCAGGGAGGAGTACTTGTGTTTTCTTCCGCGCTTGTGCCTCGGTTTGGCCCAGTTCACTAGAAGCATTTCGGCTGCGTGCCCCCCGTATACACGACCCCCCCCTTCGCCTCCCCCTCCCCCTGCCATACCCGATACTCCTGCTCCTGCTCCTCCTGCTCCTCCTGCTGCTTCTGCTGCTGCTGCTGCTCCTCTTACTCCTGTTTCGTCTCTTATCCCCCACCCTGCCCCTCCCCCCAAGCCTCCGATCACTCTCTTAGCAGCTTTCCTCGCCCGAGTCTCGAACCCAGCCACGGTTCTGACGCGCCGAAGCAGCTCCCGAGCCTGTCCCTCCCGAGCCTCCACGGCCGTTAGCAAATCGTGAAGTGCCAGCTGGCACCGACGGTTGGCCTGCAGAGCGATTCTAACTGCTGCCACGTCAGCAGAGGAGAGAAAGGAAGTTTCGGCAGGAGGTTCGGAAGCAGTTGCAGCAGGAAAGCCAGCAGGTTCGGTGGCCGCAGCCAGAGCTTCATCACCAGCAGCAGGTTCGGCGACCGCAGGAGGTTCGGAAGTAGGCTCGGAACTATGAGAACCACCTGTCCCATAACCTCCAGCTGCACCATCACCTTGTTCACCCAGGCCAGCTTCTGTTGTCTTCTCCAGGCTTTTCTCCTGAGCATCTGGTTCCTCCTGACCATCCACCTGACTGGAAATTTCTCCTCCTGGTGGTGCACACAGCAGCAGTGGTATCCCCCTTGATGCGGTTTCCCCACCTACTTCTGCAACTGCTGCCCCTTGTGCTGCTGGGGTTACCACCAACTCGGCAGCTGCAATTGCCACTAACGCGAGGCAACCCTGCGCATCTCCAGAGATTACCATAGCTTGTTCAGGCGCTACTCCCACCAGCACTGCCGTTGCCGGCACTTCCACTAGTGCTGTCGTCCCTGCTACCACTGGTGTCACCACCGAATCGCCCGGAGCGGTTACCACGAGCGCTTCTCCTGATATTACCATAGCTTGTTGAGGCAGCTGTTCAGGCGCTACTCCCATTGGCACTGCTCGTGGCTGTGCTTCCACTGGTGCTGCTGTTCCTGCTACTGGGGTTACCACCGTATCGTCTGCACGGGTTACCACGAGCGCTTCTCCTGATATTACCATAGCTTGTTCAGGCAGTTCTCCCTCTGGCGCTGCTGGTGGCGGTGCTTCCAGTGCTGTCGCCCCTGCTGCCACTGGGGTTACCACCGAATCTTCTGCTGCGGTTACCACCAACGTTTCTCCCGAGATTACTAAAGCTAGTACAGGTGGATTTCTCACTGCTTCTCTCTCCCCTGCCTCCTCCTCTGCTGTCTCCTCTGCCCCCTCCTCTACCCCCACCTCTACCCCCACTGCTGCCGCTGTGCCATCTGCCGTTCCTGCCAATCTCTTCTCCCCCTCAACCGCCATACCTGCTTGTGCTGCTGCACCATCACCGGTAGCAGCATCAGCCTCATCTCCAGGAGCAGCAGCAAAAGGAGCAACAGCAGCGGGAGGAGCAGCAGCAGCAGCAGCAGCAGCAGCAGCAGAGACTAAGGTAGTAGCGGAAGGCTCTTGGATGGACTCAGCAGCAGGAGCAGGAAGAGCAAGGGTGGAAGCAATAGGAACTAGACTCAAGTCAGCAGCAGCAGGAGGAGGCGCAATTGCTGATGCCACCTTTCTGGAGGAAGGTGGGAGGAAGCTTCCAATAACTCCCAGCTGCCGTTCCAGCTGCCTCCGAGCCTCTGCAAGCTTCTGCAGCTCTCGCAGCTGTGCCACGTCAGCACGAGGCAATGACAAATCAGCATGCGGCAATGCCACATCAGCATCACTCATAGCCACGATTCCTCCCCACTCTCTTCCCTCTTCATCCTCACCCCAACCCCCCATCCACTCATCACCATCACCATCACCATCACCATCACCATCACCATCACCATCACCAGGCGCAATCACTGCCTGAGGCAACTGAAACCCTCCCACCACCACTGCTTCCAATTCTCCTTCCCCTCCTTCCCCTCCTCTCCCTCCTTCTCCCCCTTCTCCTCCTTCCCCTCCTTTCCCCCTTTCCCCTCCTTCCGCTGCAGCAGCAGCCAAATCCTTTCGGCCTAAAACTGAATTCGGCCCTTTATTCCCTCTTCCCTCCCTTTCACTCACAACCCCTCTTCCCCCTTTACCCCCCTCCAGTCCTTCCCCACCCCCTGCCTTCCCCCTTCCCCTACCCCTTGCCCCTTCCATCCCCCCTCCCTTCCCCTCAGTTCCTGTTCCCCCTCTTCCCCGTGCCCGTCCCCTACCCCTTCCGGCCCCTGCTCCCTCCTCTCTGTCACCCTCCTCTCTGTCACCCTCCTCTCTGCCACCCTCCTCTCTGCCACCCTCCTCTCCGCCACCCTCCTCTCTGCCACCCTCCTCTCTGCCACCCTCCTCTCTGCCAAGATTTGATGCCCTTCCCCTTCCTCTACCTCTCCCCCTCCTTCCTCTCAATTGTGTAACCCCGATTTCTCCCCCACCTTCCACCTCTTCCCCAACTCTCGCCTCCCCCCCACTCCGCCCTCTTCCTCTCCCCCTGCTACCCCTTCCACCACCTCTTCCCCCGTTCACTCCCCTACCCTCAATCTCCTCGCTTAGCTCACTAACCTCCCTCCGGCCCTTACCCCCCTTCCTTTCTCCTCCTGCTACTGCTCCGCCCTCTGTCCCTCGCACCCCTGCCTTTCTTGCCCCTTTCTCTCCCATTTCTCCCCCTGTTCCCCCCTTCTCTCTCGCCCGCCTTCCCCCCCCCTCTCGCTCTCCCAGCAGCCCTTCAATCTCCTCCAACAGCCAATCATCGCACTCACCCTCTCTCCCTCCCCTCCCCTTCTTCCCCATACCTCCACCTGTCCTCCCTCCCCTCCCCCTCTTCTCCCCCCCACCCCCGGCTGCTCCCACCCCCCTCCCACTCGTCTCCCCATCCCCATCAGCCTGGGTCGCCATAAAAGGATAACTCTTGGCAGACCCCCCCACCTGCTGCACGGACAGGCTGCAGATCTGCCGAGCAAACTCCAACAACGCCTCGTCCTCCTCTATCTCCTCCCCTCTCTCATCCTCCCGAACTTCCTCCTCTTCCTCCTCTTCTTCCTCTGAATCCTCCTCTTCCTCCTCCTCGGCCTCTGTTTCTAATGCCTCCTCTTCTGCTTCCTCTGCCTCCGCCTCATACCCTCCCCTCACATCACTAACTCCTTTCACTGCCGTTCCCTTGCCTCTTTCCTTCACAAGACCCACCCCACCGCTCACAACTCCTCTCCCCCGCCCCCTCCCTCGCCCTCTTCCGCCCTCTGCTGCTTTCCCCCTCCCTCTCTCCACCCCTCGGCCCCTCCCTCTCTGTGCCCTTCCACCCCGGCTGCTTCCTCCACCCATGCCTCTCCCTGCCCCTCTCCCTCCTCCACCCCCCTCTCGTCCTTCCTCTGAAACCCTCTGTGCCACCCCCCTACCTCGCCCCCTCCCTCCCCTCCCACCTCGCAACTGCGTTGCCTTCACAGCCTCCTCTCGTCCTTCCTCTGGAATCCTCGTCCCTCCCTTCCCACCTCGCGACTGTGTCGCCTTCACAGCCTCATCTCTCGCCGCCTCATGCATCTGCGTTCCTGCTCCTTGCGCAAAGGACAACGCTTGCACCTCACTTGCCGCCCGTATCTGACTTCCCGCCCGTATCTGACTTGCCGCCCGTATCTGACTTGCCGACCGTATCTGACTTGCCGCCCCCTCCTGGTTTGAAGGCACACTTGCTGCTTGCTGTTGACCTGCTCTTGCCGCCTCCTCATCCTGCATCGATGATGTGGCAGGCACTGTTGACGTGGCAGGCTTCACGACCATCATCTGACGCACCAGTTGGAGTAATCTGTCATCCTCGTCATCCTCTTCCCCCTCCTCTTCCCCCTCCTCTTCCCCCCCCTCTTCCCCCTCCTCCTCTTCCTCCTCATCTTCCACACGTAACCTTTCTTCAACATCCACATGCCGCCGTCCCCTCTCACTCATCTCCTCGCTTCCTCCCTCCTCATCCTCCTCCTCCTCTTCCTCCTCCTCGTTTTCCTCCTCCTCCTCGGTATCTTCCTCCTCCTCCATCAAACCGCCTCCCACCCCACCTTCCAGCAAGCGCGTCTCGCGTCTCTGTGATTGTGAATCTAACGGGAGGACTCTCTGCAACGGGAAAACGTTACTCGCCGAAAAGGGCGCGCCGAATTCGCTCTGAACTGCCGCAAGAAGGGCCTCGTCTTCGTCCTCCTCCTCCTACTCTTCATCATCCTTTTCCCCCTCATCGTCGTCCTCCTCCTCGTCCTCGTCCTCATAGTTTTCGTCTTCAACATGTCGTTCGCCCACTAAGCTACTGCCACGTGTCCTCTGGCCAATCATGATGATTCTCGATATATATACCCAGGAATGAAAACGAGAAAAGAAAACGGTTTACATTAGGGACGAATGCGGTTTCTAGAAGACGTTTTCGAGCGCTTATGCGAGAAACCAGTTTGGTGGACGGCGGCGCATCAGTGACGAAATAGAATAAAGCTAATTTGTTGCTCGTTTTGTCAGGAACAAACAGTCAGTGTCTGCGGCAGGGAGAGCTACACGGATCGATTTTGATGAAAGATCTAAAAGTCCTAAAGAGGGTTGTGGGTTGAAGGGGTTTCACAATGCCACGTGGCGGTGCTGTTGAGCAGATCGGGCTGCAAAAAAAAAAATTTGAAGGGCGCGTGTGATATTTTTCCAGGTTCATAAAACATATCGAACTTCGTCAATGTCGTCAGCAGTATCTTGCGAATAAACGTCAATCGCTGTATACGATAATAGTCGAGTCACGATCTGTGAACGGGACTCGAATTTGTACATAAACGTGCGAGCACACGTTTGTCAAACGTGTTTTGTTTTTGGCACCCACGATGAATAGACGAATCCGACGAAAATCACGAGATTAAAAACGCGTGGTAACCTTTTCGACGCCCAATAGATTGACGTTGCGCACTATATTGGGTAACCTACACCCCCTACGTGCGGCCCGGCGCTTCGTATAAACTCAGATTTCCACATTCGAACTTGGGTGTGTCATTGTGACTGATTAAAAAAATTGGGTTAAAGTTCGAACATCGATCACAGCGTTGTTCGACCTAAATGTAAAGTAACATTCTAGCTAAAAATGTAGACTTTACAAAGTTCAAATATCCCACGCGCCCTAAATGCCCAGATGTCGACCCGAAGACTGTTCGACGCCAGATGCCGAAAAATTACTCGAGCACTGAGAGATTCGAACTCTCGCGGGCAGAGCCCATGTACTTAGCAGGCACACGCCTTAAAGCGACGGGCAACTTTTGGCAGTGTTGGGTTCAGAAGTTTTTCTTTTGAACTAGGCTTGCCAGCGCGAAAGTGCTGGCTGGCGAAAACCAGGATTTCGTGCGGACACTTTCCATCCGCAGTAACAGTTCGCCAGGGTTCTGGGTTTTGGGTGGCAAATGTGCACCGTCGCTTTAACCACTCGGCCAAATGCTCCTGGCAGCCAAATTTATAATATTTTGTTATTTCTATTTCGGTTCATTCGTCACACTGACGTTTTCATTCTCCTTGTCATTTTCAAGGCAAGCAGTCTGGCGCCATGCGACGAGCATCAGTGCAGCTCTCCTCGCTCAGCGGTGGTCGCTGGAATAATGGATTAAGCGATGGTCCTTCTGCTAGGAATGACACGTCAGCAGCATTGCATCTAGCTGAGCGGAGTGGTGCGGTAATTAGAGACTCAGTCGCGGCAGCGAGCCGTGAGCATCCTGACGGTGTATCGGAGCTTCCTATATCGAAGCCTTTATTTGTGTCGCCTTCCAGGAATGGCGAAGGTTGCAGAGGTCGTTTCGCTAACACGTCGCATTGTGATGCTACTCACAATGAGGTTTTCGACTCGCCGCTCGCATTGTTTCGCGAGTGCTTCCTGGACGAATCGCAGTGCGACGAGCGACACAGCGTCGGTCGCTCTGCGTCGTCGCACGGCTGTGCGAAACGAGGAGCAGGAGAGATTGCGTGCTGCGATCATGGGGACGACGAGAGGTCAGCTAGGAGAGTGAAAATCTCTCAACAGAATGATGGTGATCCTGACAACCATCCTGTTAGTGACAGTTTTTGTCATGATCACTTTAAGATATATAATTCGTATAACGGTATTACTGACACTGACATTAACAATGATGGTTATTGTCGTGACACCACGCCTGCTCATATCGGATCTTCTGGGAGGTTCCGGACTTGTGAACCGGCCAATCAGATGGAGCGTTCTGAAGGTGGTGACTGTACAGCTGGTAATAATAATGATGCCTTGGGATTGGGAGATTCTTATGAAGACTACGACGAGATATCTGGGATGATGACTCAGCGTCAGGAGGACGCCACGTGGCACAATCAGCATTCAGATGCCCCGGAATTCGAGGAGCAGAACGGTGCACTGGGGAATGGAAGTGGTAGACGAAGGGAACAGGAAGCTTCTGAAACGTCCCACGAACTTTCCTACCACACGGGGGTTGCTGCGGATAGAGTGGAAAGAGGCGTTGGTCTAAGAAAGGGGCAAGGGTGCGGGGGTGGGAGGGGGGATGTTGCAAGGGAGGGGCGAGCGAGTGAGTGGGGGAGGGAGAGGGGGGTCAGTGTAGGGGAGGCGCGTGAGAAAGGTGTGAGTGTTAGGGTGGAGAGTGGGAGAGGTGTGAGTGGGAGGAGGGATGATGAGGAAGAGGAGGAAAAAGAGCATGTGGTGGAGGTGGTGGGAGAAGAGAAGGATGAAGAGGAAGAGGAGGAGGATGAAGCTGATGTGATCGAGGTTTCAGACACAGATGGTGAGAGTGAGGAGCAGGGGAAAGAAGAAGGCGAGGAGGAAGGTGGGGAGGGAGGTGGAGGGGAAGGTGGGGAGGAAGAAGAGGTGTATGGGAGCGTGGAAGAGGCTGACGTGGACTGCCCAATCTGCGGCTGCCACCTGTCCCACCTGGAACCAATCAGACGCGAGCAGCACTCCAACGCATGCCTGGATGCCTGGGGACGGGACAAGGGGGAAGAAGAAGAGACAGAGACTTGCAGAATGGGAGCTGATACCGGTGCCTGGGTACGGGACAGGGGGGAAGAGGAAACGGAGAGGGGGAGAATGGATGGTGGCGGCAGAGTGAAGGGCACAGCATACGGGAAACGAGAGGAGAGGGGGGGGAGGGAAGAGGAGGAGGGAGAACACTTCAATGCATGCCTGGATGCCTGGGGACGGGACAGGGGGGAAGAGGAAACGGAAATCTGCAGAATGGGAACTGATGGCAAAGTGAGGGGTTTGTTGCACGTGACAGGAGATTTGAGGCGCGTGAAAAGGGGCAGGGTGGAAGAGGAGACAGAGATTTCCGGAGTGCGAGGTGATGGTAGGGTGAAGGACACAGCATACGAGAAGCGAGAGGCGAGTTGGGAGAGGGAAGAGGAAGAGGGAGAAGAGGGAGAGGAGGGGGAGGAGAGAGGGGAGGGAGAGGAGGGGGAGGAGGGAGAGGAGGGAGAGGATGGGGAGGAGGGAGAGGATGAGAATTCTGCAATGGCTAGGATGCTGTGGAGTAGGATAGAGGCGGGTGGCATGGGGATGAAAATGAGGGCATGGAGGAGGAGAGAGACGGTGGAGGTGGGGGGGGAGGAACGTGAGGAAGAGGAGGAGGAAACGGAGGAGGAACAGGAGGGGAAGGACAAGGGAGAGAGAGTAAAAAGAGAGAGGGAGGCGGAGGAAACTGAGGAAGCGGAGAATGAAAGGCGGCAAGTGGGTGAACAATCAGATGGAAAATCAGGTGATATTTCAGGTGGTTTATCAGGTGCTGTTGGCGCCCAAAAACGGCTAATCACCGACTTCTTCGGGGGCGGCAACAGGCACAGGCCACCCCAGCAGCAACAACTGCCCCAGCAACAGCAAGCGCCTGGGGCAACCGCTTCATTGAATGAGGTTTCCCGTGGGCACCAGCAGGGAGCAGGAAGAGGCGTGAAGTGGGGAGGAAGGTTCGCAGGGAGGGGCAGGAGTGGGAGCGCGGGAAGAGGAGGAGTATCAAATGGAAGAGGTGGGGGCTGGAACGGGGGAAGAGGGAGAGGTGGGGTGTCGTTGGCAGAGGCCTGGGAGATGATTCCAGGCACTGACTTCCTGGTGGACGCATTCAAGCGCATTTCCCCCTCCTGTCACCACTGGTTCCTCACTCACTTCCACGCTGACCGTACGTCTCCTCCCAATTCCAACTTCCCCTCCCCCTTCCCCCCTTCTTCCTTCCTCCTCTTCCCCCCTGCCGTTTTTTCACTCCTTCACTCAATGCCAATCTGCTTGCACGGCCTTTTGTCTTTCACTGGTGTTTTTATATACCTTGGTTGTCTGCTTCTTTTTTCCTCCGATTCGTCTGTTCCTTCTGCCCTCGTTTTGTCCCCCCCCCCCCCCCCCCTGCCCCCAGACTACAACGGTCTGACCAAATCTTTCCGCTTTGGCACCGTCTACTGCTCCGCGGTCACTGCCCGGCTCGTCAAACTCCGACTCGGGCTGCCCGAAGAGAAAATTTGCGAGCTGCCCGTGGGCGAGCGGGTGGAGATTGCTGGCGTGGGCGTGACACTAATGGATGCCAACCACTGCACGGGGGCAGTCATGATTTTGTTTGAGCCTTCCAATGGACAGGTGGGTGAGGGTGAGTGACTGAGTGAGTTAATCCTCGGTGAGTCAATCAAGTTCTTAAGCAGCCATGGTGGGTGCGAACCACTTCCTGGGGGTTATGATTTTGTTTGAACCTTCCAAGAGACAGGTGAGAAAGAAAGAATGTTGGGAATTAGACAAAGAAGAACAAGGTGAAGAATGAGTAGGAAGGAGAGGGGGAGAATGTTGGGTGAGTCAGCATAAGAAGCCATGCTGGGATGCGAACCACTGCCCAGGGGCAGTTATTATCTGAGCCTCCAAATGGGCAGTTATCCCTGCTATCCTCCCTCATCCCACCCCAGGCGGTGCTCCACATGGGCGACTTCAGATGGCATCCCTCCATGGCTGCTTGGCTGCCTTTCCCTGCCTTGCTTGCTACCACTCGCCACCATTCCCCCTCTCCGTTCTATCTTACCCCTCCCTCCCTCCCTTTCTGTCCACAACCCAGGCAGTGCTCCACACGGGCGACTTCAGATGGCACCCTTCTATGGCTGCCCTGCCCTGCTGCCTCAACGCATGCCCCCCTCCCCTCCTCCCTATCGCGCTCCGTTCCCTCATCCCATTCCAGGCAGTGCTGCACACGGGCGACTTCAGATGGCACCCTTCTATGGCAGCTCTGCCCTGCCTCACTGCCACACGCATTCACACGCTCATTCTCGACACCACCTACTGCCACCCGAAGGTGATTCAGCATTCTGTGTGTGTGTGTGTGTGTGTGTGTGTGTGTGTGTGTGTGTGTGTGTGTGTGTGTGGGTGGGTGGGTGGGTGGGTGGGTGGGTGTGCGTGCGTGCGTGCGTGCGTGCGTGCGTGCGTGCGTGCGTGCGTGCGTGCGTGCGTGCGTGCGTGCGTGCGTGCGTGCGTGCGTGCGTGCGTGCGTGCGTGCGTGCGTGCGTGCGTGCGTGCCTCAAAAAGAGGCGAGCAGGTTAATCCCCATCTCTTGCCATCCATACTATTCCCACTGCACCCCCCTCCACTCCACCCGCCTCCACTCCACTTCGCTCCCCTCATCACCACGCCAGTAAGACTTCCCTCCTCAATAGGTGGCACTGCAGTTCGTGGTGGGCGCCAGTCAAGCAGAGGCGAGTAGATCGGATGCCTTTGCTCCAATACCCATCACGCTCTACCCCTCTCCACTCCACTTCACTCCTGTAAACCCATGCCAGTACGACTTCCCTCCTCAAGAGGTGGCGCTGCAGTTCGTGGTGGGCGACATTCAAGCAGACGCCTTCAACTGCGTAGACCTGTTTTGTCCTTTCCCTCTCTACCCCAACCCAATCCAATTCCTGTCCCTCAACCCTTAAATCCAATTACCAGTACGAGTTCCCTCCGCAGGAAGTGGCTCTCCAGTTCGAGGTGGAGGCTGTTCAAGCAGAGGCGAGAAGATCGATCCAACGCTTTAATCAATCCCACCCCACCCATCTCCACCCCTCACTCCTACCCTCGAAATGACACCACACTTCAGTACGAGTTCCCTCCGCAGGAAGTGGCGCTGCAGTTTGTGGTGGAGGCCATTCAAGCAGAGGCCTTCAACACCAACGCACTCTTCCTCATCGGCACATATACCATCGGTGGGTCCCGCAATCAGTGCTGCTCACTTGCTGCGGCTGTGCTCCATGTGCTCTGTCTTCTCATTAAGCCATTCAAGCATAGGCCTTCAACAGCAGTGCACTTTTTGTCTTCGGCACACACACCATCGGTCAGTTTCCTGCTGCTCCTTGCTCTTGTACTCTCTGTGCTCGCTTGTGCTCCAGTATCGCCACGTATCCCTGCACTGACCAACCAAACCATGTGCACCTCCCATACCAGGCAATGAGAAGGTCTTTCTGGAAGCAGCCAAAGCGCTCAAGCGCAGGGCAGGGTGCATGTGGGGGCGGTGATGAGACTCCTGCTGGGGTGCTTGGGCTGTCAGATCAGATGATGGCATGGGCGTACATGCATGCACCTCACCCCATCCCACATCCCAGGCAAGGAGAAGGTGTTCCTAGAAGCTTCAAAACCTCTTAAGCGCAAGGTCTATGTGGGGGAGGTGAAGAGACGCCTGCTGATGTGTCTTGGGCATAGCTGGGGTGGCTAGCACAGGTTTCCACTCATCCCTGTACCCATATGTGCTTCCCCCAGGCAAGGAGAAGGTGTTTCTAGAAGCTGCGAAAGCTCTCAAGCGGAAAGTGTACGTGGGGGCAGTGAAGAGACGCCTGCTGGCATGCCTTGGTTTGTCAAATGATGACATGGCGTGGGTGGCTGGGGATGGCGAGGAAGCTTCCACGAACCTGCACGCTGTGCCGCTCTGGTCGATCTCCAGCTTCAAGAGGATTGAGCACATTGCCAAGTTCCACAGGGTAAGTTCGGAATGATACACCCTTTTTATAGGGCAAGTTACCTTTGTTGCACATGTTCAAAGAAATCAGTGCTGTTGAATGCTGTAAATTACATCTTCTTCTTCTTCTTCTTCTTTCTTCTTCTTCTTCTTCTTTCTTCTTCTTCTTCTTCTTCTTTCTTCTTCTTCTTCTTCTTCTTCTTCTTCTTCTTCTTCTTCTTCTTCTTCTTCTTCTTCTTCTTCTTCTTCTTCTTCTTCTTCTTCTTCTTCTTCTTCTTCTTCTTCTTCTTCTTCTTCTTCTTCTTCTTCTTCTTCTTCTTCTTCTTCTTCTTCTTCTTCTTCTTCTTCTTCTTCTTCTTCTTCTTCTTCTTCTTCTTCTTCTTCTTCTTCTTCTTCTTCTTCTTCTTCTTCTTCTTCTTCTTCTTCTTCTTCTTCTTCTTCTTCTTCTTCTTCTTCTTCTTCTTTCTTCTTCTTCTTCTTTCTTCTTCTTCTTCTTCTTCTTCTTCTTCTTCTTCTTCTTCTTCTTCTTCTTCTTCTTCTTCTTCTTCTTCTTCTTCTTCTTCTTCTTCTTCTTCTTCTTCTTCTTCTTCTTCTTCTTCTTCTTCTTCTTCTTCTTCTTCTTCTTCTTCTTCTTCTTCTTCTTCTTCTTCTTCTTCTTCTTCTTCTTCTTCTTCTTCTTCTTCTTCTTCTTCTTCTTCTTCTTCTTCTTTTCTCTGCCCAGCAACGGTATTCCACCATAATCGCCTTCTCACCATCCGGGTGGGCGTTTGACAAGTGCAAGAAGGCTCGGCCCATCAGGCGAACACAGCGAGGCACCATTGTGAGGTGAGACTTCATTGATTTATGCTTATTGCCATGTTCGATGGGTAAGATATCGAGGGCGAATATGCGGTGATTTTCGTAATTATCTGGTGTGCCACGGTCACGATTCTGTAAGCATCTGTACTGTACACCCTTTCTTTTTGGGCAGATATGAAGTACCCTACAGTGAGCACAGCAGTTTTTACGAGCTTCAGGAGTGTGTGAAGGCTGTAAACCCGGAAATCATCATTCCATCTGTGCACAATCGTGGGCATGGAGCAGCACAAGCCATGGTCACATTACTGGCTGAAGGGGCACTTAAGCTAAGTTCGTAGTTGCTGTGTCCTCAGTCCAGGGCACATTCTTATGTGAAACAATGCTACACATTATTTTTACAAGTAGGATCCTCGGGTGCAGGCCCTCAGATTCGTTTGAGGGTACCCTGAGGCATCAGGGCAGTTGTGTAGGAAACCTAGTTTTGTCCTGAATTGTCAGGACTGCACTAGGAGAAGTATGCTATACCGTCAGTGCTACATTTGACACTATCCTGGCATATCAGTGCTACATTTCATATAATCCTGTGGACTAGTTTTTTTTCTTCTAGCTGGCATGTTTTACCTGACACAACGCTCACAGGCACTCAAGCACAACAAACAATGTTGTCAAATTGCAATCCTTATCAAAAAACAAACATTTCAATAGCCATCATCTTCCTCCTCCTCCACATCATCTTCACTAGCATCACTGTCCCCCCCACTGTCAGCATGTACATCATCATCATCAGCGTGGTCGCGCTTCTCTGCAAGTGCCCCCCGGAACACCGCGCCACTCCTCCTCGATACATCCACCTTTGCTGCCTTGCACTTGGTGGGTCGCCTCTTCTTGGTGCTGCGCCACAGTGCCACAACTGTACCCCACTCCATGTCGTACTCTAATAGACTCGGCGTCATGAGGTCGCCCAGCTTCGCGTCGCACAAGCTGGTCCGCAGCCAGCTCTTGGTCACATTTTGGCGCGAGAATCCTCGCTCGCACTCCACCGTGCTGAGCGGCAACACTGCCACAGCCGCCCACAGCCGCACCAGGTTCGGATAAGTCCTCTGCCAGTCCGTAGTTGACAAGATCGCCCGCAACCCCGCATGGAAGGGCTGCTCCTCCTTTGGCGCCCCGGACAGCACAGACAGAAACGTGCGCATCTCGTTCCGCACTTCGCGCTTGTTGACACCTGTTTGGTGGGGTGATAAGGGAACATACAAGAGCAGAATCAACAACGGCGGTTATAAGGGGGACAATACACACTACGGTGTTAATGGGCGTCCATATCTGATAACTCACCAGGCAGGATATCATCTCTGTCGCGAGCATGGAACATCACCGCCAGCTTCTCCATGTGTTCTCTGCACTCCGCGCCCCTCGCCTCTTTCCCACGCGGCCAGGATCTTGGCATGAACAGCTTCGCGGCGTTGAGGTTCGACAAGTTGCCAAGCCGAAAGTCGAGGTTGCAAAGCAGCTCCGTCGCAAACGAGCGACACGTCCGAATGCAATATGGCAGGACACCACGGGTCGCCGTGTAGCCGGGAATCATCTCCTCGTGCAGGGTGAACTCATGCTCCCTCGGCTGCCCGTCGGTGTCCACTCCCTGTACAGTCACGCGCCTTAGGACAGAAAGGTTCCGTGAGCAACAAACCTCGTGAATTGGAATCATTGAAGCAGCTCACAACAATCCCTCGCGCCTCTGGAAGAGAAGGTTGAGCGTGTTCAGCTCGACGTCTACATCTGCCAGGAAGTACACAAAGAAGTGGAACTTCAGGCTGGTGACCATGTGGTAACTAGTTGGATCCAGCATCTCTAGAAGAACCACCACCGTCGGTAGCACCTTCACGAACCGAGCGATCGTGTCACCGCAGCTTAACCACCGAACGGCGTGGATTCCTTGCATTTCCAGGTTCGTTCGGGTGAACACGGCCTGAAGCTCTTTGAAAGCCGCGTGCGAGGTGCTGTGGCCGAGATGCTCTGCCAATGCACAGATGAGGGCGTCAACCATGGCGAGCTCCGGGAGCGCTTCCGCATAATCTTTAGCGGCTAAAGCCTCCCTGCATAACATAAAGCAACAAAAACCAGCGTCAGAATCGAAGTCAAAACAACACCAGCAGACTGACACCATCCACCTGTGGGCGATGCAGTGGCACGAAACCAGGTGTGGGATGTAGAGTCGAAGTCGGTCGGTCAGACCGTTGGTTCCGCCGAGCATGACTGGAGCGCCGTCGGTGCTAAGCCCTGCAATCTTGCCAAGGGGGAGGTTTATGCTGTCGAGGAAACCGACGAGCACTGCATACAGGGATCCTGCATCGCATTTGTCAACAGTGTCAATAACGTTAAAAACTCAGTGGTAACCTCGTTTTCGCGCAAAAAGGTGACGAAAACAATCATGTGCTTCCCCAGCACGCGGTCAGTACTCTCATCACAGCTCAAGCCAATGAAGGGGCTTGAGTCTATGAACTCGCGCTGCTTCGCATGAAGATAGCTCGCTGTTGCCGACACTAGTTCCTGGAATCCGTACCTGCGAATGCAAAGAGAGTGAAACAGTGTGTTAGTATACACCTCCTGGTGTAATTCACAAGAACTAAACAATGTTTTTTCACTTCTGAAAATTATCAATGCTTTGGGAATAACAACGCTTACTTACGCTGTGTAATACGCGTCGTAGACATTCTTCGGGAATCACGGCGTCCCACGGGATGCAAGGTGCCGGACAAGTTGCACCCACATCTCTATGGGTGCGTCGGTCTTTGGAATGAAGAGCATAGTGTCCAGCAGCACCTCCATAGCATCGTGCTCCACGTCACGCGCTTTTGAGCAATCGGGGATGCGATGCTGCCCGGTCGCTTTCGCCAACGCCAGCTCTTGGTTGCGGATGGCGTCCCTGTGCTTCGTGGTCCTTTGATGATGTTGCATGGCTTGAGTCTGCTCATCCAGGGCCCCCTTGCCTTTCCCGAAGTTGGTTCATGTGCCTCCATACTCCATATAGACCGTACACTTCATGGATGGGAATCCATAAGAAGTATGACAAATAATTAGCCACGGGAAGTCCTCGTTCCATCGTCTTTTAAACATAAGTAAAGCTTCCTGGCATTTTTCCTCAGCGATATCAGGAATTTCGGTGTCAGAGGATCCAGCGGCGGCGGTTTCAACAAGCACAGTAGGTTCGGAGGTCAGTTCGTGATCTTGCCTGGATACTGAAAGGACCGCAGTGTTGTCTTATGTACGGACGAACGACAGCTTCGTCTGGTGGTACCGTTGCGCGGAGACCTTCTTGCTCGGAGGTCCTTTCAGGGTTGTCCCAGCAGCCTTAGAGCATTCCCCTTGCGTGCGAATCGGTGGTGGCAGGGGCTCGTTGTCAACCACGACCGGTGCAGCTGTCGCGGGAGAAGGCACGGGTGGCTGGGACGGCAATTGGAGAGAATCAGCTGCGACAGCGGTTTGTTCTGGTGTTGGGAGAGGCGGTGGTGGAGGCTGAACGGGCCTACTACGCAAAAAATCCAGACCCGTCAACCCTACGGGCCCGACCGTAGGATTAGGCATGGCGGGGGCTTTACCTTCGCCCGCCGGCGATGGGTCAGCCATGGGCGGTCAGCACTGGAAGAAGTTCGCAGAGATGCGGCGTCGAGCTGCTAGCAAAATTACGGGGACTAACAGGGATTCTTGGTGTTCTGGCTGGGGTTTGGTTGAGAGTCAACAGCAGGCTGGAGAGGATGGTGGAAGAGACATAACATCACAAAGGTTCCCGAACCTTCCCAACCCCAGACACATGGTGCCGCGACCAAAGGAGTCATGTGCTGGCAAGGCACGCTTGACTCCAGAACGTTCAGCAGCGCCGCTGTGGCATGGCGCCGCGTGAAGTTCAGTTGATGGGGACGAGGATGCGGGGGTGGGTTGGATAAGGGTCATGTTTCATGGCTAGGTGGGAAGCACGTGCCAACAGCATTTTGCAAAGTTGGCCGTGCTTTTCCCGCGTGTTAAGTCAGCGGCGCTCTGTGATTGGTAGGTATTACAGCAATAGTGTGTTTCAAGGGTGGGCGCGGTGTGGTTTTGCGCCACCCATGCAAAAAAATTCAGGGCGACAATCACGGAGCGTAACTTACGCTGTAACAGGTCGGTGGTTGGGTACACTAGGCCCGGGAAAAATGCAGTTTTCGCGTCAGGACGAGTCTCAACACTATCCTGACGCATCAGGGCTGAACCTACAGCGTTATCCTGAGTGTCCAGTACGCAAATTCACCGTTATACTGGTTTTACAGGACAAACATTTCCCTTATGCTGTTTTTCCAGGAGAACCCCCAAACGCCTATCCTGAATTCAGGAGGATCAGAATAAATGATCCTGATAACATAGGACCTGCTCAGGTGTGTCCTGAACAGCTGTCGCGAGTTTCGTTTACAATAATAAGCAAGATGCCGCTTTCATTCAATGCATTTTATAATAGCAGTATCCTTCAGCATTGTTCATGTAGGTGTTCCAATTTAGGATAATTCAAAAAGCTCCAGGCGTCGGTTCCCCCTGTTTCCCGCCAAAATCCTGCTGTCAGAGTACTTCAAACCGTAGCCTGCCATTCTTCGAACTCGGCATTCCCGCGGGGTTTCAAAACTTCAGGGATGGCGGCTCGTCATGAACCGTCAGATTTGCAGAGCTCGACAATTTCAGTGCACATCGGCACCATACGTTCAACAGAAATGGTCAGGGAAGCAAACCAACAAACTCCAGAACAACCCAACCTGGAATTAGCCTGAACGGATTTCTTCTGGCTGGAGTTTTCAATCAGCCTAGAGGATACATTCAGGCTGGGCAGAAGAATTCTGAAAATCAGGCTTCTGCATTCAGGTATAGTCGTCTACGTTCCAGACTAGACTCTACTGTTAAGATCTCTAGTTTCATACGGATTACTCGAGGTTTCCATCAATAGTTCCAGGTAGGACTTCTCGGAGCAGCCATAGCCTGACCCGTGTTGTCTACAAGTTGGACTGCGAAGCTATTTTGAGCATGCAGACACAGGATAGGCTATAGAAGTTAATGCTGCTTGATATCTCGAGGGACCTGTTTCTGAAATAGAACCTCGCCAAGATGTCGGCCTGGATGTTCGGCGTGCCGGCTTCGAAGACCCCGGAGCCGAAGCGAGAAAGGCATCCGGATCAGATTATCCAGTCACTTGGAGCAGATATTAAAGCGAAAGAAAATAAAATCCAGAACCTGGAGCAGCAATGTATTAAGAAATCTAAGGTCAGCGTTCGAGAGTCTCCACTCTTACGTATTCGTGCAAATTAGTCGCGTCTTGGGCTCTTTCATGAAGTGTCATTCTTAATGCTTAACTTGTTGCCATTCGCTGCTTTTTTCCGTACTTCTCATATTTCAGGAAGTCGAGGATCTCGAGTCAGTTCAAGATGCTGTCCGCGAGGTAAGTGCATACGTCACGTCTTTGAAGAATCGTCGATGCGTCTCCAATGAGCACCTTTCAACATCAGCGGTTCGTGTGTGTGTGTGTGTTTTCCTTCAGGAAATGACTAACTTAGTCGACGCGATAAAGACCATGAAGGACGAGTCTTCACAGCGATCGCAGGTATCTGTTTCCCGTAGGAGCTGGCCTGTTTGAAGCCAACGTCAATGGAACTGTTATTTGCAAGTCCGCAAATCGATTTCTGCCTTCCTCATCAAAGTTCGTATTGTCTAATTCGCAATACGTCGCATAATCGCTGCTCGTCGCCTATCGCAGGAGCTTCAGGCGTCAGAGCGGGAGAAGATGAACCTGATGACGCAGCTTCAGCGTCGCGATGCGGAGGTGAAGGGCCTTCAAGACGAGCTTGCAGAGACGCAACGGATGTTGAAAACGACCAACGAGGAAGCCAACGCAGCGTTGGCTATTGCGAAACAGGTACTGGAATAATGGTAACGCGTACACGATTTCTCGAAGTAACTCTTTACGTATTCGATCAGTCGTTTTCGCAGCACTGACATGCACTTGCTTTGCTCGCTTGCGCGGCTCTGGATTGGATGATGTGAGTTTAGGAGCGGGACAGTGAGCACGCACTAAGGTTGAGACATCACAGAGATTATTATATCTCATGCTGCTTCGGTTTGGCTGTCACGTGTGCAGGAAAAGGAGGGTGAGCATGTTCGTTATCTTCAGGAGCAGAAGAAGAACGTGGAGAAACAACGAGTAGCGGCGACGCTCCGATGCCAGATGGAAGACCAGTACGTACTTCAATCCCACATCTTGCTACTGTTTTCATAAATGACGCAATCAATAAGAGTGAAAAACGCTGCTCCGGTGGTTTTGAAGCAATTTCAAAATTGCTTTTGGTGACTCATCTGTTGTTGATTGACTGATTTTGTTTTCTGCGTCTTTGAAACTTTCAGGATTGAAGCTCTGAAATCGCAGCTGAAGGATCTGAAAGAGCAGGACGAGGCGAAGGTTAAAGCAAACGAGGAGTTATCCAAGAAGCTGAAGGACGCGCACACTGGTGAGTCAGGATACCCTCGCTCCAGGATACCTGTCTCTAGGGTTCTACTATTCCTCGTTCCGAACACGCTTTCTGTCATTCGGTAATGCCAGACATTTTCTGCCGGCAGGCAATATGATCTGTTCGCCTTGTTCGGAGGTCCAGCCAACGTCGAGGCCAGCAGATTCGACGCTTTCGCGTTCTCCTTTCCCTTTAGCCGTTCTAATGCGTGTCTTGTGTTGGGCCTGGTCGTGGGCGGGGCCGGCAGAGATCGAGCGGCTGCTGCGCGCGGAGAAGGAGGCGAGGGTGGCACGGGGCGTGCAGGTGGAGCTGGAGGAGGCGAAGAGAGCTTTGGAAGAAGCGGAGTTCAAGAATCGCGACTTCGCCAAGATGCTCACAACTGCCGAGGCTAACGCTGCTCGTCTCAAGGAGCAGGTGGGTTGAGGAAAGGCTGGCTTTGGTTGGGTTGTTGTGCGTTGATGATGCCTAGCGGCGTAAGGGAGCTTGCTTCTTCGTGTCCATCTGCAGTACAGCATTCCGCTTCTTCTCTCTGTTGTACGCGTTTCGGTTTGCGTTACTAGTTTCCTTGTTCTCCATTATTCGCGTTTCCGTTTGCGCTACAACATTTTCTCTCTTGCTCCGTTTTGTGATGCCTCAGGCGGCTCATCTGACTGCGAAACTCCAAGACGAGCGTCGGGAGCGGGAGAAGCTGGAGGAGCAAATGGAACAGCTGGCGGAAGGATCCGGCAATGCGGCGCACCTGACGGCAGCAGTGCGTAAAGAGAACGACGAGCTTAAAGCGCGGGTCTCCCTGGCGGAGCAGCGCCTGGCGGACGCCCAGCGCCTGGAGGCGGAATTCAAGGCGATGACGGGGCAGCGCGCGGACCTGGAGCTGCAGGCGGAGATGGGGCGCATGGGGAAGGAGAGCGCGGAGAAGCGCGCGGCGGAGGCGGAAGGGAAGGTGAAGATGGCGGAGGATGAGGGGAGGCGCGCGGTGTGTGTGCTGGAGGAGAAGATGAAAGGGATGCAGCGGGAGAAGGAGCAGCTGGCGGAGGAGCTGCAGGCGGCGGTGAGGGGGAGGGACGCGAAGAAGGGGGAGTTGGCGGGGAGGATTGCGCGCCTCGAGGCGGAACTTGCGGAGATGAAGCGCGAGGCGGGGAGATTGCAGGAGGCGGCGAAGGAGGCGGCGAGGCAGAAGGCGGTGGAGATGGAGGGGCTGCAGAGGGAGCTGGATGCGGCTGCTGCTGCGCTGGCGGAGGTGAAGCTGAAGCGCGGGGAGGCGGAGGAGGCTCTGCGCGCGGAGAAGGAGCGGAGGCACGCGGAGGTGGCGGCTGCGGTTGGTTCCGCGGAGAGGAGATGCGCGGAGTACGAGGAGAGGATCGGGGGACTGCTGAAGGATGTTGAGAGGTTGGAGAGAGAGAAGGTGGAGCTGATCGGGAAGGTGCAGCGCGGTGAGGAGGAGTGCAGACGGGTGTTGAAGCTGGGCCGTGAGGCTGAGTTGAAGGTGGGACGGCTTGAGAAGGAGTTGAAGGGGGTGGAGGGGGAAAGGGAGAGGATGGGGAATGAGCTGGGTGTTTTGCGCGCGGTTCTGGAGGATGCGGAGCGGCGCATGGAGGCGCAGGCGGAGGAGGCGCGCGCGCAGCTGCGCCACTCGTACGAGGCAACCAAGGAGGAGGCGCGGAAGACGGGCGCGGAGATCGAGGTGCTGCGGCGGGAGGTGGAGGTGAGCGCGCGCGAGGTGGCGGAGCTGGTACGGAGGGCGGAACAGGCGGAGGCTGCGGCGGCGAAGGAGGCGGAACGGAGGTTGGCGGAGAGCAGCGCGGCGGAGAGTGTGCGCGCGAGGCTGGAGGCCAGGTGCAGGGAGGCGGAAGAGCGCGTGGTGCAGCTGGAGGGGGTGGTCGCTGGGGAGGAGGGCGAGATCGCTGGTCTGCTGGAACGCGCGACAGCAGCTGAGGCGGCCGGAAAGAAGGCAGAGAGCGAGCTTTGGGCGATGGAGGCGGCGAAGGAAAAGGCGGAGACTGAGCTCGAGAGAGTGTCAGCGGAATGCGAGAGACTGGCGCAAGATATGGGGATCCTGCGCGAGGTGGTGGAGGATGTTGAGGGGCGCGTGGAGCGCGAGGCGAGGGAGGCTACTGGGCTGCTGGTAAAGCTGAGTGCTGCTGAAAAGGAGGTTGACGGGCTGAGGAGGGAAGTCGAGGAGGAGAGGGCGAGGGCGGAGGATGCTGTGAGGGAGAAGGCGGAGGCGTGCGCGGAGGTGGAGGAGGGGAGGGGGAGGACTGCAGCGCTGGAACGTGTGGTGGAGGAGGTACGGGAGTCGCTTGCAGCTGCGACGGAGGACGCGGAGAGGGAAAAGGCCGGGAAGGACGAGGCGGAGGCGGAGGTTGCGCGCTTGAAGCGGGAGATGGCGCGGGAGAGGGGGGAGTTGGGGGAGAAGGTGGCGGAGCTGCAGGCGCAGGTGGATAAGCTGGCTGGTGAGTTGGATGCGGCGGGGGATGAGCGCCAGACGATGCAGGCGAGGGTTGACAAGCTGCTGTGCGACGTTTCGCAGCTGTCGCACGACAAGGGTCGCATGGAGGCGGAGCTGAGAGAGGTTCGAGCGGCAGTCGTTGAGAAGGAAAAGGCTTTGGCCCGCGCGGAGGAGCATCTGGCGGAGATTGCGCAGGAGGCGGAAGGACTCCGGGGACAGTTGCGCAACGCGGAGGCGGACGCGGAGAAGGCGGCGAAGGCTGAGGAGGAGGAGAGGGCGGGGCGGGAGGAGGCAGAAGCGAAGGTGAGCGGGTTGGAGGAGAGGGAGCAGCGACTGGTGGGGAAATACGAGGAGGAGATTCAAGTGCTTCAGGAGAGGGTCGCGGGGTTGGAGCGGAAGCTGTCGGCGGAGCAGGAGCGCCGGCGCGAAGAAGCGGAGCAGCTGGCGGAACAGCTGGAGGAGGCGCGGGCGGCGCTGGAAGACGCGCGTGCGGAGGAGAAGCGCGCGAGGGAGGAGGCGGACCGGCTGAGCGAGGAGCTGGCAGCGGTGGTGCTCGCCTCTGGGGCTGCGCAGCGGGAGCTTCAGGCGGAGAAGGCTGCGCGCGAGGGGGCTGAAGAGAAGGTCGAGGCAATGGAGAAGGAGAAAGAGGCGATGATGCGAGATCATGAGGATGCGGTGGCGGAGCTGCGCCGGGCGATGGAGAGTGGGCAGGAGGAGGCGGAGAGGGAGAACTTGTGGCGCCGGAACGAGGTGGACGAGGTGAAGGGGGAGATGGGGTCGATCGTGGCGGGGCTGGAAGGGAAAGTGGCGGAGATGGAAACGCGGGAGGGGAGGATGGAGGAAGAAGCGCGGCGGAAGCAGGAGGAGATGGAGGCGTTGGAAAAGCAGGTGAAGGAGCTGGAGTGGGAGATGAGGCGGCGGAATGAGGAGCAGCGGCAGGGGCTGATGGCGGCGGCGCAGCGAGGGGTGGAGAGCGGGCGCGTGGGGGATGCGCTGGTGGAGGAGGTGAAGGAGCTGCTGGTGAGGCTGGAGCAGGAGGGGGTGCGCGCACAGCAGGTGGCGCAGACGGAGGAGAGGATGCGTGAGCTGGAGGCCAGGCTGGCAGACGCAGATGAGCAGGTGACACACTCTCCCTCTCTACGGCCTCGTGCTTCCCTCTTTCTCTCCCGACTCCTTATCCATGTTTCACACGCTCCTTTTGGAATTCTGTCAGGAACTTCTGGATGCTGTTGGTGTGTGAGAGGACGGTCCTCTTGCCACCACGTCATCACTGTTCCTGATGTTTCTGTGTGACTCTTGCTGTGATGTGCAGCTTGCTGAGCTGGCGGACAAGGAGGAACAGCTGTCAGCGTCTGAGTGGACCATTGAGCGGATGGGCGAGGAGCTGAAGCGCGCCAAGGAGGTGAGCCCCAAGTCCCATGCTTTTGAGCCGTTTCAGGAGAAAAGGAATGTGATACCAGCTCTCCTACCTGAGGATCTTAGCCCTGACCTTTCTCATCAACAGTCAGTAAGCTCCTTTGTTAAAAAAATTAGCTCCTGTCTAAACATCCCAAACCCTGTCTAAAATTCTCTCGCTCCTCTCCGAACGTCCCACCCCGCAGGGCACTGAATCCCGCAAGGCGGAGGTGTCCCAGCTGCAGCACCAGCTGCTGTGCGCGTCCGCCACGCTGGAGGAGCGCGAGAAGGACCTGGACGCGCTCAGGCGCATGCTGGAGGAGTCCAACAGCAAGCGCTGGCGGCGCGCGCGGCAGATCAAGCGCATGGAGTGCGAGCTGGCTGCGCTGAGGGAGGAGCTGGGGCGCGAGCGGAAGCGACGGAGGCCTGAAGGGAGCGGAAAAGAGGGCAGGGAGGAGGAGCGTGAGGAGAGTCCTGTGCGGTTGGCTTCTGGGTCGGTGCTTGCAGTTGGAATGGGAGGAGCTCAGCAGGAGGGAAGTGGAACGCCTGGGCTGATCTTGGCGCCGAATCCTGGGCAGAGCGGGCTGTATGCGAGGAGGTTTAGGAGCCGGGTGGCTGCTATGGCTGCTGAGGGTAGGGACGGGGTTGTGGAGAAGGGTGAGACGAATGGCAGTGCAGGTGGAGGGATTGTGGGGGGTGAAGTGGTGGGGGTGTTTGATTTCAAGTCTCCTGCCGCTGCTCGTGCTGCTGCTTCTCCTGCTTCAGCTGCTCGTGGTGCTGCTGCTCCCGCAGCTGCTGTTGGTGGTGCACCTGCTGCTGGTACGCCTGCTCAGTCTGCAACGGAAGGCGGTCTCAATGCGGTCATGGCAGGTGCTGCTGAGGAGGAAGAGGACGAGGAGGAAGCACCTAAGGCACTGAACTTCGATTTGGTGGAACAGGAAGAGACTGGCGCAGGAGTACTGGGCGGTGCGAAGGTGTTAGTCCTGGAGGCAGATCACGGCAAGAAGGTCACGACAGAAGCTGAGGTTGCAGAAGCAGAGTTTGCAGAAGTGGAGCTAGCAGCCTTGAGGTTCGGCTTTGAGCAAGAGGTGATGGGTGAAGTAGTGGGCGGCCTCGAGGTGGGAATTTCTCGGCTCCAGAAGCTGCTGGGCGAGGCTGAGAAGAAGCAGGGAGAGGCAGAGGAGGAGGCAGGAAAGGCGAGGGTGAAGCTGACGGTTCTGGAGAAGGAGCTTGCTGCTGCCGAAGCGGTGGTTATGCACGAGAGGAGGGCTGCTGCTGCTGTGAGGGTTGACTTGTCTGCTGTGACAAGCGAGCGCAACGGGTTGCTGCAGAAGGTGGTGAATCTGGGACAGCAGGAGCGGGCAGTTGTGGAGGCAACGGGGGGTGCGGAAGGGAATGAGATGGGGAGTGAGGTTGCTGCGCTGAAAGCTGAGTTCGCCGCTATGGTGAGCGAGAGAGACGGGCTGCTTGAGAAGGTAATGGAGATGGAGAAGCAGGTGCGGGCTGCTGGTGAGGAGAAGGGCGGAATGGAGGAGAGGTTGTTGGAGGGAGAGGCTGAGAGGCAGCGGCTGGTGGCAGCTGTGCAGCAGAAGAGTGAGGAGATTGAACGGCTGGAGGTGATGGTTGCGGAGATGGGGAAGAGAGGGCGCTTGGATCACATGGGGACGGACGTTGCTGCTGGTGAGGGGATGGGAGAGGGCGTCGAGGAGGCAAAGGGAGGGAGTGGGGATGAGGAGGCAGTGAACAGTGGTGTAGTGGATGGAGAGCAGGGATTGGACGGGGAGGTGAGGAGGCTGCAGGGGCTGATAGGGGAGATGAAGGGAAGAGAGGAAACGGCAAAGAAGGTGGCTGCAGAGAAGGCTGCTCTGGCTCAGCGGCTGGAGGGGAGGCTGAAGAAGGTGGAAGGGGATTTGAAGGAGAGGGAGGGGAAAGACGCGCTGCTGAAGCGGCAGTGCAAGAACGCAGAAGGGGAGCTGGAAGCTGCGAGGGAGGAGGTGAAGGCTGCAGTGCAAGCAAGGCAGGGGGTTGAGGCACAGGTGAGGGCCATGACAGAGGAGGCTGCAGGGCTGAAGCGAGCAGCTGATGAGGCGGAGAAGGGGCGCCATGAAGCAGAAGCGAAGCTAGCAGACGCTAACGGGCAGCTGAAGAGGCTTGAGGCAGAGTTGGAGGAGGTCCGGGCAGCAAAAACTGCTCTGGAGGGTGAAAAGGGAGAGATGGTGCTGCAGCTGGAATCTGAAGCGGAGCAGCTGAGGGAGAGGGTTGCGGAGTATGAAAGGCAAGCGGAGGAGGCGCAGGCGGGTGCGGCAGTTGCGGCGGAGAGGATTGAGCAGGAGCTGAAGGTGAGTGCAAGCCGGGTGAGTCAGTTAGAGAAGGAGGTGGAGAGGCGGAAGCAGGGAGAGAAGGAGCTGAGGAAGGAGATTCTTAGGCTGGAAGGAGAGAAGGATCTGAGTAAGAAGCTGCTTGCTGCAAAGGAGATTGGGGAGGGGATTACAGCGAGAGGGGAGGGGAGTCGTTCCATGGGGTTGAGCAACAGGGCTGCTGGGGGTGGGGTGGTGTTTCCGCGGGTTGTGAACGAGGCTGGTGCGGAAGGTGGGATGGGTGCGGGCCGATCTGCACTGAAGTCCTGGGCAGGAGGGAATGGGGCGGGGGTGGAGGCGACAGGTGGGAGGGGGAATGTGAACAAGATGATTGCTAATCTTTCTGCTGCCTTCCGAGTTGCCAGCCCCACCAAGCCTGTTAAAGTGCAGCGTCTTGCGGTGGTGACTGGGCAGGAAGGGATTGATGCGGTAAACAAGGAGAATGAGGGAGTGTAGTTGAGTGACAGATAGATGAGGAGACTCGGAGGGAGGAGGTGGGGATGGAGGGCAGGTTGTGTGGGTTCATAAGGGGGATAAGCCATTTTGTCCCAAACAGCACCTGCACTTCGAATCTTTGATGGTAGATTTGTGTTCCATTTCCTTCCCAGTGACCGGTAATTGCAATGTAGGAATGTGCATCTGGTGTTGGCATACATTATAAGTCACTGTAGGAATGTTTATGTTTATAGTGCTGTGAAACTCACGTTGGTGCGTTATTACTCACTATCAATCAACCCACTCATTAAGGTATGAGTCCATTGTCCAGAACGTTTAGAAAATATATTTCTGTTTACTTCATGTGGCCTGAAGTAGATTAGTTGCGAGTCAGCTTCTGGCCTGAACGCAGCGAAGGCGAAAGCTTTCCCCAGCTGGGGGAGGTTGGGGAGCTGCTAATGGACGGATTTCCCGTTCGCGCGAAGCTTGATGTCGAAAGATACGGAGGGTGGGCGTATCTTGATTGCTGGTTGGGAGAACCTCATGCTGTGTGATGTCTGGTCAGGTCAGCATGCATGAAACATGTTGCCTTTCCAAATGTTGCCTACCTGGTTTGACTGTAACGAGAACTGATTGTACCTATCAGGTCATGCACTATTTGGAAAGGCAACATCCTCTTTGCTATTAAATAAGCCCGACTTCCCGCAAGTTTCCAAGGTTCTAGCGAACAAAACTAGTTTTCGCTACTGTTAATTTACATACATCTTGTAAATGCTTACTCGAAATCCAAACACATGAGGATCTTGTAAGTGCAGACCGCCTTAGATTGCTAGCGTCATTACACTATTTCGAATTTAAGGTGTATCTATCTGCCCGGCTCTTCAAACTGATCTGATTATCAGCCAAGTGGCTTTTTTCAAGCAGGTTTTGACGCATGATTGACATGACGTGTGAGATAAATATTTCAGCCGTCAACACATCCACCGAAACTGTCACCAGCTTGTGCGAAATCCTCGCCAGCTCTCGCCACATCCTCGACAGACAGGCGTATGCACTCGCGCCAAACCCATCGCCAAATACCACCACCTGACAATCACTCTCACAGCCAGGCACGTCTCGTCCCATTTCGCTGCGCAACAAGAGCTTTCGCTACGCGACGAACCCAAGCCTCTGGCCACCCAGCTTCTATTATGGCTGTCCCTGCAGCATCACCCTATCGTCCTTTCCTCGTTTCTTAATTCCCGAATCGCGTGCCATCCTCACACGATGCCTTCCCACCCAGGCTTTCTGAACAAGGAAAATCAAATCTGGCTTTTGCCACCAGTTCCTCCAGCGCATCACATGCTAGTGCTACTGCTTCCTGCCAGTTCGTTCTCTAATCGGGTCTGTGCCTTACGTCTGCGCTAATGCCAGTATGTTCCATTGACCAGAATGTTGTCAATACGCGTTATTTTTGTCAGTGGCCCGTTCTAATCTGACACTGTGTTGCTGTTAGACAACTAAACCGATAACCGCCTCACTAAGCTTCTCAGTATTGCTGTTACCTCGTCCGGGAATCGCGGTCGCGCGTCGCGCAGCAACCGATACTGCGGTAAAACTGCTCACACGTTGTTTGTCTGGCAGCGACAGGCGAACTTGTAGCGAGCATGGACGGGAGTAACAGTAACGAAGCCCATTCCTCGCTTTTGGCAAGACGTCACGCGCGAAACCTCCCGGAACTCACAACCGCGCAAGCTCGCAGAGAAGCTGGCGGGTTTCATAATGGCGTGATTCATGGTAGCGGGTTTCATAATAACGAATTTCATAAAGGCGGGTTTCTTGATGCCGAATCTCAAGACTGCGGTTCTCCGGACAACGGTTTCGAAATCCGCGCATTCAACGACGAGCATCGCGGACGTGATTATAGCGCAAGCGCCAGCGAGGGTGTGACAGTAATGAAGGATCATGTTGATCCCAGGCTCGGCGCTTTCGACGTTGATTGGTTAAGCCAGCCTCGACACGCGCCAGCGAAGCGGCTGGAGCGGCGCACGTCTCTGTCCCCCCTGGCGCAACTTCAGGAGTTTTATCAGGTGCAGTCGGCGCAGGAACAGAGACCGCGGCAGGGGACGGGGGAGCGAATGTGGCAGGGAACGGGGGAGCAGATGCAGCAGGGGACGGGGGAAGGGAAGGGGGAGCGCGAGGGGAAGCAGCAGAGCCAGCTGCTGCTGAGTCAGCAGCGACAGTCAGATCGCAACCAAATCGGGGCGGTCACGCGGCTCGGTCGACGGTTGTCCATCGACTTAGCGGATGTCGCGGCGGCGAGAGCGGCGGCAGCCGCGGCGAAAGAATCACCCTCGGCTCGTGGCTATGAGACTTCCAACAAAGGCGGCGCCGCGACCGCCGGAAGCAGTCCCGCTGACGGCGGAGCGAGGAGGCTCCATCTGTCGAACCGCCAGACGAGCGGAGATTGGGCGGCGCATGCTGGGCAGGGGAAGAGCGGCGCGCAGAATACGCGCGCACAAGCGCATGAGCAGCGTGGTCGGTCGCTTTCTCCCCTCGCGGACGCCTCCGGGAAAGACGAGCACGCGTCCCCCCGCTTGTGCGAGGGCGGAGCCAGCGGCGCAGACCCCGCGCATGCCCAATACTTTCCGCACAAATCCCCACGAGCTGCCCGCCTTCCCCTTAGTTCCCCCCACCCTTCCGCGGATGAGTCCGCTGGTCCGCCTATCCCCACGCTTGACCCCACTCAAGCGGGGATGCTCTTTTCCGCCGTTTTGCACCGCGGGAAAGCCGCCGGTTCGCCCGAGGCGGCGGCGTCGGCCGAAGGTCGCGGTCGCGCTTCCCAACCCGCGTCGGGGGAAAGTTCCGCCGCGTCGGGGCATAGGCGGGGTCATCGGCGCGCCGCTAGCGCGCAACTGAACTCTATGGACACCGCCGCCGTGCTTTTCGGGCGGACAGCACAAGAGCAGGCGCACGGGCAGAAGGCAGGAGCTGAAGCGGGGGGATCGGAGGAAGCGCACAGGCGCGCGCAAGCACAGGGGCAGGGGCAGCCTATGATTGAGCGGGAGCAGGAGCACTCTACCGCGGACCACGTCACCTTTCCCACCGGAATTTCCGCGAGAACAAGAGCAAACCTAATCATGCCGAAATCGCCCAGCAGCGGAAGCTTGCGAAACCGCAGCCCGCTGAAAGCGGCGAGATTGACTGGCCAACGGGAATTGACCTCGATTGGTAGCAGCGGCAGCAGCGGCGGCAGCAGCGGCGGCAGCAGCGGCAGCATCGGCGGCAGCAGCAGCGGCGGCGGAAGCGGCAGCGAGAGCAGGGAGAGACCATCGTCTAAGTCTGCTAATAGCGGGAGTGGCGGCGGTAGTGGCGGCACGGGCAGCGGCAAGGGTAGCGGCAGCGGCGAAGGGACGGATGCGGGGAGCAGGACGGGTGGCGCAAGTGCACGTGCACCTGGTGTGCGCGCCAGTGCAAGTGCCGGAAACGCAAGCGGCGGAAGCGCAAGTAGCGCGAGCGCACCCTTCCGCGCGGAGCGCGAGCGCTCCCCCCCGCTATCGTCCCCCTTCTCCCGCCCGCGCCTCCTCTCTCACGTGTCCCTTGGCCCCGCAATTAGCGCGGAGATTCGCGCCGCCGCGACCGAGGTCGCGCGGAGAGAGGGGGGAGAGGCGGGAGGCGCACAAGGAAAAGACAGCGGCGCAGGGGGGAGCAGGAGTCGACCGGGCGGAAAGGGGGATGATGGAGGAAAGGAAATTGCCGGGAATAGGAAGGCGGGAACAGGCGGGAGGCAGGCGCTATCGTCGGGTTTAAGTTTTTCTGTGGGGAGGGAAGAATCGCCCTTGGGGTTAGGGTTAGGGGGCTGGAGCGCAAGCATGGCCGCTTTCGCTGGCGGAGGGGGGAGTGTGGGCGGAGGCGGGGGAGGAGGCGCAGGGGGAGCGGGCGGGGGGGTTGTCCAATCGCCGAACAGGAGACGCGGAATCCAAGAATTCGCGTTTCAACCGGTCGCGTCTCCTCTTGGAGGTAACACTGTAGCATCTACAGCGGGAAACAGTTACACTGTAGAAAAGGATATGTTTTCATCAGGGTCAATGTCTTCCTCTGAGGCTTCTCCTAAGGGGCGTGGGGGAATGGGAGGGGGAGGGGAGGCGGAGAGGAGTGGGAGTTGGAGGGGGAGAAACGAGAGGAGGCCACTTGCCATGTCAGCAGTAGGAGAGACGGAGACAGGGGGAGGAGTAGGGTTAGGGGAGGAAGGTGATGGGGTGCTGGAGAGAAGTTTAAGTGCTAGGAGGCGTGACCAGGCGGAAATGGAACGGACACTAAGTGCCAGACGAAGGGAAGCATCAGCACTTACTGCAGCAAGTGCACACTCTGATGGAGGGACGGGAGGAGGAGGAAGAGGAGGAGGAGGAGAAAGAGGAGGGAATGGGGCAGGGGAAGGAGAAGATGGAGAGGTGGGGTTAGAGCGAACTCTGAGTGCAAGGAGGAGGGATCAAATGGAAATAGAACGGAGCCTTAGTTCAAGGCGACGGCGGGAGGCTTTAAGTTTTGCGACGTCCCAAAGCTCGCGAGAGGAGGCTTTAACTCTTGAGACATCGCAAAGCTCGAGACGAGGGGAGGCTTTAAATACCAATGCTGGTGTTGCTGCGGGCTTGGGCATGCGCCGTTCTCCTAGCGAAAGTGCTTTAAACGAGAAGGGATGTAAAAGTGTAACGAGTTATTATGGTGAAAGGATGTCTCTCTTCCCGTCATTGTCACCACCAACCTCTTTATCCACGTCTCCCGTCTTGCTTTCCCCCGTTGGCTTGTCCATGCCGAACCAACGCCAAGCCTCTTTGCAAGGCTCAGGAGAACTGGAGCCTGAGGAGGAAGGTACGGATGAGGAGGACGAGGAGGAGAGGGAGAGAGAGAGGGAGAGAGAGAAAGAAAGGGAGAAAAAGCTGGAGATTATTCGGAAGCAGGAAGAGTTGCAGCAGCAGCGAGAAGCACTCCAGAAGCAGCAAGAGGAGCTTATGAGACAGCAGCAGCTACTGCTGCAGCAGCAAGAGGAGTTGCGGTTGCAGGAGGAAAGGTTGCTTGCAGAACAGGAGCAACAGGAGAGGGAGAAGGAAAAAGAGAAGGAGAAGGAGAAGGAGAAGAAGAAGGGGCAGGTGCGGCAGTTGCAGCAGCAGCGGCAATCTAGTCGTTCGGGTAGGCGACCGACCTTGAGTAAGATACTGTCAGGCAGGCAGAGCCACAAGCAGCAAGAACAGAAGCAAGAGCAGAAGCCAGAGGAGAGGGAGAGAGAGAAAGAGAAAGGGGACGGCAAAGGTGAAAAAGCACACGGGCTGATCACACAGCCAGCAGTGTCATCCCAGCAGCAGCAGCAACCGCAGCACGTGGGGAGGGGCAACCAACCGATTGCCAGATTCTTCTCTGCTGCTTCGGGTACCCTCAAGTCCCTGATTGGTGGTGGCAGCAGCAGCACTGGTGGCAGCAGCAGCACTGGTGGTGGTGGCGGTGCTGCTGGTGCTTCTGCTGGTGGTGGTGGTGGATCAAGCAGGGGCCACGGTGCAACCTCCCCTCTGCCGTCCCCTCTTCCCTCTCCTGTCCTCTCCTCCTTTCACACTGCTGCTGCTGAGGCTGCTCCTGCTTCTGTTGCTGCTGCTGTTGCTGCTGCTGCTGCTGCTGCTGGTGCAGTTGATTCCGATGCTGCCCTTGCCAACCCTGCAGCTTCGGAATCCGAGCCTCATGCGGTGTTGGCAGCAGAAGGTTTGGAAACCACAGGTTCGGCAACAGCAGGCTCGGCAGTTGCAGGCTCGGCAGCAGGGGTGGAAGCAGTGGCAGCGGCAGGCTTGGAAGCCACATTCAGGGTCAACATACCTGGGGATTCACCTGATGACGTGGCAGGTGTTGTCACGACTCTTAAGCAAAAGCAGAAGCAGGCCAGTCAGCGTGCAAGGCGCGTGTCGTGTGCTGCTGATGGGCATGATGTGAGGGTGAGAAGGCCTGGTGCTGCTGCTGCTGCGGCTGCTGCTGATGGTGATGATGATGATGGTGATGATGGGGATGATGATGATGCTGCTGCTGATTCTGATTCTGCTGCTGCTGCTGCCACTGCTGCTAGGATTGAGAGTGTTAGGGTTGGGGGTGGGGGTGCTGATATTGTTCCCTTTGGTAGTGCTGCCTCTGCCTCTGGTGGTGGCGGTGCTGCTGGTGCCGCTGCTGGCGCTGCTGCTGGGACTTCCAGTGCTAGTGGTGGGGGTCGGGATATTTGGGCTGTTGCTGAGATTGGTGCTGGTGCTGCCACTGAGTTTGGTGGTGGGTTTGGTGGTGGGGACTTGAGAACAGCCATGAAACGCCGCCCACGGCGACAAAGTGCCGAATATATCCGCCCGAACATGCTAGCAGACAAAGAAGACCACCCCATCAACACCGGCTCGTTTAAAGACAAGGACAATGAACAGGAAGACGACACAAACAGTGATATGAACAGTGACGTGAACAGTGACATAGGGTTTGACTCCCCGGACCGGCCGGCCAGGTTCGTCAACCACTCCGACCGCAGGGTCGGCGCTCGAGGCAAGGCCAGGCTCGGCGGAGGCCCGTTGCCGCACCAAACCGCCGTGCACGAGGGTCGGGGAGGGTGGGAGGCGCGGGGGGGAGGCGGGGGAGGAGGCAGTGGGGTGCTTGCGAGCAGAAGCTGCAGAAATGAGAGTGATGCGGATCTAAGTATTGGCTCGTCGTCTGCTACTGGTGTTGCTACGCTGGCAGGGTTTCAGTTGAAGGGTGTTCCTAAGGAGCAGATTGGGTTGCTCCTGGAGCAGCAGGCAGAGAGAAGGGCTGCTAGGGCTAAGGGTGGTGGTGGAAGCGGTGATGTTGGCGCTGCTGCTGCAGGTGCATTGGGTGCTGTGGCTGCTGGTGGTGGTGGTATGCGGAAGGGGAGGATGGGTGGGAGTGCTGGGGAGAACGATATGCAAGGGTATTATGCTCAACGTGATTCCGGTCAGCAGCAGCACCAGCAACACCATCAGCAGCAGCAACAGCATCGCCGGAAGTACTATTGTGGGCCAGAGACCTCTTCAGCTCCTGGCTTCTCCCTGACCTCCGTTGGTGCTCCCTCTGCCCTGCTGTTTCCCCACCAGCACCAGCAGCACCAGCAACAGCACCAGCAGCACCAGCAACAGCACCAGCAGCAGCAGCAACAGCATCATCAGCAGCAGCAACAGCAGCAGGAGGCGGACCATCAGCATGGAACGAAAACTGGAGGAGCGAAAGCAGCTGGTGCTGCTGCCATCGCTGCCGGTGCTACCAGTAATGCTGCTGGTACCGGTGCTACCAGTGCTGCTACTACAGCAGCAGCACCCGGCCCTAGCAGTCGACCAGGAGGGGAGATAGGGCCCCTGCAAGGCCGAGCCATAGGTGTTAGCAGCTTGAAAGACCACCACAGAGGGACGTACCCTAGCCTTCGCCCGACAGACTACATATTTGAGAAGCCGTATGAGGACCTGCGGACGAGGTACATTCTGCACAACAAGAAGCTGGGCAGCGGGCAGTACGGGGTGATTCGGCGGTGCTTGGAGATCAGCAGTGGGATGCAGCTGGCGTGTAAGACGGTCAAGAAGGCTGAGATCAAGGTGAGCAGCATAAACGTCTGGGCTGGAGGAAAGGATGGGGGGGGGAAGGGATCTCTGTGTATGCAGCTGGCGTGTAAGACGGTCATGTCGGCCGAGATTAAGGTGAGTAGGTGACTTTTGAGTCGACTCAAAAGTCGAGTCAAAAGTAAGACGGTCATGTCGGCCGAGATTAAGGTGAGTGAAAGGCAGACACGTGCGTTTCTTATGCTTGATGTGCGAGCCTTGGGTGTGAGCAGCTTGAAGGATCGCCACAGAGGGACGTACGTACCCTAGCGTTCACCCCACAGACTACATCATTCAGAAGGCGCGGGTCATCCCTTCTTTCCTTCCCTCCCTCTAATCACGCATATTTGTGTGTGAGGCAATTCAAAGGCATCCCCCTGTTTCCCTTTTCTTCCCCTCTCTGTGTGTCCATCCATCAGTCACACGAGGAGGCTCAGGATTTGAAAAAGGAGGTGGCCACTCTTTCCATGCTGCAGGGCCACCCCTCATCACCCCCCCCCCCCCCCCTCTCTTGTCTGTTTCTAAAGCGCCTCATAATGCATCCCATGTTTCTCCCTCGTCCCCATTCGCCTGTATGTCCATCCATCAGTCTCATGAGGAGGCTCAGGATTTGAAAAAGGAGGTGGCCACTCTCTCCATGCTGCAGGGGCACCCCTTCATCGTTCGGTTGCATGATACTGTGGAGGACAGGAAGGTACGGCATGTGAACTGGCTCGGAAAAGGTTTGGGAATACAGGCCCGGGAATAGGTTCGGGAATAGGTTCGGGAATAGAGTGATACCTTAAATGTCTCTCCATCCATGCTGCAGTGCAGAGCCATCCATTCATTGTTTGGTTGCACGACACAGTGGGGTACAGGAAAGTACGGCTGGACAGGTTCGGGAATAGGTTTGGGAGCAGAGGGATAGAGTGGGACTGGTTTGGGAACAGGTTCGGTAAACCGAGTGGTAAAAGGATGGGCTCTTCATGCTGCGTGGCCATCCCTTCATCGTTTGGTTGCATGACACTGTGTAGGACAGGAAGGTACGGCATGTTGGCAGGTCCGGGACAGGTTCAGGCACAGGCTCGGGAACAGGTACGGGAGGAGGTTCAGTAAAGCGAACTGTAGCGCAGCAGAGACACCCGTTCATTGACCTGTTTGACCTGTTTGACCTGTTTGACCTGTTTGTCATGTTTGACCTGTTTGACCTGTTTGACCTGTTTGACCTGTTTGACCTGTTTGACCTGTTTGCTAACCATGTCCTCCTTCTTCACCCCAACAGCACATGTGCATAGTTGACGGAGCTGTACATGGGGGGGGGAATGAATCCCTTCAACTGAGTAGTTTTGTGCGCAGCTGGTGGCGGCGCTGCTGCACTGCTCTCTTCTCTTCCTGCTCATTCCTTCTCATTCCTGCTCTTTGCAACTGTGCCTCCCTTTCCCCACCACAGCACGTGCACATGGTGATGGAACTCTGCACAGGAGGCGATCTCTTCGACCGGGTCGCCAAGGACGGCCCCTACAGCACAGCAGCGGGCGCCAGGCTGTGTGCCCAGCTGGTGGCGGCACTGCTGCACTGCCACTGCCATGGCATTGTGCATCGCGACGTGAAGCCTGAGAACATCCTCCTTACAAGCCGACAGCTGAACAGCGATATTAAGCTGGTCGATTTTGGCATTGCGACATTTTTCCAGGAAGGTGCGTCTGGTTTGGTTTGGTGTCTGTATGGGTGGGAAAGGGGTGCGGGGGAAGGGGGGGGGGTGTGGGGGAAGGGGGGGGGGGGGGGTGGGGGAAGGGGGGGGGATGTGTGGGGGAAGGGGTGTGGGGGAAGGGGTGTGGGGGAAGGGGTGTGGGGGAAGGGGGGGGGGTGTGGGGGGAAGGGGGTGAGGGGGACCCCTACAGCTGGTGGTGGCGCTGCTGCACTGCCACCGAACTGCACCGCACTGCACCGCATGCCATCGAGGCATTACAGAGGCTCTGCTGCACTGCCACCGCCATGGCATTGTGCACCGCAACGGGAAGCCCGAGAACATCCTCCTTACAAGCAGACAGCTCAATAGTGACATAAATCTTGTGGGCTTTGGGATCGCGACCTTCTTCTAGGAAGGTGCGTCTGGTTTGGTTTGGTGTTTGTTTGGGTGGGAAAGGGGTGCGGGGGGAAGGGGGTGAGGGGAAAGGGGGGGTGAGGGGAAAGGGGGGGTGAGGGGAAAGGGGGGGTGAGGGGGGAAACCTACAGCTGGTGGCGGCGCTGCTGCACTGCCACCGCCACGAAATTGTGCACCGGGATGTGAAGCCCGAAAACATCCTCCTTACAAGCAGACAGCTTAACAGCGACATAAAACTCGTGGATTTTGGGATCGCGACATTTTTCCAGGAAGGTGCATTTGGTGTGTGGAGAAGAGGGGGTGAGGGCGTGGAAGGAGGGTGGGAAGAGAGGAGAGGTGGGGGGTCGTTCTGGTCTATAGGTAGGTAGCTTTTCCGTTTGGAAAAACTTCTGGAGACTCTTAAACGCACTCACTCACACACGCACTCACGTTCTTCCGCATGCCAGGAGAGAGACTCAAGGAGCTGATAGGCACGCAGGAGCTCATCCAGGGGGAGTACGGCCCCTTCAATCAGTGATCGCTCTCACCCTCTGCTTCGCTCGCACCCACCCACCCGCACCCGCATACCCTAAACCCCAGGTGAAAGGTTGAAGGAGCTGATGGGAACGCCGCAGTACATGGCACCGGAGCTCATCCAGGGGGAGTTCGGCCCCTCAAACCTGTGATAGCTCCCACGATTACCTTCACCCACACCAACCCAAAACCCGATACCATTCCTAACCCCATACCCTACCCCAGGCGAGAGGCTGAAGGAGCTGATGGGAACGCCGCAGTACATGGCACCGGAGCTCATCCAGGGGGAGTTCGGCCCCTCAAACCTGTGATAGCTCCCACGATTACCTTCACCCACACCAACCCAAAACCCGATACCATTCCTAACCCCATACCCTACCCCAGGCGAGAGGCTGAAGGAGCTGATGGGAACGCCGCAGTACATGGCACCGGAGCTCATCCAGGGGGAGTACGGCCCCGAGGTGGACGTGTGGAGCGCCGGGGTCGTCATGTACATCGCCATGTGCGGCGTGCCGCCTTTTTGGGCGTCGTCCAATCGCTCGCTCGCGGAGGCGATTCGGGGGAAGGAGGTTAGCTTTAAGAGCGCCAAGTGGGCTGGCGTGTCGGAGGAATGCAAGGATTTGATTGGTCGGATGCTGGTGAAGGACCCGAAGCGGCGAATTACGGCTTTAGAGATACTTGGTGAGTGAATAATTGATTTATTATTGCTTTTTCTTTTTTTCCCCTTGGCATTGTCTTGTGGTATTGACGATGGTATGCGCTCCTCTCCACCCCCATTTTGCTGCTCTTCCAGCTTTCTTCCTCTCCCAGTCCTCCCTACCCACCCACCCCCTCACTCACCCCCTCGCCTCAATGTCCCTTATCCTATGATGTCTCTTTCTACAGGGCATCCATGGATACGTGAATCTGCACTCTGATATTGTTGAGTGCAATTACTGCTGCAGCATTTTTACTAGGCATTCATTTGTTTGATGCACCAGTTTTGTAGGTTACGAAGGGAAGCATTTGCATCGAATAAAGAGTTGTATGAGGTCACCACCAGGGCCTATTTTTGGATTTTAGGTACTCTGATTTCCAGAGTAGTTTTTTTCCCAACTCTGAAATCTAGGGTTGTTCCTGCGCCTTACTCTGATTTGTCAGAGTAACCCTATACTTTCAAAAAAAAACCCAGGCACGTCAGAGTAATATTTTTCTCTACTCTGATGTTAGTTAAGTTTGGTGTACCATGACCTTAATAGGTTTTTGTTACGCCTTTTGTACTTGCATTTCCGCGTCGCCCACGTTTCCCCCCTCACTGCGATGTTTCAGAGTGAGGTGTTGGCGGCACCGATAATCTGACTAAGGGCGTGTCCGAAGTGAAACGTCAATAGATGTCGCTGGATGTCGGTAAATGTCATCCCTCGGATCGACAGTTCCAACCGTAAGGATTTACCGACATCCCCAAACGGATGTCCACGGATGTCGACGTTTCACTTCGGACACCCCCAAAGAGCGTGTCTGAAGTGAAATGTCGACGGATGTACAGTTTCGTCGGGGAATGCTGGCGAATCTCAACCCTCGGATTGAGCGTTCCGACCGTCAGGATTCCTCGACGTCCCTCAAAGTTTCGTCGGGAAACGTCGACGTTCACTTCAGACATAAAGAGAGAGGGGACTGGCTGGCATCGTGCACTGGTTGGGAAAGTTGTCAAACTACGGTAGCCAATCAGTGCTCATATTGCCGCCAACACACGACACAAATCAGGAGAATGATCTCGACGATTCGGGGAAAACCCGCTAAACGCAGGGGGAGGTGGGGAGGGGAGGGGGGCGGGGGAGGGGGGGCCGGCAGGTATTCCCTATACAGAGTAAATTCGGTCCCCGAAAAAAAAACCCAGAGGCCTTAGAGTAAACTACAGCATAACTCTGACAAATCAGAGGAATCGGAAGTCCCAAAAAAATTACCCAGCGGGTACAGAGTTACTTTCAAAAATGACTCTGATTTTCAGAGAAACAGAGTAATTTACTCTGAAAACGTGAGGCCTGGTCACCACATTAAGGGCGTATCTCAGTTCGGGTCATGAGTGTCAAACTTTTATAATGTTTATATTGTGTAGGCTGTAGTGGGGTAGCCCATAAGGGGTACAATCCAATTAGGGTTAGCACTTGTTCCAACTTTCTTCTCAATGCAATCATTCCCTCGTCTAGTTTTTGACAATGAGCACTGTTGATTCATGCTACTGTTTGGATCATGCGGAAATTGCGCATAACCCAAAGTGGGCTGCCGAGCCACGCGCGGCCCCAACTTTGGGTCAATGTGCAGGTGTTGGGCGACTGACGTGCACGACCCATCCCCAACCAATCACCTGGTTGCACGATTCTGGTTTTACTGCCATCTTTTAGACAGTCGTCACTCGAGTGTCACAAGTGGGCAGTGTCCCATGTCCTACACCTCTGCACCCAACCACTCAGCAAATTGACCCCACGGACCCTCGATGTGTCTAAAATTTCCTGCGGCGCGCTCCCAACATTTGGGAATTCACGACGAGAATTTTGACGATTGTATTTTTTCGGTGGGTGTCGCGTGGTTTTGCGTGGGTGTCGCCCATGATCAGGCCCCTAGATTCGTTTTGGGGCACGCTGATCGATCAGCGTGCACCCCTCGTGGAACTCTTGGCTGTCAGAGTTACCTCGTTTTTCTAGGCTGAAAATTCAGACAACACCAAACTTCAATGCTGAACTTTCAGCGCTGCATCCAAAATTTAAGCTGATCAGCTGTGGTGTCGTCCGAGGTGCAGCGCGTTGCGAGCTATGCGTTGGCAAGGAATTGTCAGACTAAATGTTTGTGTTCTCTCTTGGCTATAGTGGGTTAGCCTACAAGGGGTACAACACTTTAGGGTTAGTATTTGTACCCAACCCATTCATAGTGTTGGAAACAACTGATTTAAGCGCCTCTGTCGTGTCGAAACACCAAGACAAGAGCGAAGCAGATCGTATCGAAACATCGGTGTGTCAACCCTCGGAGGTTGAACAACTGCTGGAGGTTACGCGAAAGTCAAAAGTCAGCGACCTTTGACCTGACGAAGCGTACAGTGCGACAACAAGGACATATAACTGACTCGTTACAGAGCAGTTACCCGAGTCGGCATTGTATCGAACCGCAACAGCAAAGCAGTTAAAATAGAACATTTTCATATTCCTTGTAATCATATAAAAGCTTGTATCTTCTTATTATTATCAACTTACTTTGTTCTCACAAACCAGTACAAGGTGGTTCAACAAGTCTTTATTAAAACGCTTCCGCTATTACATCATCCTACTCTTGAATTCTGTCCTGCAAAGATCCTAAGGGCCTTCTCAGCCCAACATGGTATGAGAGCAGTCAGGGCAAATTCGACTACAAACAAGATATCTACAACATCGCAAGACATGGCAACGCAGAAGGAGAGAAGTTCCTCTAACGGCTCTCCTGGCACTGCTCCTACTCCACCTCCTGCCTCTGGCCTACAGACAGAAGAGGGTACGGCAACAAGACCAAGGGCATCGTCTTCGGAAACTCCCGCTAATCAAGCTGCGGCCTTCGATCCAGACATGATGGGGAAGTTCTTCTCCTTCATGTCCTTCTACGAACAACACCAGCAGGGGACACTTGCACAGTCAAACAACAGCAACAACAACGCAACACCGATGAGCCTCGACGGTTCATCCTACGCACGTGGAAATCAACAGCAACGACCTACCTGTGCTCCGTATGAGCCCCAGCGTGGCTCCGTCAGCTTTATGCCACACCCGCAGCCTGCATCCGGACAAGAAAAGACACTGGATGCACTTCAAGTTCAGTCGCAGTTCGCGCACGTCTGCAAACGACAAAACCTTTCGACGGAAAGGACTTCTTTACCTGGTCATTCGAGTTCGAGCTTATGATGGAAGGCGCGCAGATCCTTGGCTTCTTTGACGGGTCCCTGCCATTTCCAACACACGGCACACAGTACGATAAGCAGCAGTACACGTATCAGTCAATGATGGCATACACAATACTGCTGAGAAATATCACTCCAAGTCAGCAGCAGAACATACGGTCTTACCGGGGTTACGGCAAATCTGCAGAGCTCGCGTACAACCACCTGAAGAACCTGTATCAAGCAACAGACAGCGTAAATCAAAGTCGGTTAATGGCGCAACTGACGACAGTCGAAATGAAACCAGGCGAAAAAGGGATGGCGTATATCAGCCGTTGTCGCGAATTGCACGACAAACTCCTTCGATGCGGAGGATCGATTTCAGAAGACGCCTTCGTCACAGTCATCATCGGCGGCCTCGGTCCTCAGTGGCGCTCCACCCGCGCCATACTCCGAGCGCATGGAAAGATATCAGAAGCAGCACTCTGCGCCGAAATCCATGCTGAGCAGCAAGATATGGACCTGCAAGAGGAACGACACAAGAAGAAGGCATCAGTGCCCGAATTTGCATTTCACACTCAACGACGCTACAACAACAACAATCGGCATCAACCGAAACCAGTACCTCCGTTCTGTCACCTTTGCAAGATGTCAGGGCATCCTCGCTCACACTGCCCCAATCGACAACAGTCAGTACCAACGCAGCGGCAGCTTCGGCCTTCAAGCAGTCAAGTTGTCTCAACGCAAGCGAGTTCGACTTCTCAAGTACAAGCCTCAACGACATCGACGGGACAACCTGCGCAAGGAACAAGAAACATCGTCAGTTGCATGACACGACTGACCGACTCCTGTATCACAGAATCACCACCATATTACTCACCAGAAGAACAACTCGACAACAGCACGCCTCGCCGCGAGTCACTTCAACCAAATCCGACGTATGCAGCTATCGCTCAAAGCGAGCCGTCCGGAAAAGATACGTGGTTCTTGGACAGCTGCTGTGGACAGCACATGTGTTCCTCAGGGCGTTTTGTTCAACGTGAACACTAACTTCAACGCGAAGTTGTCATCACCGTCGCCAACAATCAGAACCTGCGCACACGACGACAAGGCGTAGTGCAACTTCAGTCACGAGAGACAAACGTTATACTGCAAATGTCAAAGGTTTTAATAGCAGAGGGACTCGGTTACAACTTACTAAGTGTCAGCCAACTAATGGCGAAAGGGATCCATCTTGAAGCAGACAGCACCACACAGGAGTTCAAGCTCTTCCACGGTCGAGGGGGGACTCTACATCGGCAAAGCAGTACTAAAAAACAATGTCTTCGTCCTCGACTTCGTCCCAGATCTTGGCACTGCCGACCGCGACGGGATTGTCACCTTTACTTCTTGGACACATCCACCGGATCTTGACCCCGACTTCAGTCCAGAAGGCTTCTAACACTCGCACACCATCCCTGAAGCAGAACGAACAAGAGCATTAGCAACGATTCAACACTCGGCAGCAGCAGAAACAACATCGGCAGCAGCAGAAACAACATCAGCAGCAACAGAAACAACATCGGCAGCAGCAGAACCATCGGAAATACCAACAACACTTACAACACCAGTCGCAAGTTCTTCAACAACATCGCCACACATCGACAATACTTCACCAACTCCTGCGCAGCAGCTAACTCCCACTCCTCGCGAAGTTCACAGAAGCGCCAACTTCACCGCCGCCTTTTACTCCAACTCCGACCTGTATCGTCGTTCACCCGGACATCGCGCTAGCGAAGACATCTGGCACGCACGAATGGGACATCCAAGTAATACGGTGTTAAACAACACAATCAGAGCAGGAGTTCTCGACAAAGATTCACTGCTTCTAACCGACGGAAGTGAACTTCGACGAGCGCGAGGAACGTGTTTTACCTGCCCCGAAGCTGACTTACCGCATCGACCTTTCACTTCTCACCAAAACCCCAGCGCACCAGCTTACGCACCACTTGAA